CGCAAAGCAAGAACGACGGCGGCATCTGTAATTGCCCGTGAGGCTCCTCCTCCTGCTTCTGGCGGCATCCACTTGTTCCACACTCTCGTGAAGATAGAGATAGTAACCAATCTCGTGGTGTTGACTGATGCCATGCATTGCTGTTCTCGGAGTCGTAATTCGTAAGAACTCTCGATGATCTACCTCTACGTCGTACGTCCTCGTAGGTTCAGTTTGCGTCTTCGTTTGGGCCACCTCGTCATAGTGGTAATCGATCTTTCTCGTCAAACTCGCTAGTCTACCGCGATGGTCGTTTTTCGCTGGTAAAGTCGGACGACGCGGATTTCATCCAGCATTATGGAGTGTTGATTATCTTTTTTTCGCAGTCACTACTTTAGAAAAGGTCGGATTTTTTTCATCAAGCTCGCGAATAAACGATGCTTTTTGTAGTGGATTACCGCGCCGTCGCGAAGACGTTCGGGGCTTGGCGCACAGCGGCACGGCCGGCGCGCAAATCGTTTACGGGGTTGAGCAAACAGCAGCTCTCGAAAGAGTTCCTCCTGGCGCAATTCGAAGCTGTGAGTCCTTCTATCGCGAAGGCTTTCGGGGCTTGGTGCACAGTGGCGCGGCCGGCGGCGCGGAAACCGCTAGCGTTCGAGGGATGCAGCAAACATGAAGAGTGGCTGCTGGAGCAGTTCAGCCGCAACGAGGAAGATTCGCCGCTGGATTATTGGGATCTCTCGGAAGAGGTTGCGTGATGAGGATAAATGATGATGATGATGATCTTCATCTTGAATTTCGTTTTGTGTCTGAGTCTGATTGATACTATAATTTACTCCTCTTGTTTCAGATATACAAAAATTGAATTGCGCTCTCTTGTACGAACTATGCACGACCACACTTGGCGTCGTCTACCAGCAAACTCGACCCTACATTGGAGAAAATTGCCTGTCTTCTCAGCAAAGCGAAAGAAGTGAAAAACTGCGTGGAAATTATTCCCAAATAAAAATAAATCGTAAAAAACTGAACTACAAGCACACCTTCGATCTTGTCTCTCAAAGAAAAAAAGAGATCTACGGCACGGCGCGTGCTCCACACACAGCTGCAAAAAGGACACTCGACTCACGTCGATCTGGATTGTCTGCTTCTGCTTCTGGATCCATCTTCCTCGAGAGGATTCGCACTACTGTAGTCGCCCTCGTAATCGTAGTTGCGTTTGCAGATGACAAGAACATTATACAAGCTCCAGTTGAGCCCTGGTCTCGTCGATTAAATGAACCAACTCTCTATTTTAAGTTCAAATTGGTAAGCCCTGCCTGCTTCTGTTGATGGATCGCGAACGTAAATAGAGAGACTGGAAACTACGAATTATACCGGAGCGGGGTAACAAATGTGCCGTTAACCCGCGCCCGCGAGTTAAGCCTCCGGCCGGCCGGCCGGATGGTTAACTCGCGGCTTGAACCGGTCTCAACTTCTCAACCGACGGCGTCGATGTGCGCAGGGTTTTGGATAGGTTTTGGGTCGGTTGAGAAGTTGAGACCGGTTCAAACCGCGAGTTAACCGCCCAGCCGGCCGGCCGGAGGCTTAACTCGCGGGCGCGAGTTAACGGCACATTTGTTACCCCGCTCCCGCAATTGTGTTACAACTAAAGATAAACGTGAGCTCTGGTTTGCCAAAGATTTAGCAGCAGTCATCGTTTTTCTTTTGAACGTTTTTGCTCTTCGAAGTGGCTTTTGAACGTTTTTGCTCTTAAGATAAGTGGTGGCGACGTGTCCAACGTAAAAAAATTGAATTCGAAATCTACACGAAAAAGAAAACGTTGGGGGGAATGAATATAAATCAATCGTCGAAGAAAGATTCATAGATCTGGCAACTGCGCAAATTTTCAATCGTAATCGAAGGGTTGGGCTCGAATGATCGATACTAGATGGGTATTTGAAGCTCTCTGCCTGACGACATTAAACGTATCCGGGCACTTTCTCTGGGTGTTTTAGAGTACTTATTGGCATCATGTAAAAGGACCATCACCATGTTGATGTTGACGCCCGGTTCTTACATGGCATCTCACAAACGTTGTTGCTCCCGTGAGAACGGTTCGGAGCGACGTCGATGGACAAAAGACATGTTTCTCACTCGAAAAACTGTAGCAGCTGGAAGTAGTTAAAGTTGGATCTTCCTGTTAGTTTTGGCCTACGTTGCAGGTGGTTTCGTTTATCATCTTTCTTGTAAAACTACTTTCTGTTTCTTCATCTATCACGCTCGCCCGATCTGCCCTGCCCTGGATTGCATTGTCCTCCTCGCGAGCGTAACATATAACACGATGCCAAGGACTGGGCGGCCACCGGCGCAAGATCACGAAACTGCTTCGACGGAGGTGCTCAGGGGTCGGGCTCGCTCTGCGAAGAAGTATGGAAACACGAAGGAGGTCGATAGGATCGAGAAGATACTTGCGGACAGGGAACTAAAACTCCAAGCGACTGGGACCACCTGGGCAGCCGGGCTCTCCCTGTTCTGTCTCATCCTGTGCATCTGCGGTTTCGCTTTCGGTCTGGGAAGTCTCGGGCTCGGTATTGAATGACATAAAATCTTTGTCTCTGTTCTGGATGAACCTTGCAGTGTCTCTTCGGTGCAGTTGCAGAGCGTTTCGGTTGAGTTTTGTAAGAAGCAGTCTGGTGGCGCTGTGTAATTGAAGCTGCTGAAGTTCATCTCTAACTCTACTTACGGAAAATTATGCATGAATTCGTTGCAGCATCAACAGCAAGCGTTCATGGATAATTTGTAGCTACTTGTTAAGCAGACACGGGCATCGGGATCGGCATGTGCTCGACTAAGTATTGTTTTTCTGTCTGGTACTACTGCTAGGGCCAATGCTTCTTCCAAAACTACTTGCTTCATCCATGTTGCACTTCTTGAATACACTTCTGCAACGCAAAAGCATTGCGGGACGTCCAGGCCCGGGACAAGTGTTGTTTTTCGATTGATACACGACGTGCCGACAGTGCAGACGTACATCAAGGACTCCCTCTTCTCCTTGGCTCCGATTCCGCCCACGAACGGTACAACCGGAGCAGCAGATGACCCGTTCGTCAACGCAACCACTGGCAGTCGTGATTCCGGCGGCGGGGAAACCACGCATCGTGCAGGCGAAGACCGTGTCCAAGAGCCGACGTTGGAGGTGAACTTCCTCTACCCTGGGAAGGGTCTGACGCGGTCGCCGTCGCGGAGGAGGAGGTCCAAGAAAACCGGCAAACTGTCCGGCGAGAAGCGGGTCGAGAAAACGGAACAAGAATTGTAGGAAAAAACGAAAAACTACCTTCATTCACAACACACACGCTCGACGAGAACAAACAGTTGATGAAGCAGAAAAAACTACGGAGTGAACAATAAACACAGGAACAAGTACCAAGAGCTTCCTTCTAGCCTCTCTTCTACACTGCTGCATTCTAGTACAGCAGACGATCGCACATCAGATGCGGATCAGAACCATGGCAACGGGTGCTTAGTGGATGCGGAGAGTGTTGTGAGGTTCATTTTCCCTCCCCTGGGTAAGTAGACGCAAGCCCTAACCGAAACTGTTAGATTTAGATAGTACTAAGCTACTTTTGATCGTTATTCTACGTCAGATTCGACGAACATTTTGATGTTCTTTGTTGTCCTTCAAATATTAAACTTTGGAGCATTACACCGCAAAAGCAAATAGTACGAAGCCCGTGTCACCTCAACATCACAAGCAATCGCTTCAGTTTCTTATATTTCAACAGCAAGTCGCAACATCATTCAAACGCTTTTGTTTATCTGCATAGCATTGTTTCTCGTTGCAAATGAAGCAAGAGAAGTTCGTGTCTTCAAAAATCATTCGGCTCGCATGAGCTAAAGTCCCAGCTTGTTTACAACTTATCAATCTCTGTTATTTCGTTATCGTTAACGTTTTCGTTTACATTTGAATATATAATTTCACTCACCGCCACCATGTAGTACCATACAGCAAAGTTGGACGCAACAGCAGACGCCGCCTTCGAAGCAAAAATAGTATTAGCAGTAAGCGAGCACGCATCTATGCAACCGAATCGACGCCCTGTACAGTTCTAGTTGTTGCCACCTTCATACGAAAGCACAAACTTCCTCTACAACAAGCTGAGCCGGTATGTGCGCGCTCCGTACCGATGCGTCTGTTCTATCTGCGCTCAACTTCAACTTGCTTGACGAGCTCGTGCTCTGTGCGTTGATGTGTTTGTGATGTCCGCAATATTTTAAATGGAGAGATGGAGTTGGAGAATGGCAAGGAGGCGCAGATGGAGATGGAGAAAGCCACCTCGTATGAAGCATCAAGTCATCATGATCTAAGACTGAGTCGCTGTATAAAATGCGCATACAGCCTGCATTTTTAAAGAGTGAAAGCGATGAGGAGGAGTTGTTGGTGACTGCGTCTCCGAGGGGACAGTAGTGCAGCACCAGGTGGAGAGGCACTGGTGCTGCGTTTCTCTCATTTTTTTTTGGTTTTTTTTAGGGCGACCTCGTCCCACCGCATTAAGTATTAACTATAGTTGCATACAAAGGGCGCACCGCTGCAGGGCCGCGACTCGTCAGTCGAGGTCGTCGAAAAATTGCTGCCTTCTTGCGCAAGTGCACGATGGAAGTCGAGGTACAGACAGATCGTAGATTTCTTTTCCAGGGCGGCAGGGACTTTCTACGCCCTCGACCTGGCTTCCGCAGGGCGCGGCGTAGAAAGTCCCTACCGCCCGGGGAAAGAAATTTCTGCTTTGTGTTGCGCAAAAACAACTTTGGGCGTGGATTTCTTTTCCAGGGCGGCAGGGACTTTCTACGCCCTCGACTTGGCTTCCGCAGGGCGCGGCGTAGAAAGTCCCTGCCGGCCGGGGAAAGAAATCTCCGATTTGTGTTGCGCAAAAACAACTTTGGGGCCGGACTTCTTTTCCATTCTTTTCCACGGTGGCAGGGACTTTCTACGCCCTCGACTTGGCTCCCGCAGGGCGCGGCGTAGAAAGTCCCTACCGCCCGGGGAAAGAAATCTCCGATCTGTGTTGCGCAAAAACAACTTTGGGGGCGAATTTCTTTTCCAGGGCGGCAGGGACTTTCTACGCCCTCGACTTGGCTCCCGCAGGGCGCGGCGTAGAAAGTCCCTACCGCCCGGGGAAAGAAATCTCCGATCTGTGTTGCGCAAAAACAACTTTGGGGGCGAATTTCTTTTCCAGGGCGGCAGGGACTTTCTACGCCCTCGACTTGGCTCCCGCAGGGCGCGGCGTAGAAAGTCCCTACCGCCCGGGGAAAGAAATCTCCGATCTGTGTTGCGCAAAAACAACTTTGGGGGCGAATTTCTTTTCCAGGGCGGCAGGGACTTTCTACGCCCTCGACTTGGCTCCCGCAGGGCGCGGCGTAGAAAGTCCCTACCGCCCGGGGAAAGAAATCTCCGATCTGTGTTGCGCAAAAACAACTTTGGGGGCGAATTTCTTTTCCAGGGCGGCAGGGACTTTCTACGCCCTCGACTTGGCTCCCGCAGGGCGCGGCGTAGAAAGTCCCTACCGCCCGGGGAAAGAAATCTCCGATCTGTGTTGCGCAAAAACAACTTTGGGGGCGAATTTCTTTTCCAGGGCGGCAGGGACTTTCTACGCCCTCGACTTGGCTCCCGCAGGGCGCGGCGTAGAAAGTCCCTACCGCCCGGGGAAAGAAATCTCCGATCTGTGTTGCGCAAAAACAACTTTGGGGGCGAATTTCTTTTCCAGGGCGGCAGGGACTTTCTACGCCCTCGACTTGGCTCCCGCAGGGCGCGGCGTAGAAAGTCCCTACCGCCCGGGGAAAGAAATCTCCGATCTGTGTTGCGCAAAAACAACTTTGGGGGCGAATTTCTTTTCCAGGGCGGCAGGGACTTTCTACGCCCTCGACTTGGCTCCCGCAGGGCGCGGCGTAGAAAGTCCCTACCGCCCGGGGAAAGAAATCTCCGATCTGTGTTGCGCAAAAACAACTTTGGGGGCGAATTTCTTTTCCAGGGCGGCAGGGACTTTCTACGCCCTCGACTTGGCTCCCGCAGGGCGCGGCGTAGAAAGTCCCTACCGCCCGGGGAAAGAAATCTCCGATCTGTGTTGCGCAAAAACAACTTTGGGGGCGAATTTCTTTTCCAGGGCGGCAGGGACTTTCTACGCCCTCGACTTGGCTCCCGCAGGGCGCGGCGTAGAAAGTCCCTACCGCCCGGGGAAAGAAATCTCCGATCTGTGTTGCGCAAAAACAACTTTGGGGGCGAATTTCTTTTCCAGGGCGGCAGGGACTTTCTACGCCCTCGACTTGGCTCCCGCAGGGCGCGGCGTAGAAAGTCCCTACCGCCCGGGGAAAGAAATCTCCGATCTGTGTTGCGCAAAAACAACTTTGGGGGCGAATTTCTTTTCCAGGGCGGCAGGGACTTTCTACGCCCTCGACTTGGCTCCCGCAGGGCGCGGCGTAGAAAGTCCCTACCGCCCGGGGAAAGAAATCTCCGATCTGTGTTGCGCAAAAACAACTTTGGGGGCGAATTTCTTTTCCAGGGCGGCAGGGACTTTCTACGCCCTCGACTTGGCTCCCGCAGGGCGCGGCGTAGAAAGTCCCTACCGCCCGGGGAAAGAAATCTCCGATCTGTGTTGCGCAAAAACAACTTTGGGGGCGAATTTCTTTTCCAGGGCGGCAGGGACTTTCTACGCCCTCGACTTGGCTCCCGCAGGGCGCGGCGTAGAAAGTCCCTACCGCCCGGGGAAAGAAATCTCCGATCTGTGTTGCGCAAAAACAACTTTGGGGGCGAATTTCTTTTCCAGGGCGGCAGGGACTTTCTACGCCCTCGACTTGGCTCCCGCAGGGCGCGGCGTAGAAAGTCCCTACCGCCCGGGGAAAGAAATCTCCGATCTGTGTTGCGCAAAAACAACTTTGGGGGCGAATTTCTTTTCCAGGGCGGCAGGGACTTTCTACGCCCTCGACTTGGCTCCCGCAGGGCGCGGCGTAGAAAGTCCCTACCGCCCGGGGAAAGAAATCTCCGATCTGTGTTGCGCAAAAACAACTTTGGGGGCGAATTTCTTTTCCAGGGCGGCAGGGACTTTCTACGCCCTCGACTTGGCTCCCGCAGGGCGCGGCGTAGAAAGTCCCTACCGCCCGGGGAAAGAAATCTCCGATCTGTGTTGCGCAAAAACAACTTTGGGGGCGAATTTCTTTTCCAGGGCGGCAGGGACTTTCTACGCCCTCGACTTGGCTCCCGCAGGGCGCGGCGTAGAAAGTCCCTACCGCCCGGGGAAAGAAATCTCCGATCTGTGTTGCGCAAAAACAACTTTGGGGGCGAATTTCTTTTCCAGGGCGGCAGGGACTTTCTACGCCCTCGACTTGGCTCCCGCAGGGCGCGGCGTAGAAAGTCCCTACCGCCCGGGGAAAGAAATCTCCGATCTGTGTTGCGCAAAAACAACTTTGGGGGCGAATTTCTTTTCCAGGGCGGCAGGGACTTTCTACGCCCTCGACTTGGCTCCCGCAGGGCGCGGCGTAGAAAGTCCCTACCGCCCGGGGAAAGAAATCTCCGATCTGTGTTGCGCAAAAACAACTTTGGGGGCGAATTTCTTTTCCAGGGCGGCAGGGACTTTCTACGCCCTCGACTTGGCTCCCGCAGGGCGCGGCGTAGAAAGTCCCTACCGCCCGGGGAAAGAAATCTCCGATCTGTGTTGCGCAAAAACAACTTTGGGGGCGAATTTCTTTTCCAGGGCGGCAGGGACTTTCTACGCCCTCGACTTGGCTCCCGCAGGGCGCGGCGTAGAAAGTCCCTACCGCCCGGGGAAAGAAATCTCCGATCTGTGTTGCGCAAAAACAACTTTGGGGGCGAATTTCTTTTCCAGGGCGGCAGGGACTTTCTACGCCCTCGACTTGGCTCCCGCAGGGCGCGGCGTAGAAAGTCCCTACCGCCCGGGGAAAGAAATCTCCGATCTGTGTTGCGCAAAAACAACTTTGGGGGCGAATTTCTTTTCCAGGGCGGCAGGGACTTTCTACGCCCTCGACTTGGGCCCCGCAGGGCGTGGCGTAGAAAGTCCCTGCCGTCCGGGGAAAGAAATCTCCGATCTGTGTTGCGCAAAAACAACTTGGGGGACGAATTTCTTTTCCAGGGCGGCAGAAACTTTCTACGCCCTCGACTTGGCTCCCGCAGGGCGCGGCGTAGAAAGTCCCTGCCGCCCGGGGAAAGAAGTCTCCGATCTGTGTTGCACAAAAACAAATTTGGGGCCGGACTTCTTTTCCAGGGCGGCAGGGACTTTCTACGCCCTCGACTTGGCTTCCGCAGGGCGCGGCGTAGAAAGCCCCTGCCGCCCGGGGAAAGAAATCTCCGGTCTGTGTTGCGCAAAAACAAATTTGGGGCCGCACTTCTTTTCCAGGGCGGCAGGGACTTTCTACGCCCTCGACTTGGCTTCCGCAGGGCGCGGCGTAGAAAGTCCCTACCGCCCGGGGAAAGAAACCGCCGATCTGTGTTGCGCAAAAACAACTTTGGGGCCGGACTTCTTTTCCAGGGTGGTAGGGACTTTCTACGCCCTCGACTTGGCTTCCGCAGGGCGCGGCATAGAAAGCCCCTGCCGCCCGGGGAAAGAAATCTTTCTCCGATCTGTGTTAGGCAAAAACAACTTTGGGAACGAATTTCTTTCCCAGGGCGGCAGGGACTTTCTACGCCCTCGACCTGGCTCCCCCTGCAAGAGGACAAGCGCCGCTTCGTGGTTTGTTAATTTCATCGGCCCTGGCGCTTCCATAAGACGACACGACATTGATGCAGCAGCACCGTGCCCGCGATTCTATCTTTGCCTTGGTTCATTACTGGTGTTAGCCCCCTTTTCGGAAAAAAGCTCCAGAGTGAGTTGAGGCGCAACAACGACAACGAACTGCACGCGGCACGAAGGCGCGTACTCAATAGCGAAAAAATGACAATAAGCGGCTCGCCCCCTCCACACGGAGCCTCTGAGCCATCGTCTTCTAACGACGGCGACGGATCACCCACCGCAGATCCGGTTCAAAACCTTCTCAAGGCAGTCCAGAAAAACGAGGAAAGGGAGCAAAAATATCCATACCACACGCAGTCGAAGAAGCTGCAGGACGACAATGAGGCGCTGAAGAAGAGTAATGAAGAACTGGAAAAAAATATCAAATGAAAATTGTAAAAAACTAAAGACATAGTCGTCTCGGGTCAACGCAATAAATGCATGATCTCCGTTTGCCATCAATCTCCTTCCGGCTTATTTATGTACACCACAGGGTGTGATCGCTACATCGCATCGAAGAAGATGCTCTTTCACTCATGATCTTCTCTCTTCACACTCTTAATTTATCGCGGTATGCATAAAATTATACTTCCCTCTGGCGGAGATAGATGCGCATCGACTGAAAATCTCGCAGTTATTCCGTCTTGGTAAGGAGTACACTATTTCCTCGTGAACGATGGCGACACTTGTCTTTCTTTCTTTAGGTGCACAACAAAAATCGAAAAAGTGAAGGACCAGAAAATCAAACTGGAAGAGCTTCAGGTGCTGTTGCAGGCGAATGACAAAAAGATGCAGGAACTCGAGCAGGGCAAGAACTGTTGCAGTTCCTTCTTCTGGGCAGCCTTCGCCCTTTTTCTAATCGTCTTCGAGTTCTCGACCTGCACGATTGTCCTGAGCTACATGCTGTACAATCAACCACCATCATCAACAACTATCGCAGCACCGTCGACGTGCGAGCTGTGCTCCACTTTGAAGGAAGATTTTGTGGAGCTCAAAGACCACTTTTACAAGTACGAATCGAAGACATTTCAGCAATAGCACCGGATTGTAACAATGATATACGACAAAAATTTTTTGTTTTGTCGATGATCATTATCAACTTTTTTATGTACTTCTACCTAGAAAAACAAACGAACAACACCTAAAAATGGGGTCAGAGCTAGGGATTGTATGGAAGAATCCGTTTGCAACTTTCTTGTATGTTCATCGCATGAAAGGACATCATTCAGAGCGGGCATATCCGGGTGAGTATTTGCTTGACCTCCATACCCAACACCGCCACAAATGGGAAGCAGGGGACATGAATACGACTACCCGCGCAGTAGTGGCGGAGCTGGCAATGAGTGCGACTGTCGGGGCGGTAGTGGCAGAGCCGCTAAAAGGAAAAGGCGAGGAGAGCAGCAGCTCCGACGCGGCCGCCAGTGACAGCGAGACGTGACACAACACCGCAAACGAAATCCACATTGAGAATCACATCTGCAGCTTCTTCCTCAAGTCCTCCTCCTCCTCGAAAAGAACAACTTCTAAAGCATCAACATAACAATAACTAAAAGGACCACAGAAAACAAGTCGGGGCTCCGTGGGATAAAAGAAACGGCTGCTGCTTGCGATACAATAAAAGACAGTGCTTCATACTCTTCTACAGCCCTGCCGTCAGGGAAAGTCGGCGCCGCGTCTTTCCAGTCTGAGAAACAGCAACGAAACACGACCAACAGAAAGTAATATCTTGACGAGTTTCCGCATGGCATCCGCATGTGGAGTTTTAACATTTTGCGTATCATTGCTGACACCAACAAGGGAAGATCAGATTCATTCACAGGACGTTTTAGACGAGCAACATCACCAACAAAAGCTCGCGATAAAAAAGACCCGGGTCATCTGGAACAGTACCAGGTGCAAACGTTGAGGTTTGAAAAGCAATTCGAATCCGCGTTCCTGTCTGTCGCGTTCCTGTGTCGGGTGCTCATGGATGATTGATATGGCTGATTGTGGGTGTTTTTTTACAAGACTGACAAAATATAGACCGCTTGATTTACCAGCTGTCCTCTCATCTGCTGAATAGTACATAGACAATTTTTCAACAGTAGAACATTCTCTCTTAACTCGAGTCCACAGTAAATCAAGTCATAGCAACTGCAAAGAAGGTCTGTCAACGAAAATTTTGGGAAAAAGCAACTGGTTTTCATCTATGAAGTAGTGGCGTCAACCTGCACCTGGCAAACATAAAAAAAGATAAAATAAAGACAACCTAAATAAGAAATACCTTGAAACTCCGTCTGCAATAGAATATCCCTGCTTTTCCTTGCCACGTGAACGCGCAAACAGTTGCGACCGTGGCAAATCGTTTTGTGTTCATCTCGGACTCGTTCTGAGTAGATCTAAACTCGTTTCGGACTTCTTCGAAAAATGAACCTCGTCGACCAAGAGAGCTTTTCCTTATGTTCGGACGTGATGTGATCGACGATCCCTGTCTTCGTATTTTCATTTTTTCGACAACATTTCTCGACAAGATCTAGATGATGAATATTGAGCTTTTTATTTCGTTTCGACACTCGACAATCGTCGAGGCCGTCGTGGTTGTACTAGATGTAGATTGCAATTTTGTGTATCTTTCCCAACGATCGACTGGTTTGCAGTTGATCGTGTTGCTGAGTGTTTTTTGATGTGATCTGCGGAACGAGATCCGATGTTTTTTTCAGGCAATCTGCCGTCTTTTGCGACTAATAATTGGAATTTTTCTCTGTCTATGTCTTCCCATTCATGATAGGGCGAAGAGATCAAGGATATCATGATATGGTCTTTTTTTCTTCTGTGGTGATTTCTGAAGCGACCCACACACGCTCGAAAGAAGTAGGTGGATATTGTTAATTCACAAATAAAGACTAGGTCGTGTATCGATCTTTATCGTTTCTGAGTCTGTTTTTGTATCCCACTAACAGAGACAGAACGAACGACATCACAGGCAGAGGTAGAACAAGGCCTGCTGAAAAGGGAGAAACATCTGCCTGAAGGAGACAACGCGATCTGATTCTGAAGTACACGATAAGCATAAGATTAACAGCAATAATTACGAGGCGAACTTGTATTCACGACTATTGCAACGATCACCCACTCCAACTTCTCACCTGTCTGTCATTGCTGATACCTCATCTGCTGCAGGCACGGCAACCAACGCCAACCGAAAGCAATCTGCAGTGCCAATCCACCTGCTCATCCTCCTCCTCATCTAGAAGTTGGCACAATGTCTGCGCGCATCCCCCCGGCCGCGGTTGGCCAACCAGTGAGCAGTGGGTCATCCGCGACCGCAACACAAAATCCTGCCCAGCAGGACCGCCAGGTGTCTTCGACGACCAGCATCAACGACGAGATGCACAACGCGACCAATGTTTCCAGCAGCAATAGCCACACTCCTACAACGGTCGTTAGCCAACTCAGCACCGTACAACAGGAATACGACCGGCAAAAAACCCGGCTCGATAAGTTCGTGGACAAACTTAAGAAAGAAGGGTATTGGGACGACGCGGAAGGCGAATGGTTGAAAAAGGCCCTCGAGTATACGGACAAGGCGGATCAAGCGCTGCAGGGACTATTGTCAGATCCGGAGGCCCGGGCCAAGCTTTTGCAAACACGGACGGCAACGATCCGAGACACGTACAAAAAGACCAGTGACATATACAAGCGGAAAGTGATGCTGCAGCAGGCCGCACAACACCGGGCAGCACAAAAGCAGTCGCAGATCCCTTCCAACAATAGTGCCAACGCAGCTAGTGGTACCACTTCTACGTCGTCTAACGCCTCCGTGGCGCCGCTGAATGAAGTCCACAGCCGGATCGACAACCTGGAACAAAAAGTCGATAACCTGGAACAGAAAGTTGATCGCAACAAGGCGGATCAGGATGTAGTCAACAAAAAGCAGCAGGAATTTAACGAAGTACAGGAAGTGACTAACACCAGAATGTTTGCCGAGGTTGCGCAGTGCAATCGTGAGATTGCGCAGTTCAAGAAAGACGTATGACATTGCACAACTGGCCCTCCTTACCCCCCCCCATTTCGACGATATCCATACCAGCGCAGAGCCTCCTGGCAAAGATGCAGCTTTTGCATGAAGAATTTTTTTTAATGTTTAATGCCCGATTTTAATGCTGTTTTGCTTTTGGCTTCCGGAACAGGCACCGCAAGCCCTGCCAGGAGGAAATGTGTGTGGGTGGGCTTGGTACTTAAGTGCATGAAAAGGGAGGCGCAAGGGGAGCTGTTGTTGTGAACTCTCATAAGCTCTCACGGCAGTTGAGAACAGTCTCGGCAAGATGACGCACCAGGTCCAGGACCTGATGCTGTTTATGGAGATCGGGACTGGTGCCCCCGCGCAGGCACCCGAGCAAACAGGACAGGAACTACAGGACGCCGAGTACGTGAAGAAACTGGAGGAGCGGCTGCACAAGTTGGAGAACACGTCGACCATGTTCCTGAAGTGCCAGCTGCTATCCCAGAGAAAAATGGTGCCACGGTGTAATGTGTGTAGAAATTATGCTAGTTGTGATGCAAAAATCAGCAGGCGAACAAAACGTGATTCGTCGGGCATACCAGTGTGGGTGTTAGGACATCCCGTCCGCTAATTTCGGTCGTGTTTAATTTTGCAGTACAAATGTATCCTAAACTAAAAAGCTAGTGTGATGTTGCCAAGGAACAATTTTTGCTCTGGCATAGCAGGCGAAGGAAACGTTGAGAAACGTCCACTGTGCACTCACCCACTTCATCGCAGACGAGAGGGAAAAACCCGTGCTGCACGAGGAGGAACAGATGCACGTCGACGTGGCCGAAGCCGTTAAGAAGGAGCTAGACGAAGAAGTGTATCCCTGGTTGTATCGGTCAGAAGCGGACGAGTTCACGGTCGAGGCGCTCCAAGATTGTACCAAGCTCTACCTCCGCGAAATCAAGAACCTGTATCGGCATAATGTGCCAACGGGGTGGCACGAGCGAGTCGCAATTCAAATCTACTTGTCCATGACGCTGCTAGCGAAGGTCCAGGCGGAGGTGAAGGCCCACGACACCGACACCAAAGCCGATGCCGATCGTAAGATGCCCCTGCGCAGGTTCGAGGAGCAACTCCGTAGGTCGAAACGGGCCATCGAGATCTCGAATTCCGTTGGACAGAAGAGGACGGGGAAGCAAAAGGTACTATAAACTCTTTGCTAAAAAAGTGGCTTGCAAATAGCCGGGCGCGTCTTTGCATGTAGTTGCGGCACCAGCGCATGTTCATGACCATGGATGTTGGCGTGTTTATTTCCACTTGTCGTGGCAACTTCACCAGCTACACCCACTTTGATGTTGTAGTGAGCCGCTTCCGTTCGAACATACTACACGCATGACAGATGTAGACGTAGGTATCGCATGAACCAAGAGCCGCTGGCTCTGGGAGTTGATACCACTATTTCTTTCTAAAATCAGGTTCTGAAGAACCCGTTCCTTGCGGGCATCACGGAAACACGACGGCTGAAAGGTGAAACCGAGTCGCAACAGGCTGCTCCGGTCAATCACGAGTTAGACCCAGACGACGCAATGGAGTACTTAGTCTCGATCCATAGCCAGCCACAACAACGAGACGTCGAGGAGCAGGAAAATTATACCCCAGAAGCTACAGGAGCAACAGCGCAATCGGAGAAGGAGTTTTTCTCGTACTCTTGATTACTAGTTATTTTGCTTTATTCAAAAGCGTTTGCTCGAAGTAGTACAAACAGAGCTTCTGCTTTTGTTGAGAATGAAATTCAATTTCTATCGTGTCACTGCCTCTTTCTCTCCTTCTACTTGATGAGCAGCGGCGAAGTCGCTCAGGCGAAAGAATGACAAAAAAGCGAGGACACGACATCATAGTACAAATGATAATAAAGTACGGCAAAGATGACAAACAGAGAGAACAAAGGCAATGACAAACGACATCTATTTAGATGATAAGACCGATCATTTCATCCTCCCTACAGAAACCAACTCCCCGTCGAACACGAAGACGCGTCTCCAGACAAGATGGAGAACACCCAGGGGACGAGCGCGGGATTCTTGGACGGCAGCCGGTCGAGCAACAGTGCGAGTTCCCAGCAATCAGGGGCGACTCCGATCATGACAAACCCGCCCGACGAGCACTACGATTCAGCGACCAAGAAGGCTACTACCAAAATCCAGCTAGTGGAGGAAAACACTGCGGGAGCTGCGAGCGAAGGGGCCGGCTTGTCCACTCCAAAGCGAAGCAGTTTCGTGCGTGGGATGCGCGCATTCTTCGAACGAACCCCCTCATCTGCTTCAAGTTCGTCGTGCTCATTGTCGCCCGCGAAAGAGCGGGGGTGCGAGCGACGGTCGGACTAACTTGACAGCCTACAGGATAGCTGAATACTTTTGGAAGCAAGCAGGTGCACAAATTGTATCTACTCATGCTTCTCAGTAGTTGTTTATGTGTGTCTACAGAATGTAGTATGTTAGTTTCCTCAATTTTGTTTAATGCCTCCATGATGCCGATTCATCGCGATTATGTGTGATGTCATCATTTATTCCGAGAAACAAAATCCAGGTGTAACACTCTGTGGTCGAAAGCATCTCACTCTCACGCGGATACTCTAGGAGAAAAAGTTGATGGGACAGGTACTTGTACTACCAGAAGTACTGCTGCTTCTTTTATTTTCATCTTGCGAAAAGTTAAAGTGCCACGACATAGAATGCGTCGTCTGACTTCGGAACTTCTTTCTTTAGTTCATGGAATAACTATCAGGTGCTTCTTCCGAGGCTTTTCACTGTCACTGATATGATCTTCTGCACGAATAGATGACGCCGAGCTGCTCACTTTCAGTAGGATAACTACTTACGGATGTGCTTGCGGGCCAGTCATTGTCATGCACGAGGACCAGACGAGAAGAGATGCAAGATGTCCCAGACATCTTGAAGTTTTTAATTTGAAATTACATTACAACTAAATCAATCTGACAAGCAAATGCTGACTTGTGCTACCTCCTATGGATGTAATCGGATTTTTACAAGGGCAAGAATAATAGCTCGCTGAACAGATACAGATCTCGAAGTTTGGTTTTCCGTTTGAACAGAATTTTATTGATTCTTGAGGAGACTCAATACAAATCTTGAGCCCTTGTATGTAAGAACTAGAACTAAAATTGACCTTGTGACGGATATTTAGGATTCGGGTTTCGATTTCAAAATAAAAGTAGAGGCTGGAGCTAACCTGGCGAGTTATACCAGATCTTAATCAGCACAGAGCCACCCCCCTTGTTTTCATTTTCAAAGAACACGACGTGGATTAAAATGGACAGAATTATTGCGAGCTTTGTAAGAAGAAGAGCAGTGCCCCCCGGCAGTCGCAGTTCTACGCGAAAACCAATGCGCACGCGCTCCATCATGAGCTCGTCACGGCCGTCAGGGTAAATGGACAATCAATTTTTTCTGTGAACTAACTATCGTATTTGTGTCGTGTTCTGTTGAGGCTTCACCCGAAGAAGACCCTTGGTGCGGCTAAGTTCTTGTGATTTTTCAGAAGGAAGATTTGGTTAGGTTCTACAAGAGAAATTCGGTGATGCGCGGTCTACTTCTTTGTATGATGATGTGTACGTTGACTGGCGTTTGCGTTTAGAGAGTAATACAGAATGAGTCTAGAACTGATGCTCGGGGGTTTTGCAGTTGCGCGCCGTTTTGCGTGCCTCTTCCTTTATTTTCGCATCCTGCGGCAGGGGTTGAGACGAAATTTTCATTGCGAGTAGCGAGAGTGTACGAGATTCCAAGCACGATTGCAGCCTCAGTTAGTAGAGGACGCAGTTGAAGTTGTAGAAACCGAGGAGCGACCCGCTCACAAAGGAATGACCGGAGCGCGAGCGATAGTGAAAATGATTGCGCCTTGTGTCATTAGCAATAGCATAAGCATTTCGATGATACTGGTGGAAATATGGGGCCAGCGCTTTATTTGTTCAACATCAGCGTATAGAACAGTGAAGAAGCAAAAGGAGGAGCAGGGCAAGCGCATCCCTACACTGCAGACCGCCGCGCATGTACTGAAAGACGATGCCGCCTCCTATTCTTGAATTTATTTCAAACAAGCGCGGCAACAACGACAAGGCCCGTCGCTTATGGCGAACTCCATCAGCGACCTGGAGGCGCGGCCTGTCTCGCCCCAATTCAGAAGAGGCGCGAGCCGGCCCGGGAGCTTTTCGGGCCGGCCTCCCTTCTCTGCCCTGGCTGCCGCGCGGCAACGCGGCGGCCGGGCGCTGGGCGTCTCTACACTGATGCGGCCCCTTTCGCGGCACCCCCATACGCCCACGGTTACGCGTTCTCCCTGCGTGGAGGGCCGGCCCGCGGCGCGCCCGCGGCTTTCTAGCCGCGCACCTGTTTGCGCCAGGCTGGTTGCCTGTCAAGGAAGGTGTGGCTGCGCACTACCTCGCCCCGCCAATCCGCGTGCCCCAGGCTCGCGCAGGTCTTGCGTCGGATCGAAAAAACGCAGAAGAACTTGCTGCAGTACAAGAAAGACAGGAATTGGAAGCGCGCGCCGGATATTCGCGCAAACTTCTAGCACGCGGTGGACTTGATCGGCCACATGATGTCGTTGCTTGGGCGCGCCGACCCGGTTGTAGCCCTGGCTTCTGGCGCCGAACCTTCTTGCGCCGGGCTGCTTGCCGGGGTTTGGTTGCGCAAGCCCCAGCCCCGCTAGTTTGTGGCGCAGCAAGCTGGGCCGCGCGCGTATTTTCCCCCATTCGCACTCCAGCGAGCGCGCCCGCCGGGTTGTGGTGCGCAGGCGGGCGCTGTCACGCAAGCAGCAATTGCATGGTTTGGCTGTGCCCAGACCGCCCGCCCGCGATGCCTGGGCAGGAGTGGTCTTCATTGTCTGCTTCTTTTTATCGTGGTATATTCAAATACAAACCACACGTGATCCCTATGTATGAGTCCGAGCGCTCGTCGCAATACCCTCGCCCGGCTTCGTGTCAACGTGTTCGCTCTCACCGGAAGCGGAAGATAGGCTCTTAAGTGGGTATTTGTATGTGTGTTTGGATGCCGAGGCCTGCTATGATTCATACGACAGATGGTTACGAAAACGGCTTGATCAAATGAAATTGGATGACGTTCTGGATCGTCTCTCAAGAAAAAGTAGCTTGTCGTTGTCCTTGTCGTCTCATCGGGAAATAAAGAGTGTGCAGCTGTTTTCTCCTTCGCTCAAGGTTATCGTACTGCCAAATAAAATTTGAGCTTGCTCTCAACGCCCTGAAGTAAAGAACTCACTGACTACCCCAAAGAGGTTGTCGATTTCCTCACGGCGATCAAATTGCTACGGCGACACATCAAGAATTGGACACTGCTTGCTGCCCGTGCAGCCTGCCTGTATCCTGTTGTTCCCGTACATATAATTCGTTTGCACAACATAACTCCAATTGTAACTCAGCAAAACCCATACCAAAATGGCGCTTCTTTCGTCAGCCTCCACCGCTCTCGCCCCCTTCTTGTCTTCCTCTGGAAATAAAATGGCCACCACATCATCTTCAACTGCGCCTCTCGACCACACCCTCTACCTGTATTCCACGGAAAAGCCTTGCATCGTGTTGGATTTCGGCCGCCGCTTCACAAAGATCGGACTTTCTGGCGAGTCCCGTCCGCGTTTCGTGCTCGACACACCGGAACTGTACTATCGGCCTTGGTATGCTTTGCAAATATGTGTGGGTCTGAAAAGGTGGAACTTGTGATGCTGCTTTTGAACAATCCCAACAAAATCTGTATTGCCTGGGCAGCGAGAGAAGTCTAGTTTTCGGTGCGTGGAGCATTTCTCATTCGGCATAGACATCAAGAAGCATTCAGAAAATCTGTGATGCTAGGAAATACATCACAGACGAGACGTCACGGGCCATGTAAAATGCGCATGACATACAAGTTGCAACCTTCCAGACCCGGCACGTTTGCATCTGATACTTGGGTCAGTGAACGGGTGATCGCGACTTCCGCCTTGGACGACGGCGGGGGTGGGGGTGGAGGGGACGATAAAGTAGAGGGAGACAAACAACGTCGATCGACTTCCTCTTCATCAAAAGCAAGAGCTAGTAGCTCGTCTAGCGCTTCGAACAAGTCCATGACGCCAGCCAAGCCTCTCCGTGCCTGGATCAAACTGCTCGAACCGCTTCTGGACAAGATTTTTTTTCAGCAATTGAAGCTGAATCCCGTGAACAAGAGAATCATTCTCTGCGAGTCCCCCTTCCTTCCCCTTCCCTTCAAATTATGAAGTGCAAAAGCATCGTGCTAGTACTAATTGCATTACAAATTACCTTAGCGCGACAAATGGAATTTGTGATGCTGTCTTACCTTGGGATGGAGATTTGTAATGCATAATTGCAATTACTACAAGCGCGATACTTTTGCACAGGATACAGATCCGCGGTTTACTACTTGTTGTTCGAAAAGTTCAAAGCGGGCAGTGTGGTCAGCGTCTGCGACTTGCTGATGCCACTGTATTTGACGGGGACGTCGCGGAAGGAGATAGAGTTTGATGGTGGGAAAATGCCAACATCTGCTGACAATTTCCTGTCAACGACGACGCCGAATACTTTTCTTACAGGCAGTGCCCCTGCTGCCTCAGGAACAATCACAACTTCCTCTTCGTCTTCGCCATTTTCAAGTAAACCAAAGCCCGATCCGCCAGAGCAGATTGCCACCGGGATTGTGATCGACGTGGGGCATGCGAGTACCCGGATTCTCCCCGTATTTGCCGGCGTGCCACTGTTGACCGCTCTGCAGGAGATCCGATACGGAGGAGAATCGGTGACGCAGCAGTGGGAAACGATGTTGGCGAAAGCAGCAACAGAACTTCCGTCTTTGATGACAAATAGCATGACAGGCAAAACTGAGCAGGCGGAGGACTACAAGGTGAAGCTCGGGTTTTTATGAATTGCAAAAGTATCGTGCTCATAGTAATTGCAGATATGCATGACAAATTGCCTCCCAGCGTAAGCGAGCATGACAATCTGTATTTTTCATCCTGCTGGTGCTGAGCAAACTTTTTCTTTTTGTAAATGCAATTTATACTGAGTGCGAAGATTCTTTTGCGCTGCATACTCTGTCCGCTACAACAATTTCCCTCCGCCCGACACTTCGAAGCCCGTGAAAGAGAATTCGATGGAGGAAGAGAAACTTTTCAGAGAACTGCTCGGGGAGGATGGCCGTAGGTTTCTGAACAGGACTGCAGGAACAGGAATGTCTTCGCTCACAGCTGCAGCTGCAGGAGCTGATGCTGATGGCACAACTACTAGTGCCCCAACAGGAACCACGAGGACGCCACCCTTCGTCATCCCTAGCAGGGCCTCCTCCTCTTCTTCCTCCACAAGGCGCCCCTATTGCCTAAAATGTTGCCGGCCGCAAGAGAAATGCTTCAGGAACTACGAGATCTTGACCACCTCCAGTGCCGGTAGAGCAAGAACTATGTCCTCTGACGGTGATAATGATGTCAAAGTTGAGAACTTCGTCGATTCTTCCGAGGACCAGGCCGAGGACTTCGAATCTGAGCTCCTCGTCACGGCCTTTTGGAAAGCGGTTGACCTTTGCCCACTAGACGTGAAGACGAAGGTGGTGCAGAACGTCGTCCTGTGCGGCGGACAGAGCGGCGCGATTGGGTTTTTCCCGAGACTGGCGGAGGAGCTCCAGAAATCCGTCACAGAAGCAGTTTTGGAGCGGCAGTTTGCGAAAAAAATGGCGAAAAAAGCGTCGTCGAAAACAGGGAGGAAAGACTCGGTGGACAATAGTGCGAAAATGGGTACTGGTGAACAAATCGCTTTATCCCCAACATCGAAACAACCGAGCAAGAAACTCCTCAACCGCGGGCTCTACGACATCAAATTTGCCCGGATCGACACCGTTCCGCCACTGACCCGGATTTGGACCGGCGCGAGCTTATTTGGCTCCGTGGTCGCGGTGACATCTCAGCCGAATTTGCCGTCGTCGGGGATAGGAGCGAGTGCTGCTGGTGGCGGGAGCAGGGGGAGTGGTGTTGATGGTGGGACAAATATTCCTGGGGAGTACACGATGGAACAGTACAAAAATGGAGAACCCATACCAGATTGGTGCGTGCAAAGTTGCGCATGATGATGATGTAGTTGATGATTCATGCTGGTCGCGAAAGGAAGGTTGTGATGGAATACAAAAGTGAGAAAAACAAGAAACACGCCTGTTCCTGTGTCTGCGGGCATCCGCTGCAGCTTCGGCCGCAAAATTCAGTGACTTGAAAGTTCGAATGTCGAATGGTCATGATGCAATCTCGCCTGCGGAAGGATCCTCATCCGAACCTGATCTTTCCTTTTTTGAGCTACTTACAGCAGCATTTATGTAAGCACGCGCACAAGTGCTGTCTACTTCATTTTCAGTACCACGCGCTCCCGTGACGAAAAAGATCCTTCAAAAGAGAAGCTCAGGATCTAGGGTTGTAGTAGTCAGAGTCACGAAGAACAAGATGAGATCTTCGCCTCCCACGAGGATGTCGCCGCTCAACAAACTCTCTTGGTTGTTTGCTTTTGCCGGCCCACCTCCGGGGATCGTGACATCTTCTTCGGCAATGTCGATTGAGAAGCAAGTGGATTTTTTACTGAAGAAAGCGCGGACGAAAAGCACGACGCCGACGGGGGGAGCAGCTTCTTCTTCTGGCGGTGAATGCGGGGACAAAACTACTAGCGGGTCATCTCTAGTGTACGCTGATGACGCTGAAGAGTTTGAGATGGAGGTGGAAGCATCTGCTTCATCCTCATCTTCGCTTCTGTCCGGCACGACAAAACACCAGACCGCAAGAACCCACGAGTACCTGCTCCGCGAATCCGTTCCGATCGGTGGCGATTTGGAATTCGTATCGAGTGCAAATATGTCTGGGTCTGGAAGGTGGCGGCAACTTGTCATGGTAAATCTGAAGCATGCATAAATCTGTGTTGCATGAGCGTCAAAAGCTGTACACTTTTGACCAACATGGAAGGGAGTTTCTCACGCAGGATAGGCATGGCAGAGACCTCGCAGATTCTGTCATGCTAAATCACACATTCCAGATCCAGACCTCATTCGCTATGGAAAATCTGCATGACAAGTTTACACTTTTCCAGACCCAGACAATTTAATTTTTGCACTTGATAACTCGGAGTGAAAAACATCTTCGCCCTCATGCAGAGCATCCAGAAAATCTACACGGAAACAACGGCCGGATGTGAGGACATGCGGTTGGAGAGGTTGCTGAAATTACGGCTGAAAGTGAAGGACCGAGGGTTTAATTTGCACTCGAAGGTATACGACGGGACTTAGGACTACAGAGTTAAGTTGTTGTGATGATGCATCATGATTGTGTTTGTGTTGCTAAATTTGGATGAAGAACAGTGCCCTGGTGTGTGTGAAGATCTCTGTCGATGCGAAACCTGCAATACAAAGTCCGGATTCAAAATGATTTATCTATCAGGTCCTCAACCTCCGCCAGCTAGTAAGGGAGCACTACACGTTCAACAGCAAAAGCAACCCCCTCACGACATCACTTTCCGAGGAGGCGGAGAGTGACAATACAGTCTTGGACTCCTTAATCTCAACCTTCACGCTGAAAGACTGGTCGGATTTGCTCTTCGTCTACCAGAGCCGGTTTTTCTTCAGCTACTTTCGGGTTTTGTTCTTCTCGGCATTGACTTCGAAATTCTACAAAGATTTCTTCCCCGTTTCCGACAGTAAGGGACTGCAGAAGTTGGGCTTTCTCTTCCAAAAAGCAGCGGTGGAGCTGCCGAAGTACTTGACAGGACGACAGAGAGATACTAGTGCGGAACAACAAACACATGCAGAACAACAGCATGACAGAGAGGAGTCTTCTGCTCTTGATGAAATCCAGTATCCGAAACAGATCTCCTACTTGATCCGCGGGTGTCGGAGTTATCAGGGGTCGAAAAACGCGTTCAAGATCCTCGCGTTGGCGCCGAACCAGGGCCGAGAAGTGCTAACGGACGCGAAATTTCAGAATCAGCGGTGCTTGAAGTACAGAAATGACGTGCTGCGGCAATTGCTGGCCGCGAAAGTGGATTTCGTCGACTACACGGCGGAAAGTAGAACGACGGGAATCTACATCGTCGAGGGGGAACAAGACCATCAGCTGAGTAATATGCGAGACGCAGAGCAAAAGCAAACTCCTCCTCCTGCTCCTTCTGTACAACACAAACAGAACTTTAACCACCTGGCTTATGAAGAAATGGACCCAACCTCATTACAAACTGGCAACGTCATCACGCATCTGGACGGGATCAAACTCGAATCCGTTGCGCACTTTCACCAGATTTTACGGCAGAGTTTGGGTGAAGAAGTTGAAGTAGTAGCTTCTTCTACATCTTCAGCCTCGCAGGAACAAGAACTACCGTCGAACCCCAACAGTGCTTCCAACGACATCCTCATTTCTGTCGACCGGGACGAGCGTGACAAAATCCATCCTCTTCCGAAAAAAATCAGCGAGGTAGCGGGGAGTAGATGTTACGAAATGGTGTTCAAAGGTGGTAATAACGTGAAGCTGATTCAAGTAGCAATGCTGAAACTGCTCGGAGATGAGAATTTGGAAAAGTTGATGCCAGCTTCTACTTCTCGACGACAAAATTTAGATGACGTTGGAGAGGACAACCATCCCGGCTCCTCCGTGGCCGCCACTACAACAACTTTCCAAAGCAGCGTTAAAAAAAAGCCAACCATCTACAGCCTTGTCGATCCGAAACCATCCAACCTGAAGGAGTCCGTGAACCAGTTGAAACAGAAATATCTCCCGACTGACTGGTCCGACTTGGATTTTTCCGTGAACATTGACAGGGTGAGACCGGAATGCGCTGTTTTCCGCTCTGATACAATCCACCGGATTGTGATGGAAAAAATTTCCGAGAAATTATTCCACGGGTTGATTGAGCTGTTGACAATGGACGAGGAGATGCTGGCTTTTGGGCAGGAGGTGAAGCACTGGATTCTTGAACGGGAGAAAGATCTGGGGACTTTTTTGAATGAGATGGTTCTTGAGGAGAAGGAAAAAGTGGAGAAAATTCTGGATTTTGTGGTCAAAAAGGAAAAAATGCGGGAAAATTTCTTTTTCGAAAAAGACCCAGTGGTAGCGCGGGCGGTCGCACGACGAGCGGGAACAAGGTGGGAGGAAGATGCGAGTTCGAGTGAGGACACAGCAGAGGAAGACGAGGACGACGAGGACTTGAGTCGCGTTGTGCTGCAGCCAAGCCCAACTGAGCAAGATGTGGACAACAACCTCAGCTCTGCTTCTTCCACCTCATCCGCGGGGATTGGCAACGCAACTCTCTGGTCGCCGAACTCGAAGATCGAAGCAGCGGGTGACGATGTTGACGAACTTTCCTTGAACAGCACATCAGCACGACAAAATCGAAAAGCTGATGTTGGGTCAAAGACCCGAGGGCGGTCCAGATCTGCGTCCCGGAAGAAGAAGAAAAAGGGCCTTGTCATCAAACCCTCCTCCAGTGCGAAACAAATAGCGAGCAGCAGAAGTAGAAGCAAAACTTCTTCTAAAACAAGAACTTATTCCTCCGGCGCATTACACACGCATCACCAAGGCGGTTCGGATTGGTTTGAGAATCATGCAAATCTACTTCGGGAGCTGTATCCTGAGTAAAAACGTACCCACACCAGAGTCAGGATAGGGATTTTGCAACACAAACCTAGGAGTTTTGTGAGTCACGCATGACAAGTTGCACTCTGCAGTGTAGTGCAGGTTAGCACGTCCAGCCGCATCACAGATTCATCTGCTCATCCTGTTCACAGCATCACAAATTCCAAAACACGATTGGAAATGGCTCTCATGGGAGTGCGCGTTACAAGTCTTCCTGTCTTGCAAATCTGCATTACAACTCTGGTGTGGGTACGCTTTTCCTCAGGATAGGCTGCTCCGAAAGTTCAAGATCACCGGTGTTGTGCCCTCAGAAAGCCGGCCTATGAACTGCAAAAGTATCGTACTAGTAGTAATTGCAATACAAATTAGCTCAGCATGACAAATGGAGTTTGTCATGCTGTTTTGCCTTGGGATGAAGATTTGTAATGCATGATTGTGATTTTTACTACGAGTGCGATACTTTTGCACGGGATACGGCCCTTCATCGTGCAACTTCCGGAGGCGGTTTCGGTAGAGGGAAAGTTTTTTGATGAAAAAACGAGCGGTGTAGTAGGAGTTGCTGATATTGCACCAACGCCAACGTCCTCTACATCTGCGTCCTCTTGTGCTACGGGAGGACGTGCTGCTACCCCTGCTCCGCCAGTCCTCGGTAAAGGAAAAGGGGGCGGCGCAACACTGATCGAAAATAAAACTACGCTTGATCATCCTGCGACTTCATTTTGCAGTGGCGGAAAGGGATCCGGGAAGGGATCCTCCTCAGCTGTGTTGCGAAAAGGGAAGGGACCGAGTACTTGTGCTGCTGCGAGCAGCTACCAAAATTTCGTGATGGCGGCGCAACAGAAAGAGTGGCAAGAAATTCAGGAAGTAGTGCAATCGGTCACCCCGCCGGCCCCCGCGGCGTCTTCTTCATCGTCTTGTCAAAGTCGAATCCGAAGCAGCAGCTTGGGGAAGAAGGGAAAAGGTGGCTCTTTCCAGTACGACAACTCGAAAACAAACACCGGAAAAGGCAAACTCCTCGCAACACTTCTTGCTGCGTCAAACACTTCTGGCGCTGGTCGGAATAAAGGGAAAAACTGCAACATGGTGGATGGCGCAGCTGGCTCATCGGCCGATCCAATTTTGAATGCGCACGGGCGAAGTTACAGTGGGGGTGTTTGCAGCGGCGGTCCACCAGGAGCCCCGCAGCGTTTTCTAGACCACAATCATACAACGGGAAATGACGAGGACTCAGAGTTGTGCAGTGACGAGGAGCAGGAGGAAATTCCAAACCTTCTCCAACCCACCACTCGTCTTCTTTCCTCAACACCGGATCATCTTCAGGATTCCCACAGCGACCCCGATAATTTGGTTTTGGATCTGTCATGCGAGGACAAAGCTGCGCACCAAGTAGACCACGAACCGGAACAGCCGAAGATGAAGGTGATCACCTCAACGCGGTTTCAGCCTTCCTTCCTTCGTGCCCGGATGATCCTATGGGAGCGTCAGGATCGAAATCGGTAAAGTTGAAAAACAAAAATTTGTGATGCATAAAACCGATACCAGTTGGAAGCCCAATTTCCAAGCGGCGCATGACAAATTTTGGCACCATCTGAATCCAGTTTGTCACGCTGTTTGGGGAAAGAAGGCGTCTTTTGTCATGCTACTGTAGCAGCTCTATCGCAGACCCCAAACAGGCTAACAGTCGGCCTCACTTGCCATCCGTGCAAGAGAGGCGCCCCATGCCCTGCAATTTATGCATGAGAAGTCGTTTCAACTTTGTCGATTTCGATCGAGCCACCTCCATAGATCCGGGGGATTGGGTACGCGGACTCGCGGGTGTTGGACGAGAAGGGGTTGCTTATCAAATGCAAATATGTCTGGGTCTGGACTAAACTTGTGATGCTAAAATGTGGATGATGGAAACAGTTCCGAATGCAATCCAGCATGACAACTTTTCAGAACGCTTTCTCATAGGCAATCCGCATGTTGAGAAGCCGGGTTTTTGCATGTACAAAAGAGGCTGCGACTTTTGTTGGTTATGCAATAGTACAGATTTTCTAGGTATGGAAAGCTAGCATTACAAGTTCCAACCATCCAGACCCCGACACATTTGCAATCCATATTGCTGTGGTTCGACTTACTCCGTGGCATGATCGACGTGAGGATCAAAGCACCCCTTTTGGAAAAAATCGATCCGTTTTACGAGCGGTTTTTGGCCAAGGGGATTGAGATCTACGACTTTAGCCACCACACCAGCGTGGATTTCGACGCGCAGACCTTTGAGCCAGCGTACCGATTGGCGGAAATGACCCTGAGGTTGCCGAAGTTTGACGTCGTTGACACAGACACTTCTTCATGTGGAAAAGTAAAAGCGCCTTTGTCTCAGTCTCGACGACCAGAAGATGACGACGACTCCTCTGCGGAGGACGACCAACGAGGACAGTGTGACGATGCGCTGCAGACGAGTAGATCACCTTCGTCATCTCGGTCAGTGTCTTTAACCAACTCGTCCCGCTCCTATTCACCGTCCCAGTCCGCCTCACCGGCCCTGTTGATGCGACGCGCAGAACAACACTCGCGAGTTGGGGAAAGAAGCAGCATCAAAGGCTCGACGACTCTATCGAGGACTAGAAGAACTTCTAGGCGCAAGCTTAGGCGGCGTGGCACCAGCAGAGGATCTTCATCTTCTAAGCGTGGACATCATCATCAAGCGGACTTGTTCGAAGGCGACACGCGAGTGGATGTTGAGCAGCTGCCCCTTGTCATAGCGACGTCACCAGGACAAGGGTCGAGGTCTTTTGCGGTGGTCCAGCAGTGTGATGAACATGATTGTGATTCTCCTTCGCATCATCAAACCGAAACCGTCACCGGCCTCGTCAACTCCCTGGAAGCGCAGATCGAAGATTCCATCCTCTGTGCCTTCGGCTTATGACAGTGCACAACTCTCCCTCTCCCTTATTTGCATGGCATGAGCAGCAATACAAACGCCAGCACTCCAACTCCTAGAGCCTGCGCATGACAAGTTCACTGGGCGATAGAAGTAGTGCTGTTTGGCCTCTCGAAATTTGTCATGCAAACAGTGCCACAGGGCAGCATTTGAATTTGCGGCTTTGCATGACAAATGAGGAGGACGGAATAGTTTACGAGGGGACGCCCAGCCCTTAGCCTTCCAACATGACAAATGAGGGGGAGGGGGAGTTGTGCACTCTCATACGGCTCCCCGCACCTCCAGGTCCGGGAAGACGAGAGGGTCTGGAAGACGCCGAAAATCGAGAAACGGTTTCAACGGTGGGCTTTGCTAGTTGGTGCGGCGGTGTTTACCACGTCTGCTGTTGGTAATGGTAAGACTGGTGGAACTGGAACGAGTGGGGCTGGAGGTGGAGCTACAACTACAGCAATAACGCACTACGCGGGCTCACCATCAAGTACTACATCAACTCCACTTGAAATTACTTGGGAGAAAGCGAAGCAGCTGTTTGGCTATTTGCAGTTCGGTTTGCTCTTCTTCTTCGATGACCTCCCCGCGTTTCTGACCAGAGTGGACCAAAACCACAGAGGCCGTCGCGGCGGAACTGGAACTGGAGATCGTGCGACAGGAGCATCAAATAAGCAATCCATTGTTTTCCAGGCGAAGGACTACATTGAGAACGTGGTAAAAGTGAAGGCGGCAAGAAGGGTGAATGGGAATAAAAAGGAATTGGACGAGATTCTGCGGAAGTTGGACCCGCACGCCCTCACTTCCCACGCGAACGTCTTCACGTTCTTGCAACCAGTGGCGGCGTATAGGGAGTTTCATAACTTTTTTGGAATCTTCGCAGAAGTCGTATCTTTTGCATCAACCACTCTTCAGTACAACTTTTCTATGTAGTTTACAATTGAAGATCATGTTCACGACACGATCTATCGCGCGTAGACGCAGTCAACATCCCACATTTAGAACTAGAACTACCAAAATTGGCAAACACAATCAACATCAACAGGTCCACCCTGAAGGCGCACAGATCGGGGCGGCTCTACCGTCAGGCCTTGAACCGCTACCACCACGTCATTGACCCGGCGGTGGGGGTCTTGAAAAACTTATGGCGTTCTCAAACGTTACATTTTCAACTGTTACATGGATTTGTCATGCAAAAGTGCCTTCAGCCGGCAGATGATCGAGCTGCTTCGCATGACAAATGTCGGAAGGGATAAACAGCATCTAAATCTGCGCCAATCTTGTAATGCAAAAGGCGCAATCTTCCTCCTTTCACTTTTGCCAGTCTTGCATGACAAATTCATGTAACAGTTGAGAATGTAACAGTTGAGAACGCCATAAAACTGGGCGGAAGTTTGCGACTACATGGCCGAAAAGGGGATTGCGAAGTCGGCTTTTCAAAGAAAACAGCTGTACGATGTGGAGTTTGATTTGGTGAAAGTGATCGGAGGACGAGCAGGCTGAAGTGCACTGGAAGCGGCTTTGAGAATACAGTAGCTTCATGGGCTCGATGAACGTACAAAAAGAATCTTCAGTACGAAGAGAATATAAATGTCTAATTTGAGACGCTCTTTCAGGCTGAAGAAACTTATTAAAAGCTCTAGCTCATCAGAGAATACAAAAAGTAGACAGGTGGAGCCCAGCGAAAATACACATCGTATGTAGTTGGAACTCGCGGTCGCGTACCGTAGCTCCGTTTGTGCTAATACAAGACACGTCGAGCGCTTTGCAAGTTTTTAGACTGGTGTGGAATGCAAAATCATCATCAAGTAAGTGCATGTAGAAAAGAATGCGCGACGGAGATCAAACCGAAGTCTGTTGCTTCTGTGTTGGCGTAGAGGGATGCCGCGCTGGCCCTGACCCGGTACATCGGAAGACTGCTGGACGATTCGAAGACCCGAAGCGGTGCCATTCGGGAGGCCTCCGCCGCTGCCCGTGCTTGGGTGCTCTTGAACCTGCCGCGCGTCGCGCAGCCGGGTGCTGGTCCTGACGCCCGGGGCCTTGCCGCGCGGGCCCCGCTTGATCAGTGGCCCCAGTGTGTCGAAGCGGGTTCTATTGGTGGAGGCGGGATAGAGCTCCGCGCCCTGGCGGAGGGCCGTCGTTTTTCTCCGTTGTTTTCTTGGGGGGTTGGGCAAAATTATCGGCGGTCCTGCCGGCCCCGCTTCGTGCCTAGCCTTCCGCACCCCCGAAGTAGGGACGCGAGCGCCCAAAAGTGGCAGCGCCTTCGTGCCGCGCCACCAGTTAGCCGGCACTAATGGCGCCCCCGTCCGCGGCCGTGCGCGACCCACTGGGCCCCTACGCGTACAAAAAGAAACGCCGGGGCGCGGCGGATGGCCGGCTGGCACATGGCAAGGCAGGCGGGAGGGGAGGAGAGCGGGCGGGGGGAGAGGGCCCAGCAAATGCCGTCGCTGCATTCTGCGCGCCGCTTTGGCTGTGGGCCGGCGATGCCCACTATTGGGGCTCCGCCGCTTGCGCCGAGCCAGCGAGCACCCCAGGCGCGCGCCATTTGCGCCGTGTTTCTATTCCGGCCGGCGGGCCGCCCCTTTGCAGCAAGGCGGAAAAGTACGCGCAAAGATGCCGGCGGTTGGCAAAATTTTTGCCAGGGCCCGGCGTTGTGTGCGTTTCGGCGCGTATTCTATCTTTGCGCCCGGGGCCCGCGCGTCGGCAGCCTTCAGGGAGTTGGAAGAGCGCAAGGACTTGGGGGGCCGAATTGGGCCCGATTCGGCCGGGCGGGCGCGTGCCGCCCGGCCGGGCGCATATTGCTGTGGCGCATAGATAGGAGGGGGGCAAGCCTCTCGCGGGTGGCCGTGCGTTGCTTCGTTCTTTTGCTGGTACGCAGACGCCGCCGCCATTACCCGACGCCGGCCGGCCCCATGCATTGAGCAACCTTGTGACGCCCGCCCTGCTTGGTGGTTTCCCCAATATGGCGGCGCGGCCGCAGAAAATCGCGGAGGCCGCCCGCGAATTCCGCAGCCCCGACAGCGTATCGCCCTAGGTGCCCCAATTGGGGCAAGAAGAGAAGAAAGGGGGCAAAAGGTTGAAGGAGAAGGGGCCCAGCGTGCGCCGGGTCAGCATGCACGCCTGCCAGCAACCGCCCCCCCGGCCCGGCTGGGCAGGGCTCGGGCTACGCATTCCAGCGGGGGCCCACCGCGGCGCGCGGGCGGCCGTGCGCCGAGAAGCACCAGACGGGTCTACGAATCAACCCAACCGAAGCGGGGCCGCACAACTCGGAGCGCCCGCGTCCGACCCGCGCCGATGGATGGCGCTACTTACTGCCTGGGCGAAAATACGGCCCCGGGGGAATGTTCCAAGATTCCCGGCCCGCGGCCCGGGGCAGTGTGGGCCGCTCGCCGTTGCATTTTCCTGAGAGAGGCCGCAGGCCGAGCCCCCGCCCGCGCGCCCGCCAGGGTGCCGGCGCCGGTTTGTCTGGGCGGCGCCTCCCAGGGTTTGGCGCAAGATGTTGCTTTCCGAAAACAACAACCCGCCCAGGGTTGCATCAAAGCGAAAACTTCGCTGTGATGCAACACGGCCGCGGCACCCGACAGGCGCCCTCGTGCCAGTCTGGCGCGAACGGATCGACTTCTTTGCCCCGACCTGGCGCGGAAGTGGCCGCCATTACCTCCGTGTGCGAACGCTGGGCCGCATGTGCGCCCGCGGCTTTCATTTTCTTACAGAAATTGAGATGCCTCCGCGCCCGAGCGAAGTTGGCTTGTGGCAACATTATTGGACGACGATGGGATAATTGGTTGCGGAGCCGTGTGCTCGTGTTCAGGTGAAGGCGTAGTCTTTCTAAGAATTATTCTCACGACCATATCGCTATCTCGGCAGGACAAATGGCCCTGGCTTTCCGTATGATCAACGTTACTCAATAGCTGTAGGGCTGCTGACCGCTAGTGGGGACAAGTAAAGGAGCTGCAGCAGAGAACTCAGAAATAAATTCGAGCGCTGATCTTCTATACTTTACCTACTTTTTTTTGTCTTATGTGAAAATACTCATCACGCGCACAATCAGGCCCAAGCTCCGTTTCTACTAGAACAACGACTACAAAAACACTCAAGCTAAGAAACGCGACAAGCTAAAGATGTCGTCCGACAACATGAAAACGATCTTCGAGTCACGTTTCACTATCGCAAACACCTCTTTGCATTCCGTCGTAGCCTTCCACCAAAATGACGTCGTCGCGGCGTTTCCGCAACTCGCCCCACCCCTCACGCCGGTGGAATTCGAACCTCCCCTCGTGCACAAAATGGAAGAAAACGCTCTGTTGAAGTTCACGCTCTGGATCGGTTACTGTCTCCTCCCCGTGCGCTGGGTGGCGAGGCATTTCGAAGTTTCGGAGAACGGGTTCACGGACGAGGTGGTGAGAGGGCCCGTGAAATACTGGAGACACCGGCACGCGTTTCGGGTGGTGGATAAAGTTGGTAGCGGACAGCGGGGAGATCCGTCAGTTCCAATTGCTCCTTCATCCGCACGCGCATCACAAATCGTGGAAGTGCACGACAAGATTGAGTACGAGCATTTTCTATGAAATGTAAAGATGTCTGGGTCTGGTGGAAGAATGCAACTTGTGATGCTGAATTTGCATTCCAGAAAAATCTGTATTGCATGAGCAGCAAAGGGAATGCAATTTTTGCTACGCGGAGAGGGCATTTGTCATGCGGAATAGGCATCGCGAAGCCCTCAAAAAACCTGCGTTGCTAGGGCATGCATCACAGACATCATGGCCAATGCAAAACATGCATGACAGGTCTCAGAATCTTCCAGACCCAGACACTTTTACACTTGATATTTTCCGTTGCTCTCCTACGAGGGAATTGTGGGAAGGTTGCTGATCAACAGAGTGAGCCTGTTCATGCTGTTCAAGTGGCGCGGGTATGCGACGAGACGGGCGATTTTAGACGTTGAAGGAGATATTCACCACGGAAATGAATCAGCACTGGAGAAGCCGTTGCTTGCGAAGAAGTGATTTGGAATTGGATCTGTGCCGCGAAGGCTGTGATGTCGGATAAAAAGCTTAAGTGTGCGTACTCCGCTGCTGCAGGATGATGATCAATTTGATTCTTCATTATTTCTTCGACCTCCGCAGGATCATATGGACAGGTTCATTCACAGGTGAGAAAGAACGGAAGTGATGAGCTTGAGCGTTCATCTCGAATTTGAACTTATCTTGGGATCCGAGGTGGTGAAGATCTTGATATTAGACCACAAGCACAACAACTGAAGACCAAGATGACTCCAATGAACATTTGGTTTTGGATGAGTGCCAAGTTTCAACAACAACTTCTCCTAAGGACCTCGACTAAGACCCGACGACCGCCACTGACGCAAAGACTTTGTCAGGAAAAACGGGAAGAAGTGTTCGCTTTTTCGCTGATCTAGAGTAGATCTTTCTCTTCATTTGCGCACTAGTCATGTAGTTTCGTGCTCTCCTTCCAGTATTTACGGCTTCTACTTCCCTCTATATTTTTCTGTCGTAAAAATATTTTTACCGTTCCTGGCTTTGGCAACTCGTCAGACAATCGGTTTTTTGTAGTAAGTAATAACATATCGCTCGCTACTTCCGCTGCGCGAGGACACGGGCCGCCGCGAGCAGCACTTGAAGAGGGAACAAAGCCAGCTCATAGTAAAACCCAGCTCCTCGTCGACCACATGCCACCTGGCCACATAACTAAGCAGAAGGAGCTCCGCCACCTGCAGCTGCAACCCACGCTCACAACTTCCCCAGTAAATAAAATGTCGTCCTCCTCGAGCACGAGTCGTTTTGATAGCGGCGACAAAGCCTGCTCACCGTGCGCAGCGACCATGGACACAAGAACGACAGGCAGAGTAAACACTACACCCGCCAAACAAACTAGATCAACAACACCAAGAAAAATAAGAAAAGCGCCCTCAGCTGGTGCAGCTACATCTTCTCCCACTAGTACCCGAAAGAAACTCCTGACGACAGCGGCCGGACTTTTTTTCTCCACCACGGCAGGCACAACCGCCGCCCCGGCGAAAGCACCTGGTGCGGGTCCAACGGAGGGAATCAACAGCCGCATTCTGATGATTCCAGACATTCACGGCGACTACGAATTGATGCAGCAAGCGCTGAGCTTCGTCTACCCAATAGACAAAGACCACGATCAGTTGATATTTACTTAGACCAGAAAATCGGAAGAAGTACATACTTTTTCGCGCACCCGCTTGCATGACGGGCCGCTATCGTTTCGCTTCGGGGGCGGCGGGGTGCCCCGACAGTACACCCGGCCCGAGGGCCTCGCTGCGCCATGCAGCGGCTCGGGCGTTGTGGCTTGCCAAAGAGAACCGGGGCGGCCTCCCGACCTCGAAGCCCGCCAGGAGCGAGAAACGCCGCCCCACCAAGCGGCCTCCCCGCGAGCCCGTCCCGGTCGGGCCGGTGCGGCGCCGCCATGTTTTTTGCCGGATGCGCATGGGCCTGCTCGCCGTACCGGAGGGGCCGGCCCTCGAAGCAGTAGGGCGCGCGCCCCTGAGGTGGGGCCTGCTTCGGCCCCAACAGCAGCCGCCCCACAATTGGGGGGCCGGGAAGGGGGGCCCGGAAGGCGCGCGGGCCCCCCCTTCTGGAGGGGGGGTAAAAAGGGGGCCGAATTGGCCCAATTCTGCCGCCTTTTTTAGGGGGGGGCAAAAAATGGCCTTCCCCCGCTACTACAGGGGGGGGGCAAAATGGCCCAGAAGCGGGCACATTTTACCCCCCCTCAAAAAGGGGGGCGAATTGGGCCAATTCGGCCCCCCTTTTCCCCCCCCCTCCGGAAGGGGGAGGCGCGCGTGCCTCTTGGGGGGCCTGCAGTTCACCCGCCGGCCGGGGCCCCGGAAGGGAAAAGGCGCGCCAGGCCGCGGCCAAAGCAAGAGCTTTTCCGTGCCCGGAAGGGCTTCGCGTTGGGGCCCCGGGATGCGCGCCGCGTCGGTTGTGTGTCCCCGACGTGGGCCCAGCTCGGGGGCGGGTGGCGGGGTGTTGGCTGCGTGCCGTCGCCTTCCTATCTACGCCAAGCCGACCCGCCCCGGCCCCGGCCGCGCAGCCGCAATGCCGGGGGCTAATTTTTCCGGGATAAAACAACCCGGAACGCGGTCGCGCCTTCGCACCCCCCAACCTCATTCAGGCCGCGACCCCCATTGCAACGGGATACGCAAAAAAACATGTACTTCTTCCGATTTTCTGGTCTAATTTACCGGGGATTTCGTCGACCGCGGACCGCAACCGCGGGAGTGCTACGAATTATCGCAAGTTTTAGCGGATAACTACAACGTAACCAGGCTAACGGGTAACCACGAGTGGGTCACGATACAGGGGGTCGGGCAGTACTGCACGAGATTTTTTTGTTGTTTTGCTTTATTTAATGGAGGCAACGTAAAACACTGTGATTTGCGTAAATTGATAAATTTGAATTTCATTCTTGCTACTTCTCGTTCGGGTTTGGCACGACAAATTCATATTGAACTCAGATGTTGATTACAAGCAAACCAATACCAGACACGACCCATTTGCCATGTACGTTCCTGAAGAAGATTTGAAGAGCTTTGGAACCTGGCCAGAGAGATATGACAGCCTCAGGTTGGAAATCCTCAAAGTGCAAATAATTTGTAATGCAAAAAAACGACTCCAGTTGAAGCGCCATTTGTAGTCGGCGCATGACAAATTTCCTGGGCCCTTAAAGCATGTCTGTCATGCAGGTTAAGGCAAAGGGCTGCGCTTCTGTCGTGCTAAGCAGCACTCCAATTCTTGACCCCTAGCAGGACAATAGTCGGCCTTTATTGTGTCCTCTGCAAAACAGTCTTTTTGAGTCGTATTTCATGCATCACAAATCATTTCCAATTTGAGGATTTCCATTCTGAGGCTTTCATAAGAGACAGCACGCTTTTTCAAAGGACGGGCATTTCGGCAAAATGATTCGCCGCAAGTTCGATGTGATAGCGGTATAGAATAAAGTTCTGCTTCTAGAACCCTTGTGGTAACTTTTGCTACGCACTTCTCTTGCTTGGTTAGACTCATGATTACGTTTCTCGCACTACGTTCATCATCTCTGCATCACAAAAATCACGCTGAAAATAAAACACCAGCTTCTCGGCATCGACTCCGACCCGATGAGCAAAACTCTATTTGTGCACGCCGGGATAAGCATCCGAACGATGCAGCAATGGGGCACCGTCGAGGCAATCAAAAAAGCGGGCCGGGAGATGCTCCAGAGTGACTACCTGGACACTGTTTTGCTCAACGAAATTTTGCAAACGCGGCATCTCGCGCAAGGCCCGGACAGCCGCGTGTGCATGGAGGTGAGACAAATTTTGAAGGTTGCGAAGGCGGAAAGGCTTGTCGTTGGGCACACGTATGCATGGCAAATATGTCTGGGTCCTCTGGAAAGAACTTGGGGTTGTGATGCTGGTTTGAGAGGAAAGACAGGATCGGCACCTCATGTGGTTGCCAAGTATGACAAATTTTGGCGATGTTGCCACGGTGTTGTCGAATCTGCATGACAAACTTGGCTTTTGCATGACAAAAAAGTGGGGCTACTTTTGGGGACCCCGCATGACAACCTACGTGAGAGTCAAATGTTAGCGGTGCATGCCAAACCATGAAAATTTTTCCAGACTACCCAGACATATTTGCAATGCATACCACGCCAACGCCGCTGATCGGTGGGCAGCCGGGGGAACCGATCGTGAAGTACTTCTACAGAGCTACTCTTGTCATCATGTTTTTCAAAATTTCTGTCTCAAGTGAGTGACGCACTGCATGACAGAACTGCATTGTATTGCTAATGTTCGCATGACAAAATCAAAAATCACTATCAGGTGCAAAGGCCGCTTTATCCTGATGGATGTTGCGATGTCCAGGTGGATGGGCGGCGGCATGCCTATGGAAGCGTCAGGTTTGAAATCGACAAAGCTGAAACGATTTGGCATGCATAAAATGCAAGGCATGAAATGCCTGTCTTGCCGGGATGGCAAGTGAGGCCGACTGTCAGCCTGTTTAGGGTTTGGAATAGAGCTGCTAAAGTAGCATGACAAAAGCAATCGCCTGTGCCCAAACAGAATGACAAATTGGATTCCGGCGCTCGGAAAATTTGTCATGCACCGCTTATAAATTGGGTTTCCAACTGGTATCGATTTTATGCATTACAAGTTATTTCAACTTTGACGATTTCAATCCTGACGCTTCCATAATGCCCGCAGCTTTGATCATCGAGACAGATGCGAATACCGGGAAGTTAAGCCGGGTCTTCTACAAAATCAAGGCGGGGGAAGAGCACGATGTGCCGCTGCCAGAAACGTCGCTGCAAGACACCAAGGATGGCGACGACTTGCGGCAGGAGTTGTAGTCGATGTAGTCTGCAAGGCAGTTTGTTTTCCTGTCTGACTTCCTTCAACAGGCACATCTTCATACCCAAAGTAAATGCTTAATACACTAGTTTAGCAACGAACCTGCATGACATGGAAAGTGAATACCCACTTTGCAACATGATGCTCATTTTCGATGTTGAGTAGAGATCCCCACAGCATACCTCGACATAGCAAAGCTGCCCGTGCAATGTCAGGGCAAATTTTCTAAAACGTCGTGGTCACGATAACTACTTACATTTTTTTAAGGCAACCTACAGACATCTGAAACTTGTCTTGACGTTTCCTAGAATTTTTCCAGACGCATCTCGGTCATGCACCGCCAACAGGCTACCAGGTTGACAGCTAATAGATACTACTTTGATTTTTGAACTGGGACAAGTCAGACTTGTTTATCAAAATCGCATGTGAGGCTTGAAGTTGAAGACAACCAATACGAACGCAACTGAATGAGAAAGCGTAGAAAACGAAAAGCGGCAATTGCCTAGCAGAGCGCTTGACATTTGCTCTATTCCGGCGAACAAATTGCTTTCTCATCTGCGAGGGCACTAATTGCATCAGCATAGCGACCCCATTTTTTTCCCTCAGTGCTGCTGCTGGTGTTGAGTTTTTTCCGCGTAATATGAAACGGCACTTGTGCCCACAGCTCGTACATGTTTTAGCTTGTATCCTACGAGCGCAGGGTGCCAGTAGCTCGGCTAAAAGCACCACGCGAACTATCAGTAAGTGTAAAGCTAAGGACGTAGCCGCAGAACAATAAACGCTAGTAACACGACAGAGGCAGAGCCACTAGCTTCATCTATTCCAATAGATACGCATTAAAAGGAGTTCCTATCCACTTCATGCTACACAAGCTGTTTCAACATTCCTCTTCCTGCGTCTCAATGGCAAAATGGCGACTCCCTCGAAAGCTCTCGTATGCGATGGTGCCCCCTGCATCCCTATTTCTGACCCGGAAAGCCGCACAGTGGAGACTGCGGTACGAGCAGGATCAAGCGACAGCAGCAGCTCCAGAACAACATCACCCACGACACCACACGCCGGATCACGACCAAGGGGAAGGATACGGACTTCCCGGGGGGAGCTCCAACATCCAAAAAGGAGGGAGCAGCAGCAGCACTCGACCTCCGGGGACCTGGTCGTGCTCATCGAATGTAACAAGCCGACCAAACTCTCCCGGAGGTGTGTATCAGCAAGACCAAGAAAACTTCGTGCAAAAGTTCGATTTGATCAACATCGCGGAGCGCTGCAACATCATGGGCACCTCGAAGTTGGACTATTCGGAAATCCGGAAGTGGCACCAGGCGCGGGGGTACCTTGGGGGGATTGTTATCCTTTGTAAAAATTTTCCCACCCCATAGCTCTTCTTCTTGGTTCTTCTTGTCATGCAATGCTGCATGTCTCTCATGTGGAGTCCCATGAAACGCATTTGCTATTGCTAGCGCTGTTTCGAAGTTATTTGTGATGCTCGAATCAGGCGCATGAAACGCTATTTTTGTGATGCTGCTGCACTAGCTAAACCCGACTACACTGCGATCCCAAACTTATCATGCGCAACAACAGCTAGAGCCTGTTGATTTGTGTTGCAGATTTCCAAACTCTACTACGGTGCCGCGGGGACGTTTTTGTACGGGATAATCGTGGTCCGGCAGCTGGATAACATGAAGCACAGCAACGACACGGTAGAAACGGGAGACCGGACTGCGTTTGGAAAACTTATGGACGATGCTTTTCAGGTATATGATGCAGGTCTTGCATTACAAATTTCTTTGTCAAGGCAAATCAGCATTACAAATTTTATTTCTCATGCTGAGAAAATTTGTAAATGCATTTACACGAGTACGATACTTTTGCAGTTCATAAGGTATAGCCATTACTTATTCTCAGTACTTGCCATGCAAATGATCAACTCCATAGTTGTAAAAAACGCGACAGATCAACACAGATACCGTTCTCGTCATTTCCACTTGTCCCACAGCACTCCAAAAACAACGGAATCTTTTCAGGCAATCTCCGCTTACCTTCCCGCGAACTTCTTCGAAAAAAGTCCCTTCAATTTCGCCCATTTGATCCCCGAGGAGCTGCAGGAGCCGAAGAAAATCAAGATGGAATCCTTCCTCTTTGACAAGCTTGCAAACGAAACCGAATCGATGCGGCGGGAGTGCTACTACCTCTACTACGAGATGTGCGGAAAAACCGGCGATCGGACCTACGAGGTCTTCATCCGCGGGACGTTAATTTGGTCTGATTGGTGGCGTATGCATTGCAAAACAAGTATCGTACTCGTATAAATGCGAGTCTAGCATGACAGATCTGCTTTCTGACCTGAATCTGCATGACAAATTTCATTTTTCTTCTACGAAAAATTTGTCATGCAATTCATACTAGTACGATAGGATACTTTTGCATTGCATATGGTGCAACTTGAACTTCCGGAAGGTTTGGGACACGGAACTAGAAAAGTACATCCACGCTGGATTTCTCCGGAAATCCGACATTCTGCTGAACGATTTGGAACCCTTGCTGCAGGACCGGCACGGCAAGATCAGACTGCATGGACACTCACTGGGCGGCGCCATGGCGGAAATAATTGGGCTGAAATTGGAGAAACGAGGTTTCTATGTGGAGCAAGTGACCTCCTTCGGCGCACCGAAGTTTTTGACCTGCTGTCTGGGCGATAATAGTACATTGGGAGCAACAGCAGAGCCAGAAGTTGTCGTGTTGGAGGAACAGCATGACAAGAAAGAGAAACCCAGCAGCGACTTTATCACTATCACGGCGGCGAACGACCCAGTTTATGAACTGCAAAAGTATCGTACTACTTGTACTTGTAGTAATCGCAGTCATGCATTGCAAATCTTTATCCCTCCAAGGCAAAACAGCATGACAAATTCCATTTGTCATGCTGAGCTAATTTGTATTGCAATTACTACTAGTACGACACTTTTGCAGTTCATACAGTTCCTTACATGCCGATTGAAGGCCCGGCATCTTGCTGGTTCAAGGGCTGGTATGTGAGCTACGGAAAAAGGTTTCATCTTGAAGACTCCGGTTCTCATGATGTTTCAGCAGAATCACATCAGCAACCTGACAAGCAGAACTACACACTTTTCCCTTTCGGCTCCTTCCTCCACTGGCTCCAGAATTCGTTCCTCGTCGTCCCGTTTAGCAACCCGGACTCGCACCGATTGAAACATTACATCAAACTGTTGGAGGACGAGGAAAGCCGTTTCTCCTCTGTTGCAGACACTGACGGCGCAGATGAACAACGGAAAAAAGTAGGAGCAGAGACAGCAACTAGTTCGGCACAGGAAGTCGCAGTGGCACCAGAAGATCGGGGACTGCAACTGCCTGAGCTACAAATCAACTCGAGCGAAGAGGGTGATGTGGTGGGAATAAAGCAGCTGTTGCAGCAGACAACAGGCGACGTGCCTCCAAGTCCACCCGAGCCTCTTCCTCGTCCTGCCGCGCATGAGGTGCTTAGAGAGCCTGTCGAAGTCACTTCGAAGTCCGGCGCACTTCAGTAGAGGCTTCTCCGTGGAGAAAAGGAGCTCAGCCGACAAGGACAACCTCGAGGGAGCTTTTGCTCTTTCGTCCTCGTCTTAAAAATGCCGATCCTGTTATTATTCTATTGCAACAAACATGATCATAGCACATAATTATTGCGCACGAACTGCAATTGAAATTGCATGCACTGTCTACTACATTTGACTCTTCGCGGCGCATATTTATTTTACTAGCGCCGTTGCTCTGCTCGACAGAAGCGTTACCAACGTGCCGGTCGTGCGAGCGTGGTTTTGTACGTCCGTGTTCTTCCAGAGCCAAAATCGTCAGAGCTTGCGAGACGAGATGTGAACCGCAATAGACATGGCGCGACTTTCTTCACACGGATAAGAGTGGAACAGGCTTGGGGCGGCCTTTGCTACTTTTCTAGGCCCAAGCCCTGGCGTCTCGCTTTCTCTAGCCAGGTGGCGGAGTCGGAAAGGAAACGCTGGCACTGGGCCCGGTTCCGTGCGAAATGCGCCCCATATTATTGGAAGCCGCACGGAAAGGGCGCCCATTGGATTGGACCGGGCTGCGTGTGTGTGGATGGTGCCGGATTGGGCCGGCACGCTGCCCGCTGCCTGGGTGCGTCGCTCTCCAGCTTCGGGGCCGCGGCCAAAACATTTGCGCCCCGGCTTGGCTGCTCGGCGACCTTAGCAAACCAATCCGGCCGGGCTGAAGTTTGTCGGAAGGCTGGAGCCTGCGGCCCAGATTTTTCATCGGCAGGCATGGCATTTGGGGCGGACTGGGCCGCGTGAACGGTCAGCGAGCAGGCAACCCGGCGCAGGCCGGGCCAGTGTGGGCTCTATCTTCGGAGGCGTGGCACTTGGCCGCCTCAAGCGACGCCGCCCGGGCGGCCCAGTGCGTGGCTGCCTGTGGTCGGAAGCCACGCGCCAAGGCGTTTGCTTTGCTGGCTTGGTGGCCAGCTCCGAAGAAACGCCGCCCCCGCCCGCCTGTATCACAAGGAGCCAGGGCGGAGAGAGGACGGCGACCCCGCCCGGTCTTGTGTGCTTTCTTTTGGCCCGCCGCCCGGGCCCAGTGGCTTGGGTGAGGCCCGGCCCGGCGCCGGGCCGCGCCTGTGTTCCTTCGGCCCGCCCATCCCCGCCCGCGAACGGAGGGGCGCCCGAAAAGGCGCGCGCCGTTCGTTCTCGGGCGCGCGTGCGCCCCACATCATAATGTAAGCGCAGGACGCGTCGCTGTCGGTTTCTCCTTTCAGGTTGCGGCTATTTTCACCGGGCGCCGGCCCTATCGCGCTTTATTTTGCATTTGATAGCGGTCGCGCGAGGCCAGTTTGCAGCGCTTACAGGTGGGGCATCGTAAAGATGTATGAGCTTGGCGGCTGTGGGCCATCGAGCATACCGCTAAGCGTCTGCCCGAGCGACGACAGCAAGCGGAGGGGCGGGGGACCGAGGGCGCGCCGGGCCCCCAATGGCCGCGCGCGCCGGCAGTATCTGCCTGGGATCAGGCAGCCGGCCCGAGGCATTTTCCGCTAGTAAAATTTTTTTAAAATGTCACTAATTCCGGGAATCGCGGGCCGGCTGGCTGGGTGCGGCACCCTTTGGGCACGCGCCGCATTCGGGGAGGGGGGCGCGGCATAGTGTGGCGCCCCCGCTTTTTGTTTTCCCGGGTCGGTGCCGTAAGCTTCCGGGCCGTCTCCCCTGGTTGTGTGCTCTCCCCCGTCCTCTTGGGGATGGGGGCCGCTTATCGTTGGGCCTTTTCGCGCGCGCGGCGCCTTTGCTTTTGGTGGTGGCCTGCCCTCGGGCGCTCTTTTCCCTTACCTCAGGGAATGCCTCGGGTCGGGCCCTTGCCCGGGCCTTCGGTTTTTCTTTGTCCGGTATCTTTGCAAGGGAGGGGGGTCCTGTGGTGTGGTTTGGCACACAGGGGCTGCTCCTCGTGGCCATGGCTCAAATCCACCGGGGCCCGGCGCCTTTGCATTTATGGGGGGCAGCGCGCAGCGGGCCCGGCTCTGGAAATCAGGCAGGCGCGAGGCCGGGGCTTTTTGGTCTTTCAAACACCACCCCGATCCCGGGCGGCTAATGAAGAGGGTAATCCCGGCGGTAATTTCCGGGGTTAATCTGACCACAACGAAATCGGGAAGGTTTCGTTGGTTTTGAAATTAGACCAAAAATTAGACTACAGATTAGACTATAAATTAGACCACAAATTACCCCAAAAACCCAAGGAATTAACCTGCCCCCGGGGGGCAGTCACTCCGCCAGAGCATTGGGTTTTCAGTTGGCGCCATTTGCCACCACTTGTCCTGCTTTTTCTCGGCAGGCCGCCCGCCCGCAGTTCCCGCCCGCCCGTGGCCTTTGCGTCTTTGAATGGATTCCCCCCGACCGGTGCCTTTCCCAATTTGCCCCGAAGATTGAAGGGGTGGCGCTCTGGAAACCCACGAACAACAGGCCCGCCGGGGTCGCGTTCCGGCCTCCGTTGTGATTTGGTGGAGGCCCCCCGCGCGCAGGCTTCGCAGGCTCCTGGGCCTTTCTTCGGTGCCGGGGCACCCTGTGGCGCCTTTCCCGGCGCGCGCCCGCCTCCCCTTTAGGGGGGCGCGGGGGGGGTGCCTGGAGGGCGGCGCCCGCGATGGCTATGCGCCCCCGGAAGTATGGTGGCACCCCCGGCGCGTTTTCTAGTCGGGCCCCTCTTGCGCCTGCCCTCCTTCGCTTTGGGGATTAGCCAAACTTCAGCCAGGAATTAACGAAATAGCTTGCCACGGGCCGGCTGCCTGACTGGGATGCTTTTTGCCCGCGGGCCGTTTTGTGGGCCCGCCGGGGGCGCGCCAGGCAGCGAGGCAGCCCCCCCCTGTCTTGTCCGCGCCGGGCGGGCGGGCCCCTGGCTGCCCCCGGTGAGCCGCATACGCCTGTCCCCTTGTGCAAACCATTGGGCGCCCGAGGGTCGGTGAGCGCCTGGCGCGGCCTGTTGGTGCAATGTGTGCGCAGCTGCCATGCGCAGAGGCGGCGCGCGGGCCCGGGCAAACGGTCCGCGGCCCGGTGGATGATCTGGGGCGGGCGTTTCCGCAATATTGACGCATGCACCGTCGGCGCCCGCCAGGCAGCGTTGTTGTCGACCTACCTTCATCCCGCTCCTGCGTGTAGGAGAGGTTTTCCGAATGGAGAGTGTTCCGGGGTTTGCGAGCAGGGGAACAAACTTCGGGTGATTGAGTGAAGGTTTTTTTTGAAGTGAGAGATAGTGGAAGGGAGCAGCGTTTTCTTTGTTCTATTATTCTAGCAAAAGCGCTAATCGCGCACTCTCAAATGCGAATCGAGTCGGAGTCGCTCTTGCCGCCGATTCCTGGTATGTAGTGAGGTCACCGAACGGTTCTAACCAGGGAATTTTTTTGCCACCCAGACAGCAAAACGGCCGCCAGTTTTCAAGCGGGCGAAAGTGTTTTTTGACGAAAAAGATTTTCAATTATCAAGCGGACGGGGCTTTGCCGTCAAACAAGCCCGGTCGAAAACTATCGATTCGCACTTGATAAAACGACGCAGGGGAGCTGGCAAAAGGGGCGCCCTTCTGAGGCGCCCACCGCCTTAGTTTCTGGCGATTTGGGGCGCCCAAAAAGGGGAGCGCAAAAAACGCGCCCAAAATCAGAACAGCGAAACAGCATGGCGCGGCCGCGATTTCGGAGCATTTTGGGCGGCCGCGAAAGCGGCCGCCTTTTCGCCGGTTTCAGAGCCGGGGAAGCTTTGCAAAAAGCGCCGGCGCGAAAAATAAAAACGCGAAAAAGAAAAAGCGGCCCGTACGCGCAAAGCCAATCCGCATGCTATGGGCCCGATTTTTCTTCGCTTTTTGGGTGCCCCCCGTGGCACCCGGATCGGCCCCATAGCATGGGGGCTGGCCTTCGGAAAGGAGCTTTGCAAATGTGCTGAAATTTGTGACGTTTCTCAAGTGACCGCCATACCGTGCGGCATAACGTTACTCAGGGCGGTATGGCGAGCCCAGAAAAAGCAAAGCCGCGGCCAAGGCAGCGGTCGGCAAAAAAACGTCCACGACCTCACTACCCCCGCCCCGGCGGCTATATTTGGTAGACTACATGTAGCCACTACGAGCGGTGCGAGTACTAGAACCGCCCGAGGGAAAATCCTTCTCTGTGTTTCCGGCGACATTGAATCCACTTACAACCAAGCAAACCATGTCCTTCCCATCCCCCTCTCCCGGCGGTCTCGTCATCTCCCCCGCCCGCTTGAAACTCTTCGCCACCGTCTACGGGCCGGGTGGAAAAGTTATCCGGCCGCTGCACTTTTCCTACGCACAGAAGAACAGCAAAACTTTGCTCCTCCGTCTGGAGTTCGAGCAAAACGTGTTGCAGCTGCTCCGGGCGAAATTTGTCAGCGTGGAAACGGCGAACAATGTGATAATCGATATGTGGGTGTCAGGATTGAAATCGACAAAGCTGAACAAATAACCTGTAATGTATAAAACCGATACCAATTTGACCCACAGTTTCTAGTCGGCGCATGACAAATTTTGTCCGTATTGAAAGGCAGTTTGTCATGTTGTTTAGGGCAAAGGGGCTCCCCTCTGTCATGCGAATCAGCATCCCAATGCTCGACCCTTACCAGCACTAAGTACAATCTGCCTTCCTTGCGTCCTCTGCAATAGAGGCAATCTCTGCGTTGCATTTTATGCATGACCTGACGATTTCCATTCTGACGCGTCCATAATCGAAACTCGGGAAGTCCGGGACGACGGAGACGAAAACTCAACTGCCAGCTCGACGGCGTCGGCCGATGGCGAGGACAAAGCAGATGCTGAAACGAAAACCACCGCATCTCCATCTTCGGTCAAGAAGAGGAAAAGGTCCAAGTCCCGCTGGTTTGAAAATGGGTTAGCGAAGATTTTTGCCGGCACAGGTAGCAATTCAAACAAATTCGAGTACGAGGTCACCTTGCGGATTCCGAACAACGACGAAGAGGCTCCGCTGTTTGGCCAGACACCAATCCAGGCTGCGCGGATGTTTCTGTTGCAGAGAAGAGGAAGGAGTAAGTCGCCATCTACTTCAACAGCGGCTGGTCCAGAAGATTCACCGTCTCGATCTGGTGCGCAGGAGTCCTCCTCGTCGCGGAGGGGAGAACAAGCCGGCTCCTCATCTGCAGCAAAAACTGCAGCTTCAGCATCACAACCACCAGCAACCGCAGGAACAGGGGCTCTCGCCCGCGGCCGCGCCCATCTCAACCGGCTGGAGCAACTGTCGGCCGCGGCGCAGACGAACCAACTCGCCAACGCCGCTTCCGCTTCGTCCCGCTCCGTGATCCATCTAGCGAATTTGATCGAATACGGCACCGGCACGCGGCAGATTATGCCCTGCAAAAGTATCGCGCTAGTAGTATTGCATTTGCAATACAAATCAGCTGAGCATGACAAATGGAATTTCTCATGCTGGTTTAGCTTGAAAAAGAAATTTGTCTTGCATTACTGTGATTACTACATGAGTGCGATACTTTTGCACAGGATACAGATTTGGCGTGAGCAGATTGTGAGACAGGAGTTAGTCCCGGAAGAGCAAGTCCGATACCGCATAACGGAGAATTTCTCCGTCGGCGACGCGACCGTTTCCGGAGCAGGAACTGGAGGGTGTATCCACAGAAAAAAACCCATCCACATCCAATTTGTCATGCAAAACACGCATCAAGTGATGTGTTTGCCATGCAAAAAAAGTGATGTGGATGGTTTTTTTTTTTCTGTGGATAGGGTGTTTTGGCTTTCTAGTTGGGTACGGACTGGCGTTTTTGTCAACACCACCTTCTCCAGGGGCGACAACACCACTTCCTGGGGCTTTTTCGGGTGGTGCAGGAGGTGCAGGAACAACTGCAACAGCTGCTTCGGCATCAACAAAAACAGCAGCAGCGGGATCTGCAGCATCTGCATCTTCAGCAACTTCAGCTTCCGGAGCAGGAGCAGGTCCAGCTTCTTCCAGTACAGTTCTGAAAACCCTGAAGGCGGTGGCGCTCGCAGCTCCACACGCGTTGGTCCCAGCGAGCGTATTCGCGTTGCTCGGCGTTTTTTACGGCGGGGTTTTCGGGTATTTGAAGGATGTGACGAGAAATGACCCAGTGCAAGAGTTTGAGGAATACGGGTGTAACTCTTTCTTGGTTGATTTCTTGGATGTCCTCAGAAACCCGAGCGGCAGACGGATGACCGCGCAAGACCGAATGTACCTGGGCCTGACTGCGTAGAAGAGTTGATGTTTGCGACTCGTCCTCACAGTCTTCCTGGCTCAGACGGTGCATTCATACTTCAAATTCTTCTTCATCAACATGAAAATAATAACATCGCAAACCACAACGCTACCACTTTGTAAGTTCATCCATTGGAAGAATTTTTCAATATTGATAGCGTCGGCCGGCGGGGGGCACTGGCTTCACTTTCAACGGCGTGCTGGTCAACAGCGTGTAGGCAACTTGAGTTCATCATCATCTCACAGATTGAGATCATTAGGACTATGGCTATGCTTCTTCTCGAAAATCTGGAGTCCGCATCTCCTTTCTCGATTGTTCTGTCGTAGAAACACAAGCATCACAGTGAGAGAGATGAACTGCAGAGACGAGAAATTGTGATTTTTGATGTGAGTGTGATACGATAAAACCTGAGTTCGAGAAACAATTTTCGGGTGAAGTTCTTTCACGCGTCGAAGAAGTCGTCCACGAGCGTCGACATTGTTCAGAGCCGTTGCCGTTTTCACCTCTTCAGCTCGAACATAGATTATCGTCTAGTAACCCGTAGCTCAAGTTCTGCTTCGGCAGAAGGAGAAGTTTGTTCTACTTCGGCAAATATTAAAACATCAACTCTCAAGATGAACACCTCCATCCGCTCCCCCGCTTCTTCCTCCCGAGCTTATGAATTGCAAAAGCATCGTACCAGTATAAATTGCATCAAAAATTTTGGCAAGAATGGCAATGGAGGAGGAATTTGTAATGCTGTTTTCCCTTAGGAAAAACATTTGTCATGCATATTTGCAATTAGTACGAGTACGATACTTTTGCACAGGATAGAGCTGCCCCCGCGGCACCTCCCCCCTCCGACAGCCCAACCGTGGGGCATAAAAACCCAGGTGCCTCGTCGAAAAACGACGACCGCGCGATCGGGAAGCAGTTGGAATCTATCAAATGTAGAAATGTCTGGGTCTGGAAGCTTGCCAGGTTTGTCATGCATATTTTGGAAGACTCATGATGTCTGTGATGCATGCTCTACTAGCATGACAGATTTTTAAAGGTCTTTGCGATGCCTCTACCGCATGAGAAATGCCCTCTCCGGGTAGCACAAACTGGAGTTCTGTTGCCGGTCATGCAATGCAAATTTTTTTAGAATCCAGAGACAGCATCACAAGTTTAGAATCTTCCAGACCCAGACATTTTTACAATTGATAGAATCGGACCGGCCGACGTCCGCGTGTTACTCCTTCGGGAAATCCGCGACCCGGGAGAAGAGGAAGCTATCAAATGTAAAAATGTCTGGGTCTGGAAGAGTGCAACTTGTCATGCTAAAATGGAAGCATGCAAAAATCTGTGTTGCATGATTACCAAAAGCTGTCCACTTTTGACCTAATCGAGAGACAGTTTCTCATGCAGGAGAGGCATGATAGAACTCTCACAGAATCTGTCATGCTCTGTCCTACTTGCCAGACCTCATGAGTCATGTAAAATCTGCATGACAAGTCTGGCATTCTTCCAGACCCAGACATTTTTGCAATCCATAGAAGCTGTGCGGGGACATTTTGATCGGATCGGGCTCGGATTTTCTAGGAAGGACATCTCCTGGTGTGACGTACGATTTGAATTTGTCATTAGTCTTATGCACTGCAAAATTATCTTCGTACTAGCATGGATAGATTGCATCACAATTTTTTCCATAAGGACGAAAGATGGAACTTGTAATGCTGATCTGCCCATAGAAGCGAGATTTGTCACGCATATAATACTCGATTGCACTTAGTGCGATATTACTTTTGCAGAGGATAAGTCTCCCGGTGGAAGGGGACGACTTTTGGGAAAGCGGCGAGACCGACCTCCGGAACGGTGGCCTACCCTCCGAGCACGAACGATCTGAAGTGCGTGATACCGAAATTTGACAATATCAAAAAGAAAAATCCCCCCTCCCCATATCGAAAACGAAATTTGTGATGCTGTATTTGAGTACACAAATCGACCTGTATTGCTAGAAGGCCAAGAGACGCAGCCGTGGCCTGAATTGCAGGCAATTTGTCATGCTGTTTCCCACTTCCAGTTGCCTCGTGTCATGCTGGAGATGCGATACTTTCCCACACTAGGTAGCACTACAGTCCGCATCTTTTGCCTTCTAGCATCACAAAGCTGATTTGTGACCACAAATCTGCATCACAGATTTCCGTTTTGATATGGGGAGGGGGGATTTTTCCTTTTGATAGACAAGTACCGGAACAAGCAGGATGGGAGGGTGGTGTTCGGCAGGGAGACGAGGGAGGTAGGATTCTTGGAGAAGTGTGCTTCGATCTATTTTGATCATGTGGCTACCACGACGGTCTATCTTCTTACGGTCATGCGGAAATCAAAGCTGCACAGTTCTGCTGTATTGCTCATTCTCTTAAATTATGCAAACCTGCATATACAAACTTGTTCAGGCCGGCGCGAAGAACGGCGCCAACGCGGTGAAGGGCACCGGGAACTCCGAGTTCTATGCCAGAGAATCCCCCGGTTGCATCTACGACCCGAAGGATAAGTTGGTGAAGGAAATTGTGACCCGGAGCTGGACCATGGGCATGCGAACGAAGATTATCGGAATGAAGGATCCGAAGAACGTGGTCGATCCGGAATCGAATCTAAAACCGGAAACCGCAATGGGGAAGCAGTTGAACTCGCGAAAGCCGTCGGCCATGGGCAGGTCGTTTTCCAAAGCGTCCAGGTTCGGGAAGAACGCCAGTGAAAAGGACAGGGAAAGGGAGAAACTGTTTGCTGTCCAGAAAGCAGCAGCGGCGAGACCAGCGACGGCGCCTTCCGGCGGTGGAGGTGGGACAACAGAAGTTAATACTGCTGAGGGTGATGCTGGTACTGCTGGTGCTGCAACGAAGGGGGCAACAATAGTACCACCAGCAGCTGCACAACCACAACATACCAAACACGCCGCCACGACCGGTCAGCAGGTGGTCTTAACCAAGATTCAACGCGGTTTGGGGAAGCAGATAGACTTGAAATCCGCGCCGGTGTTCGGAATATCCAGGAAAAAACACCAATCCCCATCCACTTTGTCATGCAAAACATGCATAAAATCCGGCGTTTGTCATGCGAAAAATGAATGGGGATGGGTGTTTCTTCCTGGATACGGAATTAGCAAGTGCTCCCGGGACAAGAGATCCGTTTCCGGCAACATGATAATCAAAGAAGACAGACCGGCGGCTCTAAGCAACATGCAGCACCAGAGGTTACCGCACAATTTCAACTACCCGGCGCCGAGTGCGGTGAGGAAGTGGGGGTCATGAGTAGGAGTACTAGAGGCGTTTGTGTTTGATGTGAATGTGATTGATCATGTCGTACGTTCCCACCCCTGCTGCGCTTTGACCTTTACCACGACTTTGAGCACAGTTTTTTTGGGTTCTTGAACTTCTTGTGTCGCGTCTTCACGCCGTGAACTTCGTTGAAATGAATTTTGTTTTGATGACAGCTTCGGAGTTGGTTTGAAGGACTTGGAGCTGACAACCTCTTGGACAACAAGTGTTCCATCGTGCGGTAACTGAGAATACCTCGCCAAAGTCATTTGTCGTTTTAGATAGTAGTCGCCTGATTCATCGTCGCGCAAGTACTAGGTACCCATGGTTATTATGGCTCGTCTCAACATCGTCCTCATCGCTTTCTCCGCCTTGCATCGCTCGGGATTTCATCGTGTCATCGACGTCGTCTTCTTCGTCGACGGTTTATCTCGGCGTGATTGTTAAGTGGATTCATTCTCTATTATTTTTCATCGCCTGTACTGTTTCGTTTTGCAACCGCTTCAAGAACTACATCGACGCGCAATACTTATAGCACACCGTATGCGATAGATTTTTGATTTTGTTGTGGTAATGGTATTTTGTTTTGGTGATTCAAAAGAAAAGTTAAATATTACAACCACCAAATGGCCAAGCTCAGCCTGCAGAGTTACATCTCGCAAGGGCACGCGGATGGAGGAGGAGATGACTTTCCGCTGCAAATTGTGCAGCAATTCTTCTTCGCCACGCATCAACGCAAAAGCAAGACGTTGCCGGCTCTGCGCAGTAGTAGAGAAACGCAGTCTAGTATTAGTACAACATCTTTCGCGGCACTGACACAGCCGCCCGAACGACCAGCAATCGCGAGGACCACGACTGGACACGAGATGCAGAAGCAAGCAAAAAACGAAACTTCATCCAAGCTCGACCTACTCTCCCGCCCCTCCTCCTTCGCCGCAGCCACGGACAAACCGCTGAACTGCGACCTGTCCCACCACGGACTGGGGAACCTCCCTTCCCCCGAGGATTTCTGTATCCAGTGCAGATATGTCTGGGTCTGGAAGAGTGGTCCGAGTTTGTCATGCTAGTCCTGGTTGGCACCAATAAAATCTGTGTTGCGTGAGCAGCAGAAGCACGCGAGGATGGCATTTCTAATGCAGGAGGTTTAGGCATTTTTGCAGAGCCTTGTCCAAAAGTCAAAGTGTGATGCTATAACTCGCATTCCAGGCCTTCTGGGCCATGCGAAACCAGCATGACAGACAAAACATTCTTCGAGACGCAGACACATTTGCATTTGATATCCTGCACTGTGAAACGAAACGGCGCGGACGCGGACGATGCCGATTTGAAGACGAAGGAGGAGCTATGCAATGCAAAGGCATCGTCCTAGTATAAATTGCATTACAAATCAGCCCAGCATTACAAATTAGCCTGCCCAGCATTACAAATTAGCCTGCCCAGCATTACAAATTAGCCTGCCCAGCATTACAAATTAGCCCAGCATTACAAAGTAAATCTGTAATGCTGATTTGCCTTGAGAAAGAGATTTGTATATGCATGAATGCAATTACTACGAGCGCGATACTTTTGCACAGGATAGGAGCTCCTGGATGTCGAGTTGAAAAAAGACACCAGCATTGCGCACTATTTTGAGAAATTTATCCTCGCAAACTTCGACCCTTACACGAAGATTCCGGAAAAATCGTATGCATTGCAAAAGTATCGTACTCGTAGTATTGCAATACAAATTAGCTCAGCATGACAAATGGAATTTCTCATGCTGATTTAGCTTGAAAAAGAAATCTGTCTTGCATGACTGCGACTAGTACGAGTGCGATACTTTTGCACAGGATAAATCGAAGAAAGTGAAAATCCTCGAGCACTGTCTTTCTGACACGATATCCCACGAAAAAACTGTTTCATTGTGATGATTTTGCAAGATCTGCATCACAAGTTTGTTACGCATGACACCCAAAATTTGTCATGCGCACTTCCCAAGGGAAAACACGCTGGAAAACCCAATGCCTTGCAGGTGTAGCAAGACAAATAGTTCTGTGTTCCATTTTCTGCATCACAGGTTCACAGTGAAACAGTTTCTTCTTGCGATACACGAAGAAGCTACTCCAATGGCTGACCAACAGCATCGAGGACTGCAAGAAGAAAGCCCACGACCGGGAGCCAACCAGCAGCCAGGAGCCGGCGGAGTTGGTGCCACTGGCGGCTATGAACTGCAAAAGTATCGTACTCGTATAAATGCATTGCAAATTTCCTCAGCATGAGAAATAAATTTGTAATGCAGATTTGCCTTGGAAACAAGATTTGTAATGCAAGACTTGCATTAGCATGATTTGTACGAGTACGATGCTTTTTGCACAGGATAGCGGCGTATCAAATACAAATGCATTATGTATGCCTGGGTCTGAAGAGAACGAAACTTTAACTTGTGATGCTCGGTTGTAGATGAATGCAGAACTTCTCAATGCATGCACGCATGTCACGATCAAGAAGTTCTTCCAGCGGCGCTCTCTGCTCTCAAGAACATCCGTTACTTTTGGCGGACATGCAACACAGATTTTCTAGAGTTGGAAAACATGCTGTATTTTCCGGACCCAGACATATTTGCATTTGATACAGCGAACGCGTTAAAAGTGGAGGAAAAGGGGGTCACGGCGCGGCAGGCTCTGGAGAGAGATTTGAAGCAATTGAAGGCGGAATTGAGAAAAGCACCGGATGAAAACAATCCGCAATACGCGCCCTGTGACGCGAAGAAGGGACCACCACCAAGGCCATGGTGCATTTTCTTGGACGGACCGAAGGAGCGAGAAGGTGAAGATATCCATACTGAAGATGAAGTTTGTACTGCTGCGAACCCAGAGACCAGATTTAGAGGACAGGTGGAAACAAATGGACCCTTCATGGGATCTTTTGGGGCGAATATTTTTTGAAATGCGGAATAAGAACAATGATGTAAATCTAAATGCGATAAAAAAATCGAACACAGAAGTTAATGGGCATCAGAACCTCCGGTCGTTGATGATGAAAACGATACAAAAACAAAAAGCAATGGATGGAATCTGGAGAAGAAATATTCATGAGTCTGCTTCTCAAAGAAAATCTTATGATTTTCGTGATGATAGACCCTCTTCACTCAAGAACTCGATGATGAATATAAAGGAGAAAAAAATTTTCTCATGAATGCTGTCATTGAATCCATTGAATTCGATAGATGGTTCGTGATGTGTCTGAGTATTTGACTTCAAACAAAAAAAAAATCTTCCAGAGAGATTTTAATCAATATCGATCTTTTTTTATTTCCTCAAAACCGAAAAAATATGGATGGATTATCATGATATTCGATCGAGAATCAATCCTCTTGTCGATGGAAAATGAAAAATATGAAGATACATGGGATTCGGATATCATTATTTCTTTCTCATATCGGGATATAATATTCGAGATTCAAATAAGGATCGCAATATCATGTGTATCTTTTGATAAATTTCCATATATTCGGAGCCTATCATATTTTCGAATTTTTCAAATTTTTTTTCCCAGATTTTGACAATTTTAAAATCTATCCTTTTCTAAATTCTTAAAACATTTAATATCGGAAATATAAATATGAAATCCGATCGGAAAATATATTTGCAAGAATCATATACCAATCATTAGAATTTCTCTAAAATTTTTGAATCTCATCAAAATATTGATAAATGATTTTGGATATTATTGATCGAAGGATTATGAATATGAATATTAGGTTTATTAGTGTCTGGCGCCAGCCAAGGGAGTACAGCGCAACTTTCCAAGGGAGTCAAGGGAGTAAGTTAAAAAAGCAGTCGCGCGTGCCAATGCGATCGGCATAAATATAGCAAAAATTCTTCGCGGCGCGCGCTGCGCGCGCGCGGCTCGACATCTGTGCGCACATCACAAAAATTTTTCGGGCCGCGCGCTGCGCGCGCGCGGCGAGGCACGTGCAGCATGTAGGACATGCACCCACGTGTGGGAATGTTGCGACGCATCAATGCGAAGCATCAATGCGAAGCATCAATGCGAAGCATCAGTGCGAAGCATCAATGCGAAGCAGGCTAGAAAGATATGCCACGCGTGTGAGCTTCAAACTTACGGCGCGTTCTGACGGCCACTGCAACTCTTTCCCGATTGGAGAAAGCCGAAGTGGCCGCTTCAACATTTCCACTGCGTTCGTATTCTCTGTTCGGCATGGCGTTGAATCTGGTCACGCAGAACCTCGCGCGAAAGATCTCGACAAGCAAACTGCTGAAGTGGCTGCCTCAACTTCCCCTGGACAGCGGAAACTTGACATGGCCACGGCAACAGTTTACGCGTTCCTTCGCCTCCACGCTCTATGTTGCCAGGCAGAGGCCCGGCTGCCCCGGCGACTTCTGTTGACGGGGGCGACTCTAGAAGCCCTCACCTTCTTCAAGAGGCCAGGGCCTTCGTCAACGAGCTAATGCCTAAACGCGGCCAAACCGCGGGCCGCAGCGGGGGGGGGGGGGGCAACAGGGCCCAAACCGGTGCCCGGTAAGTGCGCCCATAGCATGCATTTTTGCGATGATTTTAGGGGAGGCAATTTGTGCAAGTTTTATCTTCCTCCCTTGGCTCCCTTGACTCCCTTCGAAGTTTCACTCCCTTGCCTATAAAATACTCTAAATATGATATGGAGTCAAATCATTCAATCGAATTCTTGATTGAGATTATCATTTGTTAGATATTTGTCCGAAATTTGTTCGAAATCAACATGAGAGATTCATCTTTCTTTCTTCATTCATTGAACGCAAAAAATTCTTTTTGAATGTGCGAGATTCATCTTTTCTTTCTTCATTCATTGAACGCAAAAAACTCCAAATAAAGAAAAACGGAAGAGAATAAAAGAAAAAAAAAAATTTAAAAAAAAAACGCTCGGATTCCATCCTCTATGTATCAATCAATCCAAGGAGATCTTGGATTTGTCTTCTTTTTTTCTCAATTCAGGATCATTCTTCCAGATCCTGGATTTCAGGATCTATCGAATCAATCCGAAGATGAAGAATATTAAGGATCTTTCCATTCCCTAGAATCTTAGATGACCTGATATCGATATGGAATGAAGATTCCAGATGGTGCAACTCATCAAGAAAATAACTTGGATCGAAATTCAAAGAAAAATATTAATATCCAATTAAAAAAGATTTGATACATATCCAATCGACATCTCTCTCTGTTGATACATAGCAGAATCATCAGATGATGACTTGAAACAAATTTGCCACACAATCCATTTGCCTCAACCATCGAATCACCATCTTCATCCTGATCATTCGAAAGGTATTCCTTGAATCATGATCGATGCGATATGAGGGATCATTTAGATGGTTTTTCTGAGTTTGGCGAAATTTTCTGAGATTCTCGGTGTTGAAGTGATACGCAATGTTGTCAAGGTGATCTGATGGTCGGTGTTTCTTTTATTAAGTCTTTGTTCTCCAACATCATGAGACAAATATCGTGGGTGAAAAAATTCAGACGAGTTCCATTTTCATCCTTTCTGTGATGTCGAATGTCGTTCGGGTTTTATCTTATGTGTTCTGTGTGTCCGTCGATAGAACAGCTTGGGTCGTGGCGAAAAGTCACATGATGGAGCCATTAGAGGAGCACCTCCATCACCACCATCTAAGAAATCATCAGAAATAGAAGACCCTTGTATCAATCTATCGTCGTCTGTTGTGTCGCCGGGAATCGTCCTCTTGCCGTTTGTTCTTGTCCCGTCGTCCGCCTCGATCGTCTCTCGAGTTGTGTCCCCTGTTATTTCCCCGGCTCCGGCTTCTGCTTCGACCACGCCCGCCACCGCGATGTTCTCTCTCCACATCTCGGCGAGATTTTTTATCATTCCCCCGGCTGTCGTTCCTGCCGCCATGATCCCGTCCAGACCGATGCTTCGTTCCACGGCCCGCACCACTACTTCGCCGACTATCTACACTGCTGTCGCTTCGGTTATTCACCACATCAGAAGATTCACTGCGTTCCCTGCGGCGGTCGTTCGTAGTTTTTTTCTCATTTGTGTTCTTGTTCAGCTGGTGCTGGCCGCGCTTCTTTGCAGTTCTACCACGTTGATTATCTACGGATGAGTCCGAGTCGTCGTAGTTCTCCGCCGAGCTGTCTTCATCCGAGGAATTCTCCGAATCACTATTACAGCGTTTAATTTTAATACTTTTTCCAGTATTATCTTTTTTCATCTTCCCCCGCTGTTCCTCCTCCCAAATTTCCCCGTGTAAACTGTACAACTTGAACTGTTCGGATTGTAAAAAAGACGCCTGTTTCGCCGAGAAATACTTCACGTTGCGCAGAAGTTTCAGCAAGATCGCCTTCTCCTGCGGCTCGTTGCAGTTTTGCAGGAAAGAGCGGTGGACGACGATGTGGTAGAAGGCATCCTGCAGGTTCAACCGGTCTAAACTCGCGAGTTTCAAACACTTGTCAATCCACTTGATCTATGCAGTGCACAAGTATCGCACTAGTACGTAGAAATCGCATGACAAATCCCCCCAGCATGAGAAATGGAATTTGTAATGCGGATTTTGTTAGGTTAAGAAGGAGATTTGTAATGCATGACTGCGATAATTACTACGACTGCGATACTTTTGCACAGGATATGATCCGCGCGCCCGGCGTCTTCGCGTACACTTCCTCCGCGTCCATGGTCACCTGCGGAAGGTTGTTCTATCCTTTGCAAAAGCGTCCCCACCCCAGAGTTCTCATGCAAATACGCATGCCAAAAAAGTTTCTCATGCGGAGCGCCATGAGAGGCACTTTCTAGCTGTGTTGTGGGATTTGTGATGCTATAATCAGCATGATGTGCTAGATCTGTGATGCTTCTGAACTACCTAAACAGAATCACACTACGAGGAAAAATCTGTCATGCGAAACAACCAAAGCTGGCTGATTTGTCTAGCAAATTTCCCATCTTGACTCTGGTGTGGGGACGTTTTTACTCGGGATATGTTCAGCTCTTTATTCATCTTCTTGTCCTGATCCGGATTTTTGTTACTCCGGGTAACGGCCTCGGTGCCGATCGGGATATCTTTCCTATCGAATGCAATAATATGTCTGGAGGTGGTTCTCTGGAACAAGTAGGGTGCAAAGCTAGCATGCAAGGTGGTTTCTTGTTGTCGTATAATAATGGCCCATACAGATTATTTTTGGCATACAGGGTCTAACATGACAGATTCTGCATTGTGCAGATCTGTATCATGCTTCTCGTCCGGCATGAGAAACTGCCAGCACTGGACAACTTTTGCTAATCATGCAACACAGATTTATTTTGCATCAGATCCAGACGTCGACCCAGACGACCTTTTTGCATTTGATACTTCCGGTTCCGAAACCATTGGGTCCGGGCCGCCTGCGCCAGGGCGGCGTTGTAGTGGATGGAAGATATGGCGTTCTCAACTGTTACATTCTCAAGCGTTGCATGATCTGTCATGCAGAATTGCCTTGACTATCGACGCCATCAAGCCGCTTCGCATGACAAATTCTCAGACGGCCAAACAGGCTGAGAATCTGCGCCAAATCTGTCATGCAAGACGCGCAAGGTCCTTCCTTTCACTTTTGCCACTGTTGCATCGCAAATGCATGCAACAGCTGAGAATGTAATAATTGAGAACACCATAGAAGAGGAAGACATTTTGTTTTTGTTGTTTATGAAGCTTTTAAACATCAAGCGGGGATTCTTGTTGGAGCTTGTGTCAAGGTGACAGTGACAGACTGAAAATAGAGCAAACAAATAGGAAATGACGTGACCTTGTAGATGAAGCCCCTATCACCACAAATGAAAAAAGCTCACTCTCATCGCCACTTCTTTTTCGTAATACTAATATTTCTACTACTCGGTCGCTGCTTGAAGTAAGGAGTCAGATCAGATCAGATAGTTTTATAGCATAGCATGGGGTTTGGCGTGTCGGAACTTTAAGAGTGCAGCCGACTTTTTCATGAACTAGAGCTCGACCACGCGTACTATTCTAGTAGAGGCGGCTAACAGTGATGCTTGTACCCCGCCCGCGATACAAATTCCCCGGGCCGTATATCATGCCTATTGGGTGGGACTGGGAATTTCGGCCACTGAACAAAACCCGACAAGCACACCGAAAGTCTTATACCGGTCGATGCTAAAGCTTCACGCGCCGCAACCAGAGCACCGGCTGATTACCCTAAACCCTGTTTAAGTTATCAAGCACTTACTTTTTACTATTCGTCTAATACAAGTTCCCATTTGCATGCATCTACACCTCGGCCTGGATCATTTTGATCTTTTTCTTTTCGTTTTTTTTTTATGTACCCTGAACCCCTCCATCAAACTTCCCATGTACGTGCAAATTGCCCGGCCCACACGGACGCTTCTTTTCCCTAGTGGGAATATACTCGTGTACTGGTGGGGACAGCCCGCTGCGCACTGGACTCGCCGATGGGAATTTACGATCTAGTTGTTTTTTGTTTTTCGTACGAAAACTTTTTGATCTACTTGAACTGCAGTACTGTAACGCTATGTATAAAAAAGAATTTTTACCACCTTCTTGGTTTTTTTGGCCGAGGTGTCTAAGGCGCTACTAGTGCCACTGATCCGCACAGTGGGCTTCCGCGCTACGAATATTTGTAGGTCGTCGAAGGTGGGCGCTACGCGGAATGTACTACACGAAGGTTTTGGCTTGGCTTGGCTGCGGGCGAGTGGCGAGTTGCGGGGCGGAGTTCCAGAACTTTTTTGTAAATACTCATAAAGAGTAAGTTTACAAATGCTCGCTCGAAAGCGGCGGTAGGGACGTTGTGTAACTAGAAAAAAGCGATAAGGGAAAAAAATAAAAAGGCTTTTGCGCTTGCTTTTTGACTTTGGCCTGGGTCGCTCGCACGCATGCGATGATCTGGTAGAATGTGTTGAAGAAAGTAGAGAAAAAAAAAGTAAAGAGCAACCGCTTTATTTCCATCATACGGACGGGACTACACTTGTTTAGAAAAATGTGGATCTTGTCAACGGCATCAACATATTTTTTTTTATTTGCAATGAAAACTAAAACTCAGCTGGTATGCAGTTGGACTTAGACACGTCGGGGGCATTTTTCGGTCTTCGGTTTGCGAAGAGGAAGAGGTGGTCGTTTGCATCAACGATTATATTTCTCAGCATTGGAAGATAATTTTTTTTCTTGAGTGAGAGATGGAACTACAGTCGGTTTCTTGTCAAGACGAAAGTCGGGCGATGGCGTCCTCCACCATCTCAGAGTAGCAGTCAGAGGACAGCCAACACCCAGACAATGATCATCCTGATCATGATTCCTGAGTCTCGGATTGGAAATCGCAGTAGCAGATTCTTCAGATTTTTGCTTGCTCACTTTCTCATATTTCAAAATCTGTCGCGTGGATTTGAAGTCAAGCAATGAATGAGATCAGCAAGAACTACTTCAACAGCTTCGTCTATCTTTAGGTTGATGATGTGAAGGTTTTCATCATGAGTTCCTCTCGAAATTGAAAATATTCCTGCTCAACAAAACTTTGCGCTCGAACTAGAACATCCTCCATAAGGTCGGGGGTGAGAAACAAATCACTGCTCTTCATTTTCTGCCGCCCGCTCGCGCTTGCAGCTTGTTCAACATCGAGCGTCTTTAATAGCCAATGCACCGCCCGCATCGGATTGTCGACAAAATCTTCATTTAATATCACGTCACCTGCGTGTTGTTGCGTGGGATCATGAAGATGTTGCTGATCCCCACCAGCATCTCCGAAGTCCACAATGTCACCGTTCAAAATCAGCTGGAAATACGGGCCACAGGCGGGTGGGTAGGTGGCGAAAAAGTTGTACGACTCATCCTCTTCTTGCACCAGCTGTTCCGGCGACGCGACACCTCCTCCAGGCGTGTAGTTTATTCGAGTAGATGTCTTTCGCGGAGAAGTCGTTCTTTCCTGTTCGTCTGTCAAATCATATCCGTGCAGTGCTGCGGGTTTTTTAACCGCCGTCGAGAGTTGGTTTGTATGGTCAGCAGGCTGCTCGTCAACAACGTCTCTACTTGAACTTTGTGCTGCGTTTAGCTGTAGAAAATTTGCACCCCCCGGGGTTATGTCGAGGGAGATGAACTTGAGAAAATTTTTTGGTCGCGGAGGTTCTTTTGCTCCTGGTCCTGCTTCTGTCGTTTTGTTATTGTTGTCGTAGTGATTGTTCTGTGTCGTGGTCGTGGAGCGGTTGTTAAAAGTGTTCTGGTGCGACGAGGCTTCTAGTGCTATCACTTCGCTGACAATTCGGGCCAGGTTCTCCATAAGAAACCCCGCCAGCGAAGAGCGGAAGTTTGTCTTCGCATCGGAGGTCTTCAATAAGACCAAGCTGGCTTGACGCCCGTGGACGGAGTTTTCGTATGCGCTGCAAATGAGTAGTCTGGTGGTGTTTTGCAACAAACATGGGGCGCTAGATTGTGAAGGGTGCGCCTGTGTGCGCTGCAGTGCTACGCAGCCAAGCATGACAAGCTTTTCAACACCTATGCTTTTCGTTGTCCGCATGGCAAGAAACATCAGAAGGCTCCTCCTTTCCTCCCTTATGCATCTTCACAGTGTTAAGCTCAAGGGCGGCCATGATGCGAGACAAGCATGACAAACTTGCTGCAATAAATTTCCACACCCGGTGGACTACAAAGTTGCATTTGATATTTCGATCACGTCGACCATCTCAGGCACCGTGATCTCGCGGACGTAGCCAGTGTCGACCTTCGCGTTAGCAGTTGGAATATGCCTTGCAGAAGTATCGCACATCGAGAACTCATTCATTTTCTTAGGGTGACCAATCCGCATTACAACACAAATTTCGTATCTCACGCGCAGGAAATTTGTAATTCTATTTCTATTTCTAGAGCGATACTTTTGCACAGGATATGCCACTGTTCCAGGTGCCGTCGACGCGGATGAGAAAGCTTTCTTCTCCGTGCCGGTACTTGAAAGTGCATCTGTAGTTGTTGTACTAGTACCCATTTGATTCATCATCTCCGTGGTCGCGCCGGCGTTGCTTCTCTCCCCTTGCGCCAGAAGTTTTTGTTTCTTCTTTTCCTCCACAAAGGCAAAGACCGCAAAAGGCGTGGCTGCCAACGTGAAAAACCCGAGCCAGGGCAGAACTGCGAATAGCTTCTGCCACTTCCTTTGTTCCATCAAATGCAAACATGTCTGGGTCTGGACAAGTGGAAGTGCAAGGCCTGTTATGCATATTTATTCCCATCAAGTAGACCCATGATGTCTGTGATGCTTGCCGTAGCATCACAGCTTGTGCTGGCGCGACGGCCTTCTGAGTCTGATGCTCATACCGCATGAGAAATACCCTCTCCGCGCAACGAAGACTGGAGCTCTTTATTTGCTGCTCAACATGCAATACAGATTTTATGTAGAGTCCAAAGATACTAGCATCACAAGTTGCAGCACCTTTCCAGACCGAGACATACTTGCAGCTGATATCTTCCGGCAGCAGCCGACTTTCGTCGATGAGGAAAGTTGTTTTATCGGGGTTCGTATGAAGTGCAAATATGTCTGGGTCTGGAAGATTGTCATGCACGTTTTGCATGAGCCATGATGTCTGTGACGCATGCCCTAGCATCACAGTTTTTTCTAGGGCTTCTTGATGCCTATTCCGCATGACAAATGCCCTCGCCTTGTAGCAACAGTTACATTTCCTTTGCTGCTCATGCAATACAGAATCTTCTTGGAATCCAAATGCAGCATCGCAAATCCCATTCTTTCCAGACCCAGACACATTTGCAAGGCATAGTTCGCACTGTACCGGGTTTTCAGAAAGGCCTCGATAGAGCAGGTGCCTTTATCGCCGAAGGGGGTCACGGCGGTAGAGGAGTGGTGATGCAGAAGCTCTTCTTGCCGTTTTTCAAGGTCATTCGCGGCCAATACAATTTTTCTCCCCACATCAACTTGGTCCAGGGGAAGCACCCGCTTCTCGCTGTTCTGGAAGGTGTTGTTGTTGGTAGAAGTTCTGCTGATGTCAAAATCGTCGAGATCTTCTCGTGTAGCGGAGGTGCGGATAGTAGTTTCACCTGGTGGCGGAGCCGACTCTGCTACAGGTGCGGCGATGGTGGAACGCTGGCGGAGTTGCAGCCGCTTGCTGTAGTGCCACTCGGTGAGCAACACTCTCGGTATCAAAGCCGTCCTGCAACCACAGCAGCTCGTCCTCCCGCGGAGGAGAGACACTGAGAGCATTCTTCTTTTCTTTTGCAGCTCGAAAAAAAAAAAGTTTTTGCGAAGTTTTCATTACTACTTGTAGTAGTACTGAAAAGACATAGAATTCTGCTGTGAAAATAAAGACAAAATGCTTTGTACGACATCAGAAGAGAAACACACTGTGCTTTTGCTTTTGGCACAACTGCGAAACCGAATGCAAAAGAAGTAGAAACAAGCAACAAGAAACAAGATCTACTATGCTTGAATGTTCACTACACACACAAAGATACTTAAAAAGTACGACCAGACCTCCTTCGTGACATCACGTTCAACACACCGGAGAATTTTCTAGATCAAAATCTTTAAAAGTGAAAAAAAAGAGGAACATCACCCTCCCGGGTGCTCAAGTACTGAGCACGTTCAGCAGCGTGTGGTCCTCGACACTTCAACTTCTCCTTGCGTGAGGCGTCAAAGCTGAACACTTGCGAGTGGTTATGGTTTAGTACTGTATAATGAGGTGCTCTGGACGAGGCATGAACTGAGCCCAACAAGAACAAGTGTTTCAGCTTTCGGCCTCGCATAGTACTTTCTCCTGCATATCAATTTTACATTTACACACAGCCACAGTTCACATCTTCGACTTGTGAAACAAAATTTTCCGTTCTTTCTCCCCAAGCGATGAAGTGTAGTTTACACTATCCTTACTGTCCCTCAGTTTCTGCATGTCCCGTGCCTCCTTCTCCATCACCTTCAGAGCCTGCACTACCGTATTGAGAGGAAAAATCCCCCCTCCCCATATTGAAAGCGCTTTCGTCTGAAAATTTGTGATGCAGATTTGAGGTCACAAATCCTGTCTGTCTTGCAAGAAGGCAAAGCCAGAGAGTCCGCCGCATTATGCCGGCGGTTTGTGATGCTGTTGGGCTTACAGAGCCGACATCTGTCAATGTCATGCTAATCCCCTCATCAAAACCTCTCGACCCAGGCTTGGCATATGCCTGCAGTCCTCTCCAGCAAGACAGACCTGATTTGTGTACGCAAATCCAGCATCAGAAACTTCGTTTCGATATGGGGAGGGGGGATTTTTCCCTTTGATATACCGCCGGTCGCTGTTTAATTTTCTCGTACCACGCGTCTGCGTAAATCAGGCCGCAATCTTTCAAAGACCTATTCTGCTTTTCAAACCGCTTCCAGGGCTTGACCCAGGGCCACGCCGCCCTATTATCTATAGGAAAAATATTAAACTCCTGTCGATCTTCACTTGTGTAAGTAGCTGCTGTTTTTATTTGGTGGAGTGATAGCATATGCTGTTGAGTTCTTGTACATCATCTCTGCATTACAGAGCACATGCACAAAGCCTCTAGTGTACAAGTTAGTAGCACGGAACGACGATGAAAACGTACACACATGAAGCCGAGAGGTGGACTTCGTGGTGGTCGTCTGGCATGACAAGTTGTGATAAACTTGTTTTAGTACATACTGGTCCTGCAACATCTTCACAGACTTACACTAATACAGAGTTCTTTTTTTCTTGCATACATATCCGCGATGGTATACTTGTCGCCGGCGAGAAAACCGGACGTCCTTATGCACTGCAAAAGTATAATCGTACTCGTAGTGGTGGCGATAAATATGCGAAGACAAATCTCCTTCTCTAGGTAAATCCGCATGACAGGTTCCATTTGCTATACTGAGGAAATTTGTCATGCGATGTATACGTAGGTGTAGCGCGATGCTTTTGCAGGGCATATTCCTCTCGACCCGCTTATCCAGAACGTGAAGCAATATCGCAAGAAAAAAGTGTTACAGTTACGCATTGCGTTGCAACACCGGCAACACAGATAACCTTTCTCATGCAGGAAGTGCTTGCGAGCCTCGTTTCCTACGTATTTTACCTTATGATCTTCGCATCACAAGTTATGCCTGCCACACAGGGAAAATTTGTGTTGCAGAAACTCCAACAAATGTGTAACTGTAGCACTTTTTTCTCGTGATAAGCAAGCGGGAATACTCAGTTGTACGCGCACGCGCAAGGCCGTATTCTGTAATATTACTGCAAGCCGCAGCAGCAGCAGCAGCACGAAGGCGGGATGGATCTGTTTCTTTTGCCTCGCATGTTGGCTGTTCATCCCCGCCATCAGTTGTCCTGGGCGGTGGAGCCGCGGTCAGCTATGAAGTGCAAAAGTATTGCACTCGTATAAATGCATTACAAATTTCCTCAGCATGAGAAATAAAATTTGTAATGCAGTTTTTCCTTTTTAAGAGCAAGATTTGTAATGCATGTTTGCGATCACTACGAGTACGATACTTTTGCACAGAATATCAGCTGTGCTTGTACGATCTTTGGCGCGTAGTACAAGTAGTGTGAGACATATTGAAAGAAAAAACTGCTTCACTGTAACTTTGTTGTAATGCAGGAAATGCATCGCCGAAGTGTTTGTCTTGCGACACATGCAAGACAAGTGATTTTTACCCGTGTTTTCCCTTAGCAGCAACCTCGCATGGCAAGTTTTCTTTGTCATGTGTAAGAGCGAACTTGTAATGCGAAACTTGCAAAATCCTTACAGCGAAGCAGTTTTTTCGTACGATAAGACACTCCCCGCCACCGGCCCGAGGTTGCTGTTCACCCAGAACAGCCACTCCAAGATGTCTTTCTCGAACTTGTTGGGGAAAAATACTCGGCACTCCTTTCGGAACCACCGCTTTGCTAGCCAGTACATAATCGCCATCACTGTGAAAAAGCGCTTCTTCCCCCAAACCACACTTGTCAGGCGTATTGGTATTTGTATAGTAATAGTGCGCAGACTGCGCTGTGTCATGCGCGTTTCTGCATGCTCTCGGGGACTTCCACTTTTCCATGTTTTAGGCAGGGTCAAAAGCTAGGTCTGTGATGCGACTGGGACTGGACTAGCTACCTCCCAGCGCCGGAACAAGACACTTCATGCGCAACAGCGAAGACTTTTTGGCCTGTGTAGCTGCAAAACTAACTGCCATTTTCTAGTTGATTCTGGGTTCATCTTGCTGGGATGGACGTCGACGTCGTTTTCACACAGGATAATCGCACCTGACTCGAACAGGGTCTCTTGCACTTCGAAGTTGGACGAACTAGATGCGCCATGGTCCTCAACATCATCGACTGTGTTGAGCTGTAAACTTCTTGTACTTCTATCGTGGTCAGCCTCAGCACTACGAATTACCTCCACCGCAGGCATTTTCCCGTTCGGGCTGATTCTCAGGAAGTCCTCCCCATATTGCTCCCCCCGCGCTAAATCCACCGAAATATGGTGAAGAAAAATGATGTCCCCATCGTCCCAAAGTTTATTGTTGTCATGCAAATCCTCACCCCTAAAATGTAGTTTTTCATGCCGCAACCCCATGAGGAGCATTTTGTGATGCTGTAGTTCAGAAATCATTTGTCGTGCTCGAATCAGGATAAAACTGCGATCGGTTTGTGATGCGGCTGCACTAGCTAAATAGGACTACTTCTACTTACTCTCCTACGGGCCTAAACTTGTCACACGCGACAGCCAAAGCTTGTGGATTTGTGTAGCAGATCACTCTTCATCTGGACGTATGGGGTGGGGACATAATTTCTCTATAGGATACGGAATCACATCGAAATCGATGTTTGCCTCGAGCAGCAAAATTGCGACTTTCCAGCCGTTGGGTGTGGGGCTGTAGTGCAAACGGACTCTGAGGTTTCGCGTGGAGGAGTTCATCTTGGACATTATCAAATTTACATTAGCATGTTATATAAGGGTGGCCCCACACAGATGCCACGGACACAGATGCCCAGATGACACAGATGCCGGATTTTTGACGTCTTGCAAAATCGACGACACAAATAACACAGATGCCGAGATGAGATGCGCGACGGCTCGGGCTGCGCGGGGGCGGTCGCGCGAGAATCCAAAAATTTTGGCGCGCCATACCGTCGCGCCTAATATTACCCCGCACGGTATGGCGGGCGCGTGATTTTTGCTCATTTTCGCGTCGGCTTCTTTTCGTTTATTTCTTGCATTTTTGCGGAGGGCGCTTTTGCACCTCAAGCGCGATGCTATTCCGCTTGATCAGGCGGAGGCCTCTGTCCCGAAAATGGCAAAACGTTACACCTCTAAACACGACTATACGCTGACTAGACTCTCACCGCGCCGCCGTGTTTGGCGGCAAGACAAATTTCGGATTGAGCGCAAGGCCCATTACAAATTGGCGACTTTTTTTTCTTGCGAAAGACGACGCTACTGCGGACCCACGGAGGGTCCAAATTCGTTCCTTTTTCGCAAGCGTACCGGGGGGATTCGTGACACAAAAAAGCCTCTATTTTTCGGATATCAATGCGCCTATGGACGCAAAAGTCGCCATTTTTACACCTTCCCCCGGTAAGACGCTGCGTTTTTTGCGCACCTTTTGGCCGCCCACGCGGCCGACCCCGGTTCCAGCTTAGCAAGCCCTTCCCCCGATGCTACTGCCCCACTTTGGGGGGCGCCCCTTTGTTCCATCTCGATCCCCCGTAAGGTAATCCGCCGTCGCTTCCTTGCTTCGCAAATGGGAAGCGGGTTCGCCGGGCCCGGCTCACCCGAACGCAACGATTGATTACTTACCACGCGGTTCTCACAGGACAACACTGGTGGTCCCCTCAATGAGCCATATAGAAGTCGCCTTGTTTACTTGAAAATGAAATTGAATCAAATGCGCATAACAGAAGAGGACATTTTTTTCTTTTGTACAACACTGCCGGCGCCGGGCTTCTACTTACTTCCCTTTTTTTGCACGAGAGGAGGACATGATCACCTGCGGAAGCAGACTTCTTCATGTTCAACATCTCCCCTCGCCCTCCTCGCTGTTGGAAAGATATTGGAGAAAACACTCAGTTGCTGGAGGAGAAAAATTTTCTCTTCTGACGACCCCGGAGGCCGGCGCTTCAAATCATTCCATTCGCAAAAATTTCTAGCGAAAAATATATACGAAATATTTTCGCGCACGTCTGTTTTTGGTTGGTGCTGTGTCAATTGGACTACTATGTGCAATGGGAGTGGTTCTCGTCGGTCCTCGTGATGCAGAGAGAAGCAAAATACAAATACATGATGAGTGAAGCTTATGCACTTTTTATGTCTTTCTAGAGCTGCGGCTGGTCGCTGCCACTTTTATGCCTTCTGAAGTCGTTCTTCAAGAAGCGAAGGAGCCAACGATCATCTTCAATTTGGTTGCAACAATACCAATCGGTTGGATATGGAATGTGGTACTACTACTACACATCCATGTGTCAAAATAAACTCGACGTCAAAATAAGATGGGAAAACCTGCATGGATAGATGCGATGCGAATTGTGAGGAGGAATACAATCGAGATCGACATGACGTGAAAGAATTTTTTACATACTAGTTGTAAATGTTGAAAATGTGGCTCCGTGCTGCAGCTCGCTGCAACTACCCGCACGCTTGATGGAAAACTAAAATTGATCTAGATTATATAAGCAAACCCATCGGGCTTCTTGTTGTACTCAAGAGCCTGTTAGTACTCTATTTTCGCCACACTATGACTTTACTTGCTTTTAATCTGCTGCAGCACCACTAGGTGCGTATGAATTGGGGAAATCTTAATTTCATTGGAAATGACCTTCATGAAAATAGGGTACAGTTGCACATGAAAATTAGAGTATAGTCGACGTGCTGAGAAAGAGAAACGTGCGGCCACCTAGAAAATGTACTTACGTAAAATAAATAGTGGTAGAGGAAGGTCTACTTCCCGCTATGCTGGTCAATAAAACGATATTATTTGTAGTGGAATACTATTTTTTAAGTACTTCTACGTACAACCACAACAGATGTCGTCATTTACATCATTTTCGTCCTCCTCTCAGTTCAAGACAATCGCGCGCTGCTCCCCCTCACCGGTGATGGCGGCCAGCGCTTCCTCGTTAGCCAGCGTGTCCTATGAGAGTGGACAACTTCCCCCCCCTCATTTGTATGGCATCTACAGCATTACGAACACCAGTACAGTTGGACACTGTGTATGACAAGTTAAAAAACGCCGATTGTAGTACTGTTTGAATTTCCGGAATTTGTCATGCACGCGGTGCCACAAGGTAGCAACTGGATTTGGGTTTTTGCATGACAAATGAGGGAGAGGGGGAGTTGTGCACTGTCATATGTCCGCAATCGCCTGAGCCAGCCGGTCGGCGACGGTCGCGGGCGATGGCGGTGCTGGTGCAACTCCAGCTCCTGCACTGGGTCGTGCAAGAACATCTTCAACCTGCCCAGCCGCAGCCGGCAATCCAACGACGCGGTTGTCATCATCGTCACTCATCCCAAAAACAGCAGCCTCGGGGACTGAGCGAACCATGTCCGGGGTGGTGATCAACATGGGACCACTTCTGGCCATGTTGATCATCTCCTGCTGCTGGTTGTGGTCGTGCTGAGTAGATGAAGAACTACCACCAGCACCTCCCAAGAACGGGGCAGCTGCTCCTGCAGGCTGACCCGCCGGTTGTTCGAAGCCCAGCTGATGAAGTTGAAACATGGAGGCCGCGGGGGGTGTATCCTGTGCAAAACTATCGCATTCGTAGTAATTGCATTCATGCATTACAAATTTCTTTCTCAAGGTGAATCAGCATTACAAATTCAATTTCTAATGCTGGGCTAGTTTGTAATGCAATTTATAGTAGTACGATGATTTTGCATTGCATAGGGTGTAATGGGCGGCAAAAATGTGCTGGTCAACATCAATCCCACGCGCATCGGGTCCGTCCCCGTTCTAGCGTCGAACAGCAGGGGCAGTAAGCCCTGTTGCTTTCGTATGCATTGCAAACATGGCTGGGTGTTCACTGGACGACAAAACGCAACACAAACGCGTTTTTCTGCATCATCAAGCAAAAGATCGCACTACTTTTCATCTTCGTGTTGGTCATGCTAGTAGTACAACACAGATTTTACAGATATTACGCAAGACCAAAAGCAAGAATACGCGCTTCAATCTAAAAATCTTCCAGAAGATGACAACCCAGATCGATTATATTTGCAGTGCATATTCAAGTGGTCCACGCTAATCAACCCATTTCGGGCGAACCCGAGCAGTTGGCCCCGGGTCAGGTTCCGCTTTAAGTCGAATTTCAGGCCGAAGGGAAACATGTATGGGGGTAGGGTGAGCAAGTCGCTTTCCGCCGTGTTATTAGGGTCCAAAATTTCGTGACTTCTCACAATCCGGAAATCAACGCGCCAGTTTTTCAGACTATCGTTGTTGAAGTCGGTACCCATCAGCATCTGGTCGAAGTTCCTCACTCTCGACACGTCAAAATGCGCGAGATTTTCGTCGAAGCCTGTGCACCGCGAAAACATGCCCTCCATAGACCGCACTTGGGTCGTTTTCCAGTCAGAGAGGGAAAAACTTGTGTCTTTAAACAAATAGTCCCAAACCTATCCACAAAAAAAAAGAGCCATCCCCATACATTTTTTGCATGACAAACACTGTGACTTTCTGCATGTTTTGCATGAGACAAATTGGATTTGGGGATGGGTTTCTTTTTGTGGATAAGACCTTCGTGGTTTGCCGGATCCGTCTTGCGTGGGTCCGGATGACGTGGTTCTCGAACTCTCGTCGCGTTGCCTCCGGCAGGTCGGCGAACTGCGCTGGTGATCCATCCGCGTTTTGCAAATTCAGGTGTTGAAGAAATCTTTCCGTTTCCAAGTGAAACACCTTGTCCATCTCAAATTGCTCGGCGTGCGGCTGGTAGAACTGGCAAAACTCGCCGAACAGGTTCGAAAGGTCTCCATCGTTCACCTGAGAGACATCCCAGGTTTGCGGTGCCCCATATTGCTCCTCGATGTACGCTCGATTTCCGCTGTTTTCCTCGTAGTTGGTATGGAGCTGTCAGAATCTTGAAATCGACAAAGTAAAAGAAATAATTTGTTGTAAGTATGTAATGCATGAAATGCGACGCAGAGGGTGCCTCTATTGCAGGGGACGCAAGGGAGACAGATGTATAATCCTGGTACGGGTCGCCAAGAGTTGGCGTTGGGCTGCTAACTAGCATGACAGAAGGGACGACGAGCTCTTTTTCCCTAAACCGCATGACAGGTTCGCGCCCAGGAGGGGGAAAAATTTGTCACGTGCCGACTCCAGATGACTGTGGGTCTAAAACTATCAAACTGGCATCGATTTTAGTGTGTGCGACAAACTCTTTCAACTTTGTCAATTTCGATCCTGAAGACACTCCCATACTTGATCTGGCGGAAGTAATACGTGATCGCGCGGAGCAGCACCGTTTTGTCTTTCGGGAAGGGCTTGTTTGGGAGCTTCACGTGCTTATCAGATCTTTCCCACTCGAAGTTTCGGTTTTTCTTGCCCGTAGACGACGACGACGAGGACGAGAAGAGGCTCGTTTTAGCGAGATTTTTCCGGCTCCGGTAGTCCAGGCCCCGGAGGATAGCAGCCTGGGCGGGTTCTGGAAGGGAATCCAGATGTTCCACTTGCGGTTGTTGTACTCTTTCAAGATCTTCCGGGTGCACGTGCAGGGGAGAAGAAGTACTTCTAGAACATGGAACTCCTCCTGCTCTACTACTGCGAGAAAATGACGTTGAACCCTTTTTCAAGATGCTCTTCACGCTCCCCGCTGCTGGCGCTGCGCTACTACTACCCACTTGTAGCTGTCCACCTGCAGTAGCAGAAGTTGTCGTATTTCCGTCCAGCATCCACGCTTCCTCGTCGCTGCTCGCTTCCTCGGCGATCGTGGGTAAAACGGGGGCCGCCCTTGGCGTGCGAATCTTTCCTCGAAAACCAAGATTATTCTTGGAGCTAGTGATGGTGCGAGAAGAGGAAGAGGATGACAGAGGTGGCGGTCCAACTCGGGAGGACGAGAACGAGGAGCGACTACCACGGCTGCTCGTACTCTGGTAAGAGGACGAAGAAGACGATGATGAAGCAGCTCCTGCGCATCCTCGCTGCTCTCTCCTGCTGGTGGTACTGCAGCTTTCATCTCTATTCGCCGTGGTCAACAAAGTTGGCGCTCGTCCTGCAAGGCCACCTGTGAAATTGCCCCTGCTCTCAGGAACGACACCGCTGAACGAAGAGGCAGATGATGCGGCATTTCGATTTCCGTGGTTACAACTCGCGTAGACCTGCTGTTTGCGATGCTTGTTCTTCTCGGAGGAGTCAACTACCGGTGATGTGGATATCGCACAACAGCTACTCGGTCCCGGGCCAGCCAGCACGCTGGAGACGGCGACGACGGACAGAAAGAAACCGAGTTGTGCATTGGAAGAAGGAGGAGCCATGGTGGATTTATTTCGACGAGATGAAACTTCAGCAACTGTGTAGTAGAGAAAAAAATTATAGGTGATTTGAATTTCCTAAACAATTTGTTGCGTGCAGCAAATTCTTGTTATGACTATGTTGAGGTGCAGCTTCTAGTTCTAGATAATCAAGGTTGCTTTACTTCAAATTCCTGAGCAATTTTATGCAATTTCCTGGTTGCAGAAAAAATTTAGTTTTCGCTAACACGATGACGTTGAATTGGCGACAGCCGGAGAATCAAAGTAACGAACTAGGTGGCACGACACACTTAGTGATAGTGGTCACAAACGAACCGATCTTCGAAATGAGAACGAGTTGTATAATGAATGCGTATAATGCGACTACAATACTTAGGGTAATAAACGCTCCAAACTGCTGCACGAGCTAGCAAGTGGACCACCACCACTGTAGTGCGGCACGATATAATAATTTATTACGATTTCCTGTGGGTGAGGGAAACCAGTGATGATTTTTTTTTCAAACCATTGAGGATCTGTTGGATCTACTGATCGATTTTAGATTTTTGTTTCGATCCATCGTCCACGATCTTTCGCATCTAGGGATCGATTTTTTGTGTCGACCTTCCATGATCTGCTACAAGTACTTTTACGGATCGATCTTTAACGCTGAAGATCTTGATCATGATGTTGACCTTCCTTCCATCGCCTATTATTTTCATCATTTCCACCATTTGGGACGAGAATAAATGCTGTCAGGTCAAAGAAAAAAACCGCGAGAACAACTCGGCCCTTACATTGATCACCATCGCTAATCCATTTTCATTTTTTTTTCCAGGGCCCATTCATGATATAATATCATCTGATTTGTCTTTTCAAAACATGATGGTAAACGTCCTCAGCATACTTTCTCTTCCTCAAATTTTACGGGCGAAAATTTCTGAAAGCTATAGTACCGCCAGCGATGCAATATCGTACAAGCTTGTAAAAAAAGCAAATTGAAATTCAAATTCTGTTCATCCTACACATATAAAGCTAGATATTCGGCGCGGCCAGGTACGGCTTAACGTATAGTACATTCTACAAAGTTACTTGCTAGTTTGCTGCCCTCTTCTTTTTCCGGGCCATGTCAGAACTGATACGGTCCTATCCTTGTCCATCAAGCTTGAACTATCTATGCTTATTTCTGTGATAATACTACTTATTTGGAAACAGACATCAAATGCTAGAAACTGGTATAAGAATTTTCTTAGTGCAGGAAGAGAGAATGAGAAGAGCAAAGAGAAGAAAGTCACACACAACGTCAACCCCTTAGCTCATGTTCGAGGGCGGGAGCTGCCTTTATGCAGCACAGCTTTTAGTTTTATCCATAACACCCCATCGAAGAAATAACTCACATCAGCTAGCCCGAAATACAAATACTCATCATCGCGGCGCTCTGCTTTCTTTCTTGCGGGCACGCCTGACCTTTTTCACCGCCAGGTGCCTGATCAGTTTTCGTTTTGCCTGCTCTTCCTCCTCATGTTTCTTCTTCACCGCTAATGTGTCTGAGTCGTTATCAAGTCCGGCGGCTGGGCGCGATGGAGCATCACTGGCAATGGACACGACATGTCGATCTGAAACGTTGTCCCGAGCGTGGTCATTTGCGACCCGTTTTTGAACGGGAGGATCTGCTGCTGCTGGAGTAGAAGTAATATTCGCGTCTACTTGTCCCGTATCTGATTGAGCAGTCTTGCAAAAGCGTCTCTTTCTCCTGGCCGGCGGCGGCGTGACATCGGCGTCCAGCTGACGAGGAGTGGGGCGTCGTACTCCCACCCTCCCCCTCGCAAGCATATTAATCGGGGTCACAGTTTTCTTTGCCCTTGGCGGCGCAGAACTTGAACTCTTCTTTCTGCGACGAGAAATAGCGTTGATCTTTTTCTCCTTGTTGAAGCCTTTTTTTCCCTTGGTGTCAATAATACGAATATCTTCAGTTTTCTCATCAAGTCGGCGCGGCAGTTGTTTTCGTGGGCTTCTCTGTTGAGCAGGTCTGGTGACCAGCTGCGCGACACGCTTGGATTTGCAGCTTGTTTTTGCGGCTCGTCTTGCTGCTCCTTGTCCACCATCTCCCGCGGCCGTGTGAGTTGCAAGAAAGCGAAGAACCTGTGCTAAGCCTGACGGACTTACGGACGACGTGCCGTTGCCTGGAGATGGATGCCAGTTAAACACATTTTCCGCTAGCCGTTTCAACCGTGCCGCTGCATCTTCATTCTTCCGCGTGGTCTCTACCCCTGCAGCGCCAGCGGTTGCGGCCCCGAACAAAGCTTCCAGCAGCAACCTCATTTTCCGGCGGCCTTTGATCTCGTCGGACAAGACAACGGGCGAAGATGATGTCGTCTGCCCCCTGGTGGTGTTGCCATCAAACCCTGTAGCAGCTGTTGTTTCATCATCATCACTCCTTCCGCGTCGAGACCCGCCCATGTTGGAAGTAGCAGCGTCCTCCTCCTCGATGTCAACGAGATGACCCAACTCTTTGTAAAAGTCTTTTGCCAGCTGCAGTGCCGCCGTTGAGGGGGCCTCATGTTGATAAATCACCGCGCTCTGAATCTGGAACTGCGGGTATTACAATGAAGAATGCCCCCACCCCCCAATGTGCAAAAGTTTGTCATGCAAAGTTTCCAAATGAAAGCTTTTTGTGTTTGTCTTGCATGAAAGGATTGCGAGCCTTTCTGATGCAGAATCTAGGTGCGCAATGTGCCTTGTGCGTAACAGATCCGGCTGCTGTTGGGCCCCTTCGCAACACAAATTCGAGCTATTCAGCATGGAAAATTTGTGATGCTAAGATATGCAAGAAGGGAAATTTTTCTATTGGAAAGGTTTGCAATACAAATGCTGCCAAGTGTGGGGTGGGGGCACTTTTCACTGTAATAGCGGGCGCACTTGCTGCAAGCGGCGGATGAAATGGTCATTGTGGGATCCTTATGAAATGCAAAAGCATCGTACTAGTATAAATCGCATGACAAACTTCCTCAGCATGAGAAATAAAATTTGTATTACGGATTTAACTTGAGAAAGAAATTTGTAATGCATAACTGCGATTACTACGAGTACGATACTTTTGCACAGGATAATCCTCCCATAATGAAGACTTTCGGCAGTTGTAGCTTTTTGCGCGTCGACGGCCCGGACGAAGACACCGACACAGGGGATGTTGACGATGAGGAGGTTTTTAATACTTGTGGATTTATTCTACTTCCCAGCACACGACTGTCCTCGTCCTCGTGCCCCTTCACTGACTGGTCGTTCTCCCACTTTTTCACCAAGCGTCGGATCCAGACCAGATTACGGACGGTCACCAAATGTGGCAACGTCTCGCTGTGAAACAGGGCAGGGTTAGCATCAAATGCTGCTCGTGCCGGCGGGGAGTTACGCAACTGGTTCTCCAAAGCCAGTTCGGGGTCGTGGACGTGCTCGTCCACCGCGACCTGGGCGTCCACCTGCTCCACCATCGTCTGGTGCTTATTCTCACCGGCGACTGTGCCTTCCAAACCTTTTTGTTTTTCCCCAGCAGTGTTGACAGGCTCCTCAGAAGTTGGGCCTAACATCTTCTCGGCATTTTTAGGTTCGTCCTTCTGCTCTATCCTTGTCCGATGTTCAAATGGTGACTCCTTCCACTTCCCCGGCGCGGGGCCCCATGGTGTCGCCTGTCCAGCACGGATGTAGTGGCGGACATCGAAGCTCTATGGGGGTGCCAGGCTGGTCGAAGTTCGCAAAATGCATACGTAAATCACTTACATTTCGTACATAATATATGATGTGCACAAAGTGCGAGCTGCGCGAGGTATACTCTCCTGCCTTGCAGGGAAGGGAAAAATGACAGACCGCCAGCTTGGTCAGTCAACAAGGTCAACATGGGATAAACGGCTGGCGAAGAGGACAATGGCAGGAGCTGCGTCCGTCTTTGCGCTAAACCGCACGGAAAATCAATGTCCGGACGTTGCCAACCTTTGATGTCATGCGGTGCTTCGAAATTGGGATCCCAAGAAGAGCTGGTACGTATTTTTAAACGTACGCGCCGAGGATTGATTTTGATTTTCATTTTTACATTTTCTGAGTGACTACACATTTACTCGACGATATCCACCCCTGATACCTTCATAAGTTCATTTGGTTTTCCAGAAATTTCATCTCGAGCAGTTCCTGCTCTTCCATGCGCAATCCTGCTCCCGTCCGCTCGTCGCTTCTGCTGCCCCACATCCTCGGAAAGAAGTCAACAACCTTTTTGTACATATTCGCTGCACAGGTGGCTCGGATGACGTCCACTGCTATTCGTAACAGCTCTTGCCGAACAGGCAGCTCTTCCGTTAGAAGTGCATGCAGGTAGAGATTCTCCGAGCGCACACTTGCGATCACGCTTTCGTGAGTTGCGAGGGCCCCTTTCTCCGCATATTGACGCAGCAACTCGCGCTCAACATGAGACCACGAGGGCAGCATGGACAAGGTATGTAGTTCGCCCGGAATCATAATCCGTCGCCCCTCATCGTTTCCTGCTGGTTCTTCTCCCCCTTGTCGCCACCCCCGCCCGGCGTCTCGTCCAACTCCGTCCTGTTTTTCTGCAGGTCCTGTTGGCGTCGCCTTGCTGCGGTGCTCTCGATGCTCCTTCAAGTGTTTTTGGATCTCCGCACTGGTGCGCCGCCCTCTTATAATTTGGTTGTCGTCAAATTGGTCAAGCAGATAGCACAGCTTGAAGTGTGCCACGGCTTTGGTATCTGACTCTGCGTTGATGGTGTTGTCAGCTGGAGGCTTAGAAGCGCCTTTGGATCGCGGAAATCTAACTTTTTCCCACGCGATCTTGTTACATTCCTCAAACCGGCCTGCAATAGCCTCAAGTAGCCCCGCCACATTGTCCTCCTTGCTCAGTGGAGTCGCGATCCAGCCCGCCGGCAGCAAACCCAAACTTCTACTCATACTTCTATTCATTCCCTATCCACTGCAAATATGTCTGGGTCTGGAAAGTTGCGATCGTGGTGCGGAACAAGATCGTGGCAATCGCAATCCTAATCAAGTAACGAGGAGCCTCCTTTTTTCGTGCAGAAGCCAGGCACGGCTTATTTTCTCATGCGAGTGCCTCTGCGCCGATGTGCATCCGCGCATTACGAATTATTCTTGCGGGTGCACTTCATGACTATTTGCATGCAACAAGAGGCTGCGCGTGCGCAGCTTTTGCTGATCAGAAGGCATCAGTACAGAATTTTTAGATTATTTTCTTGCTATTTATTAATACATAATTGCAATACTATAAGCAGTACTGTTTTCGACTTTTCAAGCCCAAGCATATTTCTTGCAATGCGTATTGCGCTGTCTAGATCAACAGAAAATTTATAATCTGAGTCGGAAGTAAATGCTGCCAACATTACTTCTCGCGCGCGCCCCAGGAGCCCTGCAAGTTTTTGCGGGCCCTGCTCTCGAAGGCGCCACCGTAAGCGATTGAGAAAGTTTATCTTAATCTGTTCGCCCCTAGTGGTCGAGGCGAGCTCTCTGTAGTCCCGGGCATCGCCTACTAAGCGCAGTGAGGTACTCTCCAATTTTCCACCAAAGTGCAACTGCATGCGCTCGCTGTGGTGGTAACCAAACTCCTCCTCCCAAAGCTCTATCTGCCCCAAATGCGCAAGCTTTCGGTATGAAACTGGTGCCAGGTCGTGGAAAATGGAAATAGTTTGCCATGCAGAAAATGTGACTTCGGAAGATGGTGCCTGTCGTGCAGGGGTGGAAGCAGCGAAGGCAGCTTGTAGCTGCGTCGAGACTATCACTATGGAGGTCAAAACATGGGCAGCTGCTCCTGCTGACAAGTAAGTATGCATCTTCACTACAGGACTGCACTGTCCTGCTCCGGGCAGCATAATTGACAGATATGCTCTACAGTGCCGGAAAAAAGTGCCAAACGCTCTTACCTAGAAATTAATTGCGGCGGCACCAACGATACATTTTCATAAATATGCACCACAAGTACTACTTGTTTCTCCTTCTTCCATTCCGATGTCAACTTTGATTTTCCACCTGGCACTCCCAGCATATCCGGAGAAGAGTGCGTAGTCGCGCGGCAAGCGGCATGTCGTGGCGCTCGCCAATCACGAGAACCTGGTTTTCAGCACCCTTTTCATTCTGCGGGCTTCCTGCGATGAAAGAACTGAGTGGATCTACTTCGTCATCATCATCGTCATCGTCAGAAGACCAGAAGGCAGCCGACTCCGTGTCAGATACATCCGAGTATCCACTTTCCTCGTCAGGCGAGGCGGGCCTGGTGGGTGCAGTAGTAGGGGACAGCGATGGCGCAGCAAGAGGGGAGGAAGACTCTTCTTGTGCTTGCTCTGCAGCATTAAAAACACCTGCAGTATCATCTGCAACATGTTGCTGCGTGCCGGAACCCGTCGAAAACGGATCTGAAGTTGATCGCCGAACTGTCACGGCATCCGCCCCGGGCAGGAGTGGTAGCCCCAGGAGTTGTCCACCAAAAACCCCCGCGAGGAAGCCGGTCCCACGTCGCAGCAAGAATAGCCCGGGCCCCACTTGCGATAAGCACAAGAGCGCAGCAGCGATCCGCCTTCTTGCCGGGATCCTGGAAAAGTGCGGCATGTTCTTCTTGTTTTAGTTCGTTATTTAGTCTTAATTCTTGTACAGAAAATTCGATTTATATCAATGTCAATTATACGGAAAAAAGCTGCACCAAAAACAGGAACAGATGAGTGAGTAATAAATATAGTTCTGCACCAGAAACACAACAGCTGAGTACTTGATATTCTCTTATTTTGGAATTGCGGGATGCGCTTCCCCTTCCATGTCCTTTTGCAGGGACTTGGAAAAAAGCGACACGTGTGATCCCATAGTGATTGCTTGTACAACAACTCATGATCGTCGTGCCTTATTAATTACAAAAAAGTACATTGTCGGTCAGATCTGACTAGTACACTTAGCTAGAACTATTTTTAATATTTTTTCACGATCTACAATTCTTGAACGTTTCTAGAACAAGTAGAAGAACTCTTCTAAAGCAAGATGAATTTGTGAGCAGAATGGTCATCTTTTTGTTTTTCTAATAGAAATATCCATATCGACAGGCTTTAATATTGAGAAGAAAATAAAAAAAACCTCGTACTAGAACTGCAAGAAAATTTGGAGAATGCAACCGTGATCCACTGAAAGCATGTAAAGCAAACATGTTGCGCATGTAGTTCCCCGGGAAAAACTCCTCAGATCTTGATCGAGCCCACAGCACTCACACGGTTTCGATTCAGGCACAGACTTCTATCTACTGTCTTGCTTTTGATGAAAATAAGAGCTTTACTGCGCTACTGCTAGAAGTGATCGCTTGATCCAGGAAATGAATGCAGGGCAGTTACGGTAGCGGAAATGGCACGACTTACAAACATGTTCCTGGGATTTGTGATGAGATGCGAATCATGTAAGCGAAGAAATGTACAACTGAACTGCATCAAGGGACGAGGACGGAACTGCATATCCATATTCTTCTTCTTGTCATAATGTTGACGAATAAAAACGGAATTCTTTTCACTTGTAGTTTTTGAATTGCTTTCAGGGGCAACATGGCAATTTCTGCCCCAGCGGCAGCCTTGGGGCACGGTCGAGAAAGTCATGAAAGTAGAAGTACTTAGATGAAGAAGAAGAACTTATCTTCCCGCAGTAAAAAAAAAACAAACCGGATCACACTCTTTGCGATATTAATTTCGATACCGGTGATTTCACTCAGCAAGACAATCTCGCTTCGTCTTCGTGTTCCTGCAGCATGAAATCCTTTTTCTCGTGCGTCCGCGTTCCCAGCGAGCACGTTGCGTTGTCATCTTCTTGAGCATTTTCAGCCGGCTGAGAAGATGGCTTCGTCATTTCATCACCTCGAGGCAAGGGTGGATCTTGAGTCTTATCGCCCACGACCACCTCCCGATGGCCAGTGTCAGTCGAGGGAACGTCTCCTACTTCCCTTGTGCTGGAGATCATCATGCTCTCTACTTTTACTACTTTCGCTGGCACGACACTGTGTCGATGACGCGTCTCCCCGTCCTCCCTTCTCCGCGGCGCCGTCCGTTCCGCGAAACCGCGTTCTGCGGTCCACATCGGATCGTGCCAGAACGGACCGGCTAGCACGAACTTCCTGACCTTCTCCGGGACAAGTTCTTCGTACTCCCTTCTCGAAGCGTAGACGACCTTGTGGAACTTGCTTTCCCAACGAGCAAAATGCGACGCGGCGAGGTAGTGTGCCTGAAAGCGGTCGGGCTTGGCGGTGCAGTGGTACAGCGGACGGTAGATCACCTTGAAGTCCTTCACCTCGTGACCCCTATCAAATGCAAATATGTCTGGGTCTGGAACATTCTGAGACTTGTCATGCACGTTTTGCATGAGCCATGACGTCTGTGATGCATGCCCTAGCGTCACAGACTTTTTGAGGGCTTCTTGATGTTGCCTATTCCGCATGACAAATGCCCTCTTTGCGTAGCAAAAATTAGACTCCCTTTGCTGCTCATGCAATGCAGACTTTTTTGGAATCCAAATGCAGCATCACAAGTGGCATTCCTCCAGACCCAGACATATTTGCAATGCATAATCCCACGCATGGCCCAAGACCTGGTAGTAGTCGCCCTTCAGTTCCCAAATGTCGGGAAGACGAAGATGATCATAATCAGCCGCTTTTGTATCTTTTTCCCTTATCATTCTTTTCGTTTCCTTTTTTTCATGTTCCCCACTGCTGGCTATAATTTCTTGAGAAACTGGATTTGAAACTGCTTCGCCGGCGACCGTCATGATAAATTCTATATCTTTAATACAACTACATGTAATATCAATAGACGAAACTTCTAATACTTCCACACGATGACGAAACTAGTAAGCACTTCTACACGAAGATGAGATCTACTCACACTTAGTATTGATCCAAGAACGATATTACAAGTACAACGTGAGAGGAGTATTATTTTGCCTATTCCGATTCACGGTGCTTCTGAGACGCACAACCGACGAGCACGCGGAGAGTTCTACTACCGGTTTCTTTTGTTGTTGCGCAACTTCCTGACAAGTGAGGACGCATCCAATTTTCCGACACATAAATTTACACGCTTTTAATATTTCCAGGATATTGCATACATCATCTTCAGAAACACGCAGCTCTTGTCGTGCAGCAAGCGCCGAGCGAAGCGCCCGGCGTTACCAGCAGGGGCTTCCCCTTCGCTGTTTTCGTCCTCTCGAAGCGGGACTACAAAGGTTTTTGATAATTTTTTTTGCAATTTTCTTCGGGTGAAAGGAGGCAGCAGATGAGGTGTTCCACAATATTCAAGAGCTGGTCTTCTTTCGCATTCGCAGAAAGCATAGTTCTTACTTCTTCGAAGGGGAGATAGTACACATTCCCTGTCGATTTATTTTTAATATCCCTGATGATGCGAAATGCTGCAGTGCAGTCTACTGTGGTCGTATCAGAGCCGGCAATGCAGCGTCCCCGCTGGGCAACTGCTTTGTTATCTTAAAGTCTTAAGTGCATCACCGAATAAAACTTTCAAGATCATGGATTGATCCCCCCTTCTAGCGAAGATCCTCATGCTTCAGCTTCGGTTCTCTAATAAAGGTAACTAAACATTGCGTCGTACCCTTATAGTTCACGACCAGACTCTTGATGCATTGATGTCATCTTTTTTATATCATTGTTTTTTAGCTGCTGAGGTACAGATTTGTTATATTTTCATAAAACTACTACATTTTTTCTCGTGCCGCTTTTTAATGTGGTTCTTTCCTCTCGGTTCTTTTGTCGTAGCAGTGATGCAGGTTTTATGAAATTATTTTCAATCTTCCGTACAGGCTGTATAGTTTGTTCTCGAAGTGGTAGTGGTGTAGTTTTTTGCATAGAGAAGACAAACTTCCAGGTCGAGAAGTACACACACCCCATGATGCGTCGTCCTGGTACAACGAGGACAGTGGCTGCGAGCACAAGTACCAGCAGTCCTTAAGCTCTCGGAGCAAAGCATAACTAGTACCCGAAAATCTATCTTCTCCTTCTGAATTACAACATATACATTGTTTTGTGAGACGCAGAGTTCATCTTCTCGTTTTTCACTGCAGGATATACAACTTCGAATAATTACTGCGCAGCGTCGTTTATCAGACGAAGCTCCGCAGCACTACAGAAATTGTGTACGACCTACAGGTGAACGTGAAACATAAAATTTTCTCGTTGTAAGAGCATTTTGCTGTAGTTGCAGTTTTTGTAGTCTTCCTACTCATAGTGACGAATCTTCTGTGTGTTGAAACTCGCAAGATAAGCGGGAAATTCGGAAATAAAGCGAGTAAAAAGCTCACTCTACTTCCAAATAAGAGAAGACCGCTATCTTGTCATGCTATTTCTTTCTCCATTATTGCTGCGGTGTGTAAGTTTCGTTTGTAATGCATTTTCTAGCATGACAAATTACTCGTCGTCCTCGTCCTCATCCTCTTCCTCCAAAGCCTGCACCGCGACGGTGTCCATTTCACGCTGCCCCTCCGGCGTGATCTTGCGGCCGCCGGTCTTCTCGTCGATTTCGATGATCCCGATCTCTTCCAGCTGCTGCATGCAGTAGCGGATAATCTTCCCGGAGGACTTCCGGAAGTGACTGGTGCAGGTGCCGCGGCGCTGCTGGCCACCGTACACCTTCCGGAAGGCACCGACGCCGGAGCCGCCACGGTTGTAGATGTGACGCGCGATGGAGGCCGCACGGATGTACAGCCAGTCCTGGTCCATGGGCGGCAGCTCGCGAGACACGTATGAAAATGAAAAATCCCCCCTCCCCATATTGAAAAGGTATGTTTCCGGAAATTTGCGTTGCTAATTTGTGGCCACAAATCAGGTTTGTCTTGCAAGAAGACAAGCGCAGAGGCATCCGCCCAATTGTGGAAGCGATTTGGCATGCTGCTGGTCCTAGAGGGTAGCCGTTTGCAATGCTGAACGACTAGACCTGAGCGCCCCCACCTAGCCTGGGGATCTGGCCGCAGTGCCTCTCTGCAATACAAAGCTGATTTTGTGTACACAAATCCAGCATCAGAAGTTTCCGTTTTGATATGGGGAGGGGGGATTTTTCGTTTTGATAACACGCCGGTCTTCACCACGTCGGCCCACGGCGGCAGCTCGAACTTACCCTGGCGCTTCATGTGCTTTATGGAAGTGTTAGAATCGAAATCGACAAAGTTGAAATAATTTCTCATGCCAATATTGCAAGGCACGAAGTGCCTCTCTTGCCAGGATGGAAAGTGAGGCCGACTGTCAGCCTGTTTGGGGTCTGCGATAGAGCTGCTAAAGTAGCATAACAAAAGACGCCTTCTGTCCCCAAGCAGCATTACAGACTGGATTTAGACGGTGCCGAAGTTTGTCATGCACCGCTTGAAAATTGGGCCTCCAACTGGTATCGATTTTATGCATCACAAATGAAATCGCTTCAACTTTATCGATTTCAATCCTGACACTCCCATATGCTTCGCCAAAGCAGTGATGAACTTCTGGGCCTTCACGTCCTTCACGGTGCAGGCGCGCTCGCACCCGAAGATGTGGTCGAAAGCGGTGGCCATTTTGGAGCGGTTTTTGATGATGATTATGGTGATGCAAATAGCAGTTTTTGAAGATGATTATAGAACAAGAGTTTTGTCGTAGACAATTAGAATTCAGTCGGATGTGAAACACAACAACCCACAGCTGCAGCTAGAGAAAAGTAATGCACGTCCTGGAGAAATTGAAATTAAAGTTGTTGCAAGGATAGGCAATAATTTGATCATGGTGTTGTGCACGAATAGGAATGCACACCATTTCAAATCTTCATCCACATCGTCGTGCACATGTGTTTTGCTTGAGAGCAACCCAAGAAGTTGGAGCAGCTTTGATATCAAGAACCAGAAAATACTTTACTTTGATCATCTGTACTTTGTTGAGCTAGCAGTAGCAGCCACTGCCACGAGAACGGAAAGGGTCTTTTTGTGCATGGCAATTTCTGGGATGAGATCATCTTTATGGTGCAGATGCACGTTGTTGTAGCAGGTACATACATTTTCTGTACATGTACATCAACAAAAAACGATAATACCCACTGGCACTGCAGCATGAACATCTGTTTCCATAGTACTACGATCGATCGCAGATCTACTTCTTTTGCATCTTTGTGGTGCGGCTTAGTTGTACTTTGATCATGATACATAACACCATTAAACAGAAAAGGATCGATTTCTGGGCGAAGCGACGAACATATAAGACTTCTTGAAGAACAAGAAGATGTTCGCATCAATCATCTTGTTACAGGAGATTCAAAAATTTATTTTTTCATCGAAGAACAAGTGAGCCAGAAGGCCGCCCGTTCAGCTCGTGCAAGGCGAGGCTCCCGCCAACAGGCTTCTTTTTCTTTTCGTGGTGGTGAATGCAGTAGTTGCAGTTGCATTTGCACTTCGCGCGTCTACGCCGCGTCTTCTTGTGCTTTATCGATGCGCTTGCGAACATGAATAGCACCGTGTATGAAAATACGAACGACAGCCAAGGCTTCACGCCCGCCCTCACTACAGAGTCACAGAGCGCGGCGTCGCGATCTTACAAAATGAGAACTATGCGCAAGAACGATGATGGTCAGGCTCTTATAAAGGCGCAAGAAACAAACGAACAAGTCAGGCTCTTTTAAAGGCGAGATTCTGCAAAGCCTTTTTGGTCTGCTTTTTCTTTTGTTTCTGCGCTTGGTTCTGAGCGTCGGGATTCTGCATCGAGCTGCTACTCGCGCCACTACTGGATGCACCTGCCCCAACATGCCCTGGATTCACCTGCCCCCCCGGTCCGACGGTGTGCCACCCCTGCTGCTGCAGGGGGACCGATCTGGAGGGCTTGGGCCGGTTTTGGGTGGAGGATGAGGAAGCTGCTGTTGCTGTACTAGTACTACCGGCATTGTAGTTATTCTGCGGAGGATATCAACAGGAAAAATCCTCCCTCCCCGTATCAAGATGGCGAAACGTCTGACGCTAGATTCGCGCACACAAATCCGATTTGTCTTGCAGTAAGGCAGCGTAGCCAGATCCTCGGCCTAAGTAGGGGCGTTCGGGTCTAGCTGCTTAGCATTACAAACGGCCGCCCCCTAGGCGCAACAGCATGCCAAATCGCTTCCATAGTGGCGCCGAAACCTCTGCGCTTGTCTTCTTGCAAGACAGACGCGATTTGTGGTCTCAAATCAGCAACGCAAATTTTCGGAAACATGCCTTGTCGATATGGGGAGGGAGGATTTTTCCTTACAATAGAGGACCTCTTGATGAGGAAGAAGATGCACCAGCTCCACCACGACCAGTGTTGTACTGCGCGCTATTGACATTTCCTCGCGGTGAATTATACACCCCGCCGGCGCCGCTACCAGCGTAAAGAGACTGCCCCAGGGTCGGGAACGCGGCTGGATCCTGGTTATTTCCTCTCAACATCATGGAGCTACTAGAGCTACCCGCAGCAGTGGTACCACCACCGCCTCCAGAGCCTGTCTTTGTTTCCTCTGGCGGGACGGGTTTTTTGCCCTCTTTGTGCACCAGATAGCGGTGGCTCAAGTAATCGTACTCCGTACCGAACAGACAGGTTTTCATGTGCCAACACTTCACCTCGGTGCAAACAAAGTGGTTCGCTTCGTAGTGGTAATAGAGGAAATCGTAGTTCTGGAACCAGACATTTGTGGTGACCCCTTCCTTGTCGCACTGTATGCACTTTTCGTGGCAGTCTCGCAAATGCTTCTGCGCTTCCGTGGTGGAGTAGAAGTAGCCCACGCGACTGAAGTCGCAGAACTTGCACAAAACGTGCTGCTCTTCCATGTGTTTTTCCAACTCCGACAGGCTCGAACCACCAGCAATCGGCTTCCGCGGGTCGTACTTGGGCAAAAGCATCGGAAACTCATTCTGGTGGGTGAGGCACAAATGGCAGACAGTCTCCTGCCCAAAGTTGTCGTGCTGGTTGCGCATGTGTTTCGACAGTGTTAGTCGCTTTCGCTGTTGCTCAAGCTTATCGACGTCCTCGCATATGATATTGTTATCTGCGTCTTGCGAGCTGTTATAGTTTCCAGGTGAGCTGCCCGTGGCTGCAGCTGCATTGGCGTAAGTAGAAGATGCTCCTTGTTTTTCCTTTCCCTTTCTCTTTCCGTTCTTTCCACCAGCATTTTCCTCATTCCCAGTGTTCTCTCCGGAGGTGGTGTTCTGCCACTTGCAGTTCGCGATGGGGCAGAGGTTAAAATTGACCAACTTTTTAAAAAAACCCACGTTTGGCTCGTAGTCGCTGCCCTGCACTAAGTGCACGAAGCACTCTAAGGAATCCTCCCAGCGGATCAAATGCAAAAATGTCTGGGTCTGGAAGAATGCGCGATTTGTCATGCTGCTTTTCCATGACCCATGAGGTCTGGAATGCAGGACCTAGCGTGACAGATTCTGCGGGACCTTTCTCATGCCTATCCTGCATGAGAAACTCCCTCCCGACTTGGTCAAAACTGGACGACTTTTGGTAATCATGCAACACAGATTTTTGCATGCTGCAGATTTAGCATGACAAGTTCCAATCTTCCAGACCCAGACATTTTTACATTTGATACAGCGGAGCTTCGCGTGCAGAGAGAATGGCTTGTTGTCCCCGCCGTCGGCCGGGTAGATTTTGAAACTGGTGCGTATGCATTGCAAAAGTATCGTACTAGTACAATTTGCATTACAAATTTGCTCAGCATGAGAGCTGGATTTTGTCATGCTGTTCTACCATAAGGACAAGACTTGTCATGCATAATCGCAATTAGTACAAGCAAAATACTTTTGCACAGGATAGTGTAGTTCCAGTCCTGCTTGTCTTTGTCGAGAAGCAAATCGTATTTCGGATTCGACAAGACGACCGGATTGTCCATGTCCTTCACCTCTTTGAAGCACAGCGGGCACTCGTTTTTCCGCAGAATAAACTTGTGCTTCAGAAAGCAAATCGCGCACACCTGCGGGAAGTGGTTGCAGCTAAAAAAAGCGAAGAAGGAAGTGAGGTTCTCGTGCTCACCGCAGCACAGGTGACAAACCGGCGAATCGTTGGATTTGCTGGACGTGCTACTATACCGGCGGTAGGAGGGAAGGAGGTTTGCGGGTTCTTTAGGGGTGGGGAGGGGAGCAGTGGATTTGTTTATGTTTTGCATCATGGCGTTTTCATTTTTACGCATGGCATTAGTTTTTGATGTCCCATTCTTTCCGACCCCGTCTGGGCGACGTTCTAGGCCTCGCCCTTGGCTGGTAGACGACGCCGAGCTGCTGGCACTGCTCGTTCTTCGGAGCGGCGGGGCGAATACTTCGGCCTGCTGCTGCTGTGCCGCGGCTCCGCTATTACCGCGCTGCGACGAGAGAGGGAACCCCTGCTGCATTGGGCTTGGCGCAGCACTGGAGCTTTGCGTCTGCTCCTCCCTCGCAGAATCGTACTGGTCGCCGTCGCTGTCAGAGTTGTTAATATCTCCGCGATTATACGACGGCCGGCCGCTCGACGGCACCACGTCCTCAAAGCTGCTGGCCCTGGTTCCGGTTGTCGTTCGTTGCATCGTCGAAATACCGACCGCCTTCTTCTTCTGTTGCTTCCTCCGCTCCTCGTTGGCCATTCTGAGTTCTTCTTCTTGCAAGTGGGCCGCCAGCTGCGCGTCTGCGTCAGCGACAGGACCGGAAGACATTATCCTAAGGAAAAACGTCCCCAACCCATAGTCAAGTTGGGAATCTAGCAACACAAATCGAGAAGTTTTGGGAGCTGTGCATGACAAGCTTCCATCTGCAGTGTAGTGCTGGTTGGCAAGGGAAGCCGCATCAGAAAGCCACTTTCTCATCCTCATCCTGTTTACAGCATTACAAATTTCAAAACACGATTGGAAATGCCTCCCATGGAGCTGCGCATTACAAATGTTCGTGTCATTGCGCATTTGCATGACAACCCTGGGGTGGGGATGTTTTTACTTCGGATAGACATGCCCTCTTGTTCGCCTTCCGCACCAGCGGGGTCGTGCTTTGCTCCATTATGTTGACCGGCATAATCTTTCATGTTCTTGGCAGGAGTAGCTTTATTTAATGGCGGTTTCTTTTTCTTCTTGCCTCCGCCGGAAACCCCCGCGTTCTTGCCCTGATCCAGCTGGTCCGCCTGTTTCTTCATGTAAACGTGAAAACCCTCCTCCTCCACCAAGCCGGAGGATTTCAATATCCCCTCCGTCGTCTCTGTGTCGTCGTGGTAGTTATGCTGTGTAGTTGTTGTATTACCTCCACCTCCCCGGGACGAGGAAGAGGTCGCCGCAGAGGCCGTTTGCTGGTCCACGCGGATCATGCCCCGAATCATCTCTCGGTAGGCTTCGTCCTCAGTTCGGTCGTTCTGCTTTTTATTTACAGCTGTAGACGAGGAAGAAGAAGCAGCTCCCGTTCCCCCTCCTTGCAGATAGTTCTGATTCGTATCTGACGATGCAGTCTTCTTGTTTTTCCCAGCAAAAAACGCACTTGTCATCGCCGACTCGATATCAAATGTAAAAATGTCTGGGTCTGGAAGATTGCCGGGTTTGTCATGCATATTTTGAATGATCCACGATGTCTGTGATGCATGCCCTAGCATCACAGATTTTTAGAGTACTTTGTGATGCCTCTACCGCATGAGAAATGCCCTCTCCACGTAGCACAAACTGGAGTCCTTTTGCTGGTCATGCAATACAAATTTTTTTAGAATCCAGAGACAGCATTACAAGTTTAGAATCTTCCAGACCCAGACACTTTTACATTTGATACTCGAACATGCCGCCAATGGTGCCCAAGCCAAGCCCAGCGCGCACCACCGCATCTCTTTCTTCCTCCAGAATTCCCCGCTTGTTCTTCATCATCTGCATAGTACTTGAAGTCGCAGAGGAACCTCCCGATGGCATCATGCCGGACGGCGTGTCACCTCCCGTCGCAGGGGATGATCCGATATTCGCCAGCACCTCCTGTTCCTGTTTCTTCAGCCGGTCTTCTTTCGCTTTTCGGATTTTCTTATGATCTGCAAAAGTATCGCACTCGTATAAATGCATAAACAAATTTCCTCAGCATGAGAGATAAAATTTCTAATGCTAATGTACCTTAAGAAAAAGATTTGCAACGCATGATTGCAATACGAGTGCGATACTTTTGCACAGGATACTTCTCCTTGCGATCCAGCTTTGCCTGCTCCAGCTGTTTCTCGCGAAGTTCTTCCTTCTGCTTCTGCAAAGCCTGCTGCTTTTCCTTCTCTTTTCGCTTCTGTTCTAGTTCCTGCTCCCGCTTCGCCTGCTCTTGCTTCCGCTTTTCAAGGATTTCTTGCTTCTGCTTTTCTAATATGGAGCGCAAAAGTATCGCAGTCGTAGTTGTAATTGCAGTCATGCATTACAAATCTTTTTCTGAAGGCAAATCCGCATTACAAATCGAATTTATGATGCTAAGGAAATTTCAATTTGTAATGCAATTGATACTAGTAAGTACGATGGTTTTGCAGTTCATATCTAATTTTTCTTCCTCCTTCGCCTTCCTCTCCTGTTCCAACTTCTCTTTCGCCACAGCCCGCTGCCGGTTCTTCTCCTGCTGCGGTATCCTGAGGAAAAACGTCCCCACACCGGAGTCAAGTTGGGAAATCTGCTAGACAAATCAAGCAGCTTTGGTTGTTTCGCATGACAGGCTTGCCCTCGTAGTGTGATCCTGTTTAGCTAGTTAAGCTAGCAGCATCACAGATCTCGCATATCATGCTGATTGTCGCATCCCAAATCCCAAAACACGAATACAGCATGCTTCTCATGGGACTGGCTCCGCATGATCATCATCATCATCATGTAGTGGACACCCGCTCCCGGCGCCACAGGTCAAGGATCCCCTCCCCGGGGGGTGGGCGAGGAAGCACTTTCGGCGACCTCATCATACAAAAGCCGAGCGCTACCACGGCAAGTCGCCCCAAGAAAAGTACCAACCAGTCGGGAGCTACCCACCACACCTGATCGGCACAGCCCGGCCAGCAAGCCGGGCGCGACAGCCCAACATACAGAACGATCCAGGACCCGACCCATTTTACGCCTTACGTTTTTGTTCTCACGGAAGAGACGACGCACCCCTTTGGGTTAAGGGGCGAGACTCTCCCCTAAGCCGCAACCCCGCCCAGACAGGGGAGGCTGGACCGTTTGTGCCTTACCTGCGGCACGGGCGAACAGGGCAATTGCACAGACCACAGTTGTCAAACCATCGACCAGTTGTTTGTCGCTGCTGACCGGCAACCCTCCTGGGGCACAGCGACAACTTAAAGGCTTAGTTTGTGCATGGCAGTCATAGTGCAGCCTTGTTCTGCAACAGAAGCAAAGGGTGGGAGGGGGGACTGGGGTCGTAAACCGGATTCGTCTCGGAGCTTACCACTTAAGGGTGACCGGCAATCCCCTTCATACATAGTGACCCGGTGCCCTTCGATGTTCATTCTTGTTGCCACCGCTTTGCTTCTGTTGCAGAACACGACATGATCAGCAGGCGCTGTATCGTCCGCCGAACACAAATACGGTCTCGCGACTGAGGCGAACTCGACTGCCTAGGCAGCGAAGAGCAGGAGCTAAAGCGCCCGCTAATGTTACACTTCTGCTTTTGTTTTTTTTCTTGTCTTACAGTCAGCTCATCGAGAAAAGGAAAGGCTGAGTGTTGCAATTTGAATGTGTCGAATTTCAGTGGTTCAGAGTGTTGCTCTTGCCTAGCGCAGGCACTGACGCAGCTGGACGCCGAGTATTTACTCTACTCGAAATCCTCCTTCTTCCTGCCTGTAACCCTACGCAACATCTCACCCCAACTCCTGGGTGAAAGCTGTTCGCACTCCAGCCTGTCCCCCCTCGTTTCTTGTTGATCCGCGCTGTGGGCTGGCTCCATCAGATGGACGACATCCAGGAGCCTCTGGAACTTTCCCACCCCTACCCCGAAGGGCTCCCCAAAGGGTTTCGCCTGCTTTGCCGGTTCTGCAGGGCCCTGCGTCTGCTCGACAGAAGCCGCCACCCCCTTGTTCTTTTGCGCTTCCTGTTGCGCTGGCAGCTGCCTCGTGCCAAACTCCTTTGCGAGAGGGGGGGCCGCCTCGGCAACTCCCTGCTTGATGTCCCGGCTGTGACTTCTCGGCCCACTGCTGGGATCAGTGCGCCGGGCGCTGACTGCCTGTCCTCCCTCTTCCCCTAAAGCAGTAGCATCCCCGCACACTGTTGCGTCCGCCTCTCGCTCTTGGTCTCTGTCCGCACTTGCGCTAGCGCTCCCTCTTGCCAGCTCGTTCGAGCTGCTCCCTGTGCCCCTTGGGCTCCCCACCTGAAACCTTTTGCGCTCGCTTCTCGTGAGCTGGTCGTACCTTTTGTGCGCTATCGAGGAGGACGAGGAAGCCGCGTGCCCTACTTGGGGGGCGCCAGCAGCCTCACTTCCTCTACAGGTCCGGCCAGCCGACGCTGAGGCCTTAGCACCATTATTCTTTGACTTCCCCAAATCCTTACCAAGCTCGCGGCATAACGCGAGGCAGTCGGCTCCCATGTGGAACTTGCGCAATGGATCAACGACTGCGGTCCCGCAATTAATTTTCGGATCTTTCTGGGTGTCTACAGCCTGACTCACACTCTGCCTGTCAGGAGCTTCTTGGTCCCCGGCCTCCCCAACTTTGCCCTCCTCGTGCGCCCGACCGCCCTGTACCTCAGTACATCCTTCATCCTGTTTCGCTTCCTGCCCTTGTGACAATCCTAGGCACTCGTCTAGATAAAGAGTGCGCTCCGTGCGGTTCATCTTCGGCCAATCGCGGACCGGGGGGAACTTATACATATCCGCGCCGAACTCGTAGACGGGCCACGTTGTGTAGCAGTTGTCATGCTGTGCTACATTGACTATCTGCAGCGGGACCATGTGCATCGGGAGCGATGGATCGACTGACATGAAATCCCTTTCGTGGTTCGGAAGTACTTCTTTGCGAATTTCGTACCCAAGGGCCTGCGCCCCTTCTAGTGCTTCTACCAGGCTTAGCACTATGCCGCGGCCCTGTCTGAGTGGGCCACGAGTGTTCGCCTGTAGCCTCTTGAAGTCAGAAAGCTCGACACCTACTCTCCGAATCCCGTGGCAGTGCTGCGTGACAAACTGCAGCAACGTGAGCGCATTGTTAACATAAGCGAGGAATCTCCTCTCTTGCCGACGAACTTCAGTCTTCAGATGTTCCATCTTCGTTTTGCATTGCGCGAATACTTTCCCCGTGCCTCTCTCGACGCAAACCGTCGCGGACAAGTCCGAGGATGCCCGGATCTCGTAGACGGGCAAACCCGATGGCATCCTTCCCCGCCCCATCGTGCGATCCCTAACAAAGCCTGCAACCCTGAGATCGCTTCGATGAGATATTCTTGTAGCCGCTCCTTCGACTAGAGCCTGCACAAGAGCAATGTCCGCCTGAGCTTGCTCCTTCAGGTCTTCTTTGTCGCCATGCCTCACCCCTTGCTCGCCAGACCCCAACACTTTGACCGGGTAGACTGCTTTGGGAAGAAGAAAGTCCATGTCTGTCAAAATACTGGACTGGCACGCACTCCGTAGCAGCTTAATGCTCAGAACAAACGGATCAAGCAACGCCAAGCAGTTTTCAGAGAAGATCACTCTGTAAAAGCACTGCGGCTGCAGCTGTGCCTTTGCCGTTAGCTCAACCCACGCCCGCTTGGAAAAGCCCAATGTCTCAGCTATTGCTGTAGCCATGTCCATCAGTAGGTCTGCCCACTCTGATGGCTGCAAAATCACCTGCATCAGCGGGAGGAGGTACAAGAGGCCCGAGAGATAGAACATGACTACCAACCGCCTCAACTCTTCCCCGGCCATTTCCTTCTGGCTCGCCATCACTTTCGCCGCAAGGTGCTGGCCCAACCCTATCGCGCTTGTGATCTGGCCCTGTGTCGCTGCCCGTTGTTCGTCAATTCCCTGGAGCGTAATTACTGCCCCTAAGATCCGCGTGGCCCTTTTGCGCAGAAGCTGGATGCCGAAAGGGGAGAACGCATTCAACAATGCCCACGCTTCTACTTCCTGCTCTGTGCAGAGTAGTTCGCATTTGGCCGGCGACATGAACTGGCCTTCACTAATATACATCCTGCGATATACTTGCGAAACTTGCTGCAAAATCCAGTGCACTGCCTGTCTATCACACTTGTGATAGCGCAGGCAGATGGTGCCGTCATCGATAAATTGAACCGCAGTAGCACTGCGGGGCTTCGCTGCCTTCTGTGGGTCCTTCAACTTACCGCCCTGGTGCTCAAAACGCACTCTCCCTCTGTTTTTGTCTTCTCTCGTCTGCGTCGCTACCCTTCTGAAGCCAGTGGACTGGCCTCCATTTGTGCTCTCGTCAAAGTACACCTCATCCACTTCTGTGCGGACGTCGTATTTCTGGAAAGACGTATCAACGTCGTCACTGCAGCTGTAGCGCTTCTCTACAGCGCCGCGCATCTTCTGCGCGAGTTTCCTCAGCTCCGCATCCGGAACAACTCGGCCCTTCTCGTTGAAGCAGCTCTGTAAAAACTTTGCCACTTCATGCACTGCTGGCATGAAGAGGAGACTGCCGCACATCATAGTGTCGACACTCCCTTGTATCATGTCATGATGTGCCGCGATCTCCCCGAAAATCTCGCCGTTTCTCAGGTAGAGTTTCTTCGAGTACGTGGTGACAAATATGAGCTTGATGACCACTGGGTGGATGCGAGCACCTCTAAGCACCCTCACCGCGCTACAAACCGAGATATTATTGAAGAAGTTCGCTGCGTCGACCCCTATGAGGCAAGTGGGCCACTCTCTCTCCTCGTCCGAGAGCAGGCCTGCCTGCTCGCTCTCTTGGCTCCGCGCCGTCGCGCCACTACTTGACCCCTCTACACCCTGCTCCTGGCGCGGTTCGCTTAACTGTGGCGCGCCCTCCATCTCTATGCCGAAACTACCCTCCTCGTGCAAAGAGAGTTTCCCTGTGTCGCCTGTCTTCGAATTCTTCTTGACCCCTTGCGCAGCACCTACTTTCGCGCTGCCTTTTGCCTTTCTCTTGGTTGTCCTCTTTGCTTTCCTTGAGCCCGCCTTTTTCCCTTTTTTCTCAAGTTTGAGAAATTTCCGTGGCTCCACGTCAAGTTTCCTGCTCCATGGATCTTGGAGCTCGTCTGGATAGATAGTGCCCAAAATTTCCAATGCTGTCACAACACTGGAGGCCCCCGGTTTGCCACCCGCCCCTGCAGGTGTGTACTTGTCCCCCAGATCCGCTACTCTGGAGCTAATGAAGATCAGATAAGAGAGTAGGAGCCGATAGCATGGAGTGCCCTTAATGACAGTCCTCAGCTTCCTTATGTCACTTCCAAGGCCTTTTGCCAGAAGCTCTACTTGCAGGGTGGTCAGGAGTGGGTGGATCACCTGTTCGCTATCTCTCAGCCAGGGCTCGAACTTCATAGTCCTTACTTTCTTCAAGAACGACGTGTAGCCCTCAGCCAATTTGTCCAACTGCTTCATTCCTAACCCTTGGAATGCTTTGACTCGCATTCCATCCGCGCCCCCTGCTTCGTTATTGATTCGCTTCAGATGAGCCTTTAAATCTCGGCCGGTAATTACGATGTCCGGGACAAATTCAGCAGCTTGCGTAAGCTCGCGGAGGGCAGTCGCGAACTCTTCGCGACTAAAAGTATGGCGCTTTCCGGCCTCAAGGCGAGTGTGCTGATTTTTTGACAAATGAAATTCCGCCACTTTCACTGCGCATTCTTCTGCTCCATATATGTAGACTGGAGCTGTCTCCGAACCTATATTCAGGAAGGATTGTTCGCCTGCAGCCGCGCCACGTTGCGCCCCGCAAACTTGCAGCTTTGCAGCTTTCGCTCTTTTGTACTGGTTATCCATCTGCTGGGGGTCGCAGTCTTGCTCAAACGACTTAGCCCATCTGTCAGCAGTTTCCTTAGCTTCCCTCGCTAGCCATTGCATATCCTCTTCTACGTTCGCTACTTCTTTGCCGAGGATAACTCCGCCCTTTCTGACTTTCCCGAGCCCCTTCTTGCCTTTTGCCGCCCAGACGCCTTTCGCGCCTTTTCCTTTCACCTTACTTCTTCCCCCTTTGCCCACCCCCTTCTGTTTGTGAGCGAACCTCTCGGGCCTTGCTCGCTCAAAGAGTTTCTGCAAGTTCTTGGGCATCTCAGCCGGAATGGGGGCGATGAGTTTTTCATCCACCAATACCTCTTGCATCCATGTCTCCGCCCGATGCAGACCTTCTTTCACCAGATCTGGCATCTCTTTCCCCTCGAAAGCTTGCTGCAAAGCCTCGACTTTGTGCGTGCCCCGTGGCCATGCGGTTATCATCGGGAAAGGGATCGCCTTTTCAAAGTTGTTCTTTCCCTTGTAGATTGCCACTCTATTTTTCGCCGACGGCCCTGCGGGTATCCTTTCTGCATAGGTTGCGTTGAATTCCAGCCCAGTTCCTGTCTGCAAACCTGTCTTTTCTCTCGCCATCTGCTCGAGGACAGCTTCAAACTTCCGCAAAGCCGCCCAATGCGGCCGCCACACTACATCCAACACCAACGCTAAATGGTCCGCTTCTTCTTCTTGCGGGTGTTTGAACTTGTCAAGCATCTCACACACCCCGTCGGGGCTGTTGGCGACCTTCATCCTTTGCAGTTTTGGCTCTTCAAAGATGCTCGCATGGTTTGCCCCGACCGCCACGAAATCAATCGCCCTGCGCGAAGATCCTTTGTAGCATGTCGGCCCACATGTGTCCAGCACCACTGCAAATTCGTTCACTATCTCCGCGATCGGCGTCAAGATTTCTTGGAAAAGAATCTCCCCTATAGTGCTCTCATAAACGAAGCCAACTAGCCCGCCAGCACTAATCTGATACTCGCAGTTGACATCACCCGAAAAGATCACAAGAGAAGCCGCAAACAGTAGCTCAGACATCTCTTCCCAAGCCCGTTGCACCTGCTTCCTGATGTGTGCCCTTTTGCACTCATCGTTCTGGCGCACCGTTCTTCCTGGTCGGTAGAAGGAGATCGAGACTGCATAGTCCTCGCCCATCTCTGCCGTGATCCAGAGAACTATGTCATTCTTATCGACTAACTCCTTCTGAACATAGAGGCCCTCTGTGTGGAGTGTAGTAATTTCAAACCGCAGCTGCCTCTTGGGAAGTTTCCTCACCTTGTTGCAGTGAAAGTGAAAGCAACCCCCTGCAAAAATGGACGCAGACTTCTTCCGCATATCAGTGGCGGTTGACACGTGCACCCTTGGCTTTCTCGTCATTTCGACGTGGTCGAACCTAGCCTGTTTCGCTGTTATATTAGGCGCCTTCAGTTCATTGCCCGCACCCTGTGAGCACTTGCTGAACTTTGTAGCGTTCAGTAGTCTGGCACTGTTCTTGGTTAGGAAGCCATTTACGTTCCACGCCATATGGCGCGTTAACTTTGGTGGCGTCTCTTCCACGACTTCCAGCACTTCGTCGTCGCCCATACATTGGAGCGCCTGGCTCCACAGCGACATCGCCGCGCACAGACTTACTATAAATCGCTGCAGTAGTCGCATTTTCCTTCTTGAAAGTGCCTCCTTTTAGAAGGAAGACCCCCTACTTCCCCCAACCTCCTGCAACGGCAGGACCCTCCTTCTTGTGTGTCCTTGCAGGCTTAACTTCTACCCCCCCTCACAACCGAGTAACCTCTTTTGCGTCTTCTACTCCACCAGTCTCACTAACAACTTTGGTTAGCCTGACTGCCCGGCTACCGGCCCTGCGGCTACGCGAGGCACTTTGTCCTCATCACGTGAACGACAGAGCGGCAGATGACCATCTTGGAGAATAAAAGTTTTTTTTTTCTTTTTTGAATACAAATTTAACACATGCCAAATTTACTCATAGAAAAGCTATTCGAAGGAACAAGAAATCGAGGTTAGCACTAGTCACATACAATCATACATCCCACACGCCTCGCCGCAATAAGCACTCTCTCGACCGCTTACCGCTAGGCGTGCGCCTAAAGTAGCCTCAAGTGGCCCAACGTTCGCGCACTCGGACGCTCGCGAACACCTGCGCTCGGTCGCTTGTGCATGATGAGAAACTTTTTTGGCATGGAGATTTGCATGACGACTCTGGGTTTTGGGAACGTTTTTGCTCAGGATATGCGCCTGGATTTCCCTGCGCGTCTCCTCTGCGAGTTTTTTTTCTTTTTCCTGCTTTTTCCGCTCTACTTCGCGCCTTGCGAGGATGTCCCGCCATAAGTCCTCGAGTTCTACCCGGTGTTCTTTGAAGTACATCGCACATTGCTTGGCGCCCCGGTTTATGCATTGCACAATACATGTCTGGGTCTGCTGGGAGAATGCAAAGATCATTTGTCATGTTACTCGTCTCACATGACAGTTGAATCTGCAGTGCGCGAGCAGGAAAAAAAGGCCCCCTCTTACGAGAGAAAAAGGACGGTCCAGAAACTTGTCAACATGCGTGGCTGCGTATTGCAGTACGGACGCCCATCATTAAACAAACTAGCAGCACAAGCTTCTTCCAGGCCCAGACATGGAACATGGTTGCCATGCATACGGTTGTGCCCGACAAACTGGGCAATGGCCTGAAACCGGTCCTTTATGTTCTCGACGCTGGCATACCTGAGGAGTTTATTTGATGGAATTTGTATCCTCAGAATTCTGTTCGAGAACAATGCGCGTATTTTTACTTCTTACTCCTGGCGTGAAGAAGAATTCAAGCAAGTGCTGTCGCAACACGAACGGAGGCATTGTTTATTGTTGCCAAGCAATACCAAAAAATGATCTGAAAAAGAACAAAAAAACTCATACTCGTTAACAGCTTCGCTGAGCCGCTCGCGCTCCACTTGGGTCCACTGTGGCACGGCCTCCGTGGGTGAGGAAGTGCTGCCAGGAGCCGTCGTCGACATGGTCTTAAGCTTTTGTTCTCTGTACTACTAGTACAGGTTCTAGAGGGCCGCGGCAAGTAGTGGAGCCCGCTTGTTCCTCTTGATGGACCAGTTAGATTTATTCGCCCCTCGTCACATTTCGAAATTATACGAATAGATACTTACGCGCCGAGGACGGGAGGCTAGTGCCACCGTGCTTGTTGCACCAGGTCGTCGTGCTGTCGAACTCGTGTGGCGCAGCAAGAGCCGTGTGCTCGTGCACGCGACTAAGACGTCGCTAGCTCTGTTGTTCTATCTGATGTTGATATTCATATTGTTCCGGTCGGGATAATGATAAAGTTCTTGAACTTGTTGAATAATTCATCAAGGCAATGCACGACACCGGCTGGATAACGATAAGCGCTTGTGCATCTTCAACATCAGGGCATTGTCGATAAAGTAGATTACATTGCTCCTCCCCGAAGCCACTAAGGTAGAAGCCCCCTGTAGCTTTGTCGACCTCGAACGAGGGCATTTTTGCTGACGAGACCGGATCAACATCAAGTTCAAGAGAGGTTGATGTACTAGTGCAGTCCAGAAAGAGTGACAAACACGCCGGGTCGCGGAGCGCCACGATGGAAAATTTCGAGGACCACAGGCGGTAATATGCGAGTCGTTACACTCGGGCTTCTAGATAAATCCTCAAATAAATCTTCGAAACAGCAGAACTGAAACTGGACAAAACGAAAATCGTATGAAAATGGAAATACGGGGCGTTCTTGTAGAACATCCCCTTGCAAAATGGAATTCTAGGAGGCAGATGGCGACATGATATCTACGCGTCAAGGAGGAAAGAGGACAGCAATAAATAAATTTCGAGGGGGGTCTAGGGGGGGTAAAAACTTCCAAGACGGGGATCTTTTATTGCTTTTCTGGAGGCGAAAAAAACTTCTTCTAGATGAGGTCCTGTGGGAAAGATTAAAATTAAAAGAATGAGAAATAGCGGGGTGGTTCTGGCAAAAAAAATATTATTCTTATTCTCTCTTTCCTGCATCGCATGGAAAAGTCAAAGTGGCATCACAAAATTCCAAGGAGATCTTTCGGGAACGGCACAACTGGTGCGTAAGTTCGAGCTGAAGCTGATCCAAAATTGTCGGGGAGGTCATTGTAAATTAGAGCAGGTGGAGTAGAAGAACAACTTCATCTCTACTAGAACCTATCCTCCTCAATGTACTATGATGATTTCACTTTTTGTTGGCCTGAAGAAGGGCGCAACCCTCACTAGTACGCTGAGTATCTACGTCACATTTACTTTGCCGTGCAGCGACGAAAGAAGGTACAACGTAGCACACCAAGTCTGATTCGGGACGATGAAGAGCCTTTACATTAGTTTTTCTGAAGATCCACCAAAGTGGCCATCTGCCAAACAAGAACAGAAGAAAAAGCTGCTGCGGCTGCTTGATGGAAAGACAACTCTGAACACCACGATAGATTTTCCTGCAGCTGCTGCTCGGCGAGCCAACAAGTTCTTGCTGCTGGCGTTTGTATACCTGTTTCATCTATCATCCCCCACATCGGACAAGATCAAAAACAGAGCGGTTTTTGGAGAACTTATAATCTTCCTTCCACAATAAACTTATACTAAGACAGAAAGCTACGACTTGCGCTTGGATGTAAAAGTCATCTGAATTATTCGGTAGAAATTCAAACGCCACCGACATCTTCAAGCACGAAAGGTATCTGTCCTCGGAGTTCGTTCATAAGTTTTGTGGAAATTGAAAATTATCGTTCTTGTTTTTTTTCTACTTCTAGATGATGTAAATGCATGCTTATATGTAGGTGTCATAGAGCAGTCGACTCCTCGTTTCGACTCGTCAGTGGCTGATTTCCTTGTAGGCTGCCATAACATAGAGCGATATCGATGGATTTCAGACCGCAACAGGTAGAAAACTCATCGATCTAGCTCAAGCAGAAATCTAGACTCTACCTCTAGGTAGAAAGCCTATGCATAGAAGAAGTTGACTCTTGCTCTCTTGACGAGCAGCTGTAGTGTAGCTGCAAGTGGTTGCAGATAAGCAGCGCTTGTCCGTGTTGTGTAGGGATTTAAATCACGCTTGAGAATTTGAATTATTAATTTAATTATGATAATGATAATTATTTGGGGTTGGTCAGATCATGCGCAGATGCTTGTTGCTAGCTTGTTTCGATGCTAGGCGCGGCCCGATGCTAACAAACGCGCGAGGGGTTCGAACATACACCAAAATTTGTGTCAGCGTCAAATAAAATGCGCATAGCAAGCATTTCCAAATTATACGACTTCTACCCCTGTCGACCTATAAACAAAACCTTAGCATTGGGCGTTTTCGGGAGCTTAGCTAGTACGTGCTCCACCTTATTACTTTACCGCCAACGCTGCCACAGCTTAGCTAATTTGTAGTTCCCTTAATCTCGCTACCACCTGCTGGGCTAGGAGTTGCACGCTAGTGCCAGGAGTCCTCTTAGGCGTAGCGGAGATGAGGATGACAGGAGCTGTGTTCATCGCAGATGGTTTGCAAGCACTCATTTACAACAAAAACAATGACCTGGCATTTACTTACGCACTGGAGAAGTGAGGTTACTTTCATGTAGAAATTGAAATTTCAGTCTGCTGTAGGGAAACAATTCTTTCAATCTAATAGATCACATTCACAGCTGCTTGTTGACATGAGATAGTAGGTGGGGTTCGCCATCGGCAGTCAGAGACGAGAACTCAACTCGGGATTTAGTACCGTCCAACTGCTAGGGTATGATATTACCTCACGGCGAGCGGGTCTGTCGCCGTGCAGTGTTTGTGTTGTTTGCTCGCACACCGTGTCCAATATCGAAGCGTTGATTTGGGTTTTTCGGACGATCGCCTTCGGGCTGCTTAAAAACGGCAATCGAGTAACGCTTTCGCGGGTGGTTTCCCAGGATTTTCGTTCCCTCTTCATCGAGAGAGTCAAGCACTTCGTTGGGAAATCCCAAAGGCGTTTGTCCTTCTGGAGCGGGGCCACGAGGAACGAGTTTCCCGTCTCTTTCGTAAAGAAGAGGTCTCCCGCCTGCGGACGTGGGGACGGGAGGGGCCGCCGCGTCAAGGCCAAGTCCTGCTTCGTCGACGGCGCTGCTTGCGTCGTCTGTAAGAGAAGCAGGGGTGGGGCGGCGAGGGGGAGGACGGACGTCCTCCACGGCGGCGAGAAGCGGATCGAATCCTTCTTGGCCGTGGTCCGTGTAGGTTTGAACACCGGTTTGAGCACGGGCCTCAGCGACTTTATTGGGCTGCGAGCAGAAGCTGTTGCAAAACTCTCCTATGCCTTTCAAACAATCGTCGCCGGTAATCGGGTGGCCTCTCGTAAATTTCTTGTACACACTCAGACCAGCGCACTCCTCGTCCTCCTCCCGCTCGTCCACTTCATTTGGTTGCGCGGAGGACCGGGACCCCGGAGCACGAGCTTGCAACGAAAGTGCCGATACCCTGCTGCCGGACGAGAGAGCCAACAGACCACCAAGAAGGAGAGTTGTCACTCCAGCCCGACGGCTTGCTTTCATCATGATAATCTTCTCCATTGTGATCGAACAAGAAAAAGAATAGAGTGCAAGTTGCTTCGTATAAAAGATAGAAGGGGCGTGCTACTGGGGTGGAATTTGGTAAAGGTAAAGCGGACGCTGATCTGAAAAATTCAGCAATAATTATGGATGACCTTGTCCGCGATGTAGAAAAGTGAGAAGACAAACAAACTACAGTTGTTGACGCGGTGCACTTAATCTGAGTAGAGGGGAGGGTCTAAAATTTGACGTGGTTTCGACATTTGTGACGGCAGCTGTGAGCGTTTAAAGATCATAGTAGATCGTCGTGATTGATTGACTCATGTTGATGCGACATTCCGGGTAGACTAGACAGTGGTCGGATGAGAAGCTAAACCGTATTAAAACCGATGGTTGAACAAGCGCTAGAGGTGCAGCTGCAGACCATGTGATCATGATTTGTTCTGTTCGAAGAAGTAGTAAGCACAGGATCCGTGTACATTGTGATGCTGACCAGGACAGAAGTATTTCAAAAGTTGTAGCGGAGGTCAGCTCGTCCTCCTGTTTTTCATTATCTTCTACTTAAACCGACTTGACCTTGAGGTTGACTTATGCTGATTCTTCAACATCAAAAAATCCTGTTGTGTTCGTCTTGATCCGTAAATTTTCCCAAAAGAACCACTCACCGATGTCTTTATCTAGAAAGGGTTGCGGCCATTGTCTCTCGCATTGATCATCTTCTTCACAAACGATTGATGCAGCTCACGTCTTATTTATTTACTGTACTGAGTCTGAGCCATAACTTAGAGTGTGAGAGTCCACGACCTGGAGGATCTTTTTTAGTCTACCTCTCAGATCGAGGACCGACCGCGGACAGGAATCTGATAATTTTAATTCATCAAGTCGAAGATACTTCTACAGCAAATTTGCTTTACAGGAACGTCAATCAAGACGGCGATCACGACCGACGGAGAGAACCAAGCGGATCGACTCGGCAGCAGGAGTTAGCCACGAATTGATAGTCGTTAACCCCTGAAGATCCAACAAAGTGGCCATCATCTGCCGGGACAGAACAGAAGAAAAAGCTGGTGCTGGGGACGACGCTTCGCAGAACACCTCTGAACACGGCATTAGATTTTCCGGCAGCTCGGCGAGCCGACAAGTTCTTGCTCCTTCTGGCGCATGTTTACTCCTTCTATAACTGTTTCATTCTCCTCCACATCGGACAAGATCAAAAACAGAGCAATTCCGGTGCTGCTACCGTGCACCCTCGTCCGCTTGCTGTCGTGCGTCGCTACCACCGGCTCCCCGTCCAACGGCGGCAACAGCAAGCTCGGCGCTGCAGCCCCAACGCGGGCGCTCTGTAATGCGGGGAGACTCCTATCATGCTGATTCTCGCCATCCTGTTCACGATCATGCTCTGCCGACACAACAGGGCGAACGGCCATCCTGGGGGCCGTTTGGACCGTGATCTTACCTGTTGTTCTGCGTTGACCACTCACTTCGGGCTCCGGCAATGCAGATTCTCCCGGCTGCTCCCGACCAAGAAGATGAAGAGCGCCCTGCACACTGCCACACTTGTCCGCACCGCAGCGCTCCGCCCCGCCCTTGCCAATCGGCACAAGGCGTACGGCTGTGCTGCGCTCACCCGAGGCACCTTCCGCGCAGAGCGCCTTGAACTTCGTTGCCACTGCATCCTCGTCCGAAGAATCAGGCTCCGGTCTCCCCGAAAAAACAACACTGAAGTCTTTTTGAAGTCTTAGACGGTTAGAATAGCTGGGGCGATTTGGCAGTAATTCTATAACTGTTTCATTCTCCTCCACATCGGACAAGATCAAAAGATGTTTGAATAACCGCTACACGTACGGCTGCAGGCCACGTGATCATGATTTGTTCTGTTCGAAGAAGTTGTAGCAGTAGCTCTTCACAATCCGTTTTCATTGCGATAAAATTCACAGGGACAGAACTATATTTCAAGATTTGTAGTGGTCAGCTCCGCCACGACCTCACGTTTATCATTATCTTTTAAACCGACTCGAGGTTCGTATTTTTGATCCGTAATCTGTTAAACAGAAGAAAAAGAACCATGTTTGTGCTTACTCTGGATAGACAGCTGAGCATTTACGTGGGAGCGTTAGCGCATACTGCCGCCCCCCTTGTTGCTCGATATGTAATAGTAGTAGTAGCGGCGAATGATGATACCCCCGCTGTTGCAACTGTGTAAAAATCTTAGTAGTGATATTTTCTTCAGTCGAGCCAAATCATTGCTGTTAAAAAGTCCACAGAGCGTATTTTTATGGGACCGATAAAATTTTTTTTATAGGAAAACAGAGCCTGCTACTGGATAAAAATAAAACGGCTGCTACTGATGAGTTTAAAAGGTTGTTTTTTTTTTTCGAGCATAGCACATCCTTTATAATTTCGAAAAAGGGTAGTGCCAATACTGGGGGGGCAGCACGAAGCTCCTTCGTCGCGTTTAGCGTCGACTGCAACTGC